TAAAGACCAACCTTGATACACAATTCCTTTCTCAAATAACCCGGGCAGCGCCGGGTCCCCAAGCTAGTAAAACATAAACCATGATAAATTTTCCTGCCAAAGTTCCCAAGTCCTCTCAAAGTCACCCTGGAAGTTTCAAAATAGCCTTACTTTTCCAGGATGCCTCCAGGTAGACAGTTTCTATAAAAAAAGCTAACACTTGAAAAGCATAGCTCAGCTATTCCATCCATCTTAAAAGATGGGCAGATGGTGGAGTAATAACATATGGAAAACATAACAAGGCTATGTGTAGAAGATGTTAACATCTAGATCCCTGGGATTGTTTGTGTGTCAGGAGCGATTTGAGAAACTGCAAGTTGCTTCTGGTGTGAGAGAATTGGATGTTGCCCAGGGGACGCTTGGATGTTTTGATGTTTTACCATCCTTGTAGGAGGCTTCTCTCATGTCCCTGCAAGGGGAGCTGGAGCTGACAGAAGGAGTTCATCCGCACTCTCCCCGGATTCGAACCTCTGACCTGTTAGTCCTTATCCCTGGGGTAAAACCCCATCAATTTGCAGAGAGACTTTGCAAAAAAAGTCCCATCTGGAAGCACCTTCAGAATAGATATGCTATAAAGTAGGGGTGACAGCAGCAGCGGCAAATTGGGGCAAAAATCAGCCACAAATTAGAATTGGAAGTAACATCTAGTTGCAGTTTCCTGTTGTTTCAGATGATGGGGGTGTTTTAAGTAAACCTGTTACTCCTACAGTCCTTTATTATAGCAACTGACTTTTCTTTCTGCCTAAAAAATATATGGGAGGAGGGCTTGAGGGCCAGAGAAAGAGAACCAGAGGTTTGATGTGGAAGCATTTTGTCACTTCTGTCCTAGAGATGACAGAAGCGCACCTCTTATGGGAGTGCAACGTTAGTGGATCCATGGTCCTGCAGGCCCAATAAACCCATGGCCACCTAAACAAGAACTGAATAGAAGTCCACTCCAGCTGGCTTTTCCAAAGCTTTTTTAAATCCCAGTTTTTGATTAAAGGCAAATAGAGGATGCGTTACTTGTTTTCAATGTGAATTTCACTTTCTGGAAGCTTCTTCCAATGAAAGTAAGAAAAGAAAAATTGGCAGATATGGGGCCTTGGGGAGTCGGGACCACATGTTGTCCAGCCTTGCTTCCATTCTGCCTCGGACTGCACTGAGGAGCAGGTACATTCGTTCAGAATGGTATAAAGATAGGGTAAACGAGATAGCTAATTCCCAGGTGGCAGTAGATAAGGAGATAACTTAATGGGTTACTGTGAGTGTTCCGAGCTGTATGGCCATGTTCCAGAAGCATTCTCTCCTGATGTTTCACCCACATCTATGGCAAGCATCAACAGATTTTAGAGTATTATCGAAGGCTTTCATGGCTGGAATCACTGGGTTGTTGTAGGTTTTTTCGGGCTATATGGCCATGGTCTAGAGGCATTCTCTCCTGACGTTTCGCCTGCATCTATGGCAAGCATCCTCAGAGGTAGTGAGGTCTGTTGGAACTAGGAAAAAGGGTTTATATATCTGTGGAATGGCCAGGGTGAGACAAAGGACTCTTGTCTGCTGGAGCTAGGTGTGAATGTTTCAACTGACCACCTTGATTAGCATATAATGGCCTGACAGTGCCTAGAGCAAACTTTTGTTGAGAGGTGATTAGATGTCCTTGTTTGTTTCCTCTCTGTTGTTTTGCTGTTGTAATTTTAGAGTTTTTTAATACTGGTAGCCAGATTTTGTTCATTTTCATGGTTTCCTCCTTTCTGTTGAAATTGTCCACATGCTTGTGGATTTCAATGGCTTCTCTGTGTAGTCTGACATGGTGGTTGTGAGAGTTGTCCAGCATTTCTGTGTTCTCAAATAAAATGCTGTGTCCAGGTTTGTTCATCGGGTGCTCTGCTATGGCTGATTTCTCTGGTTGAAGATTTTAGAGTTTTGAAATCCACAAGCATGTGGACCATTTTAACAGAAAGGAAGAAACCGTGAACATGAACAAAATCAAGCTAGCGGTATTACAAACTCTAAAATCAGGATAGTAAATAAAGAGCAACACTCAAAAAGTAGGGGAATTCCAGACAAGAATCAATCAGGGCCAGCTAACATCTCCAAACAAAGGATTCCCCAGGCAGCAGGCAGCCAGGCTTTGAAGCTGCAAGGCCATTCAGTGCTAATCAAGGTGGCCAATTGCAACATTCTCACCTGCCTCGAGGATGGATTAGGGCGCTAGAAACAATATCATACGAAAGCTGACTGGCACAATCTGGGGATCACAACCAGACACAGTGAAGACATCTGCCTTTGCGCTTTGCTACTCTGCTGCTCAGTATGAATACCCAGTGTGGAACACATCTCACCACACTAAAACAGTAGATGTGGCTCTTAATGAGACATGCCACATTATCACGGGGTGTCTGCATCCTACACCACTGGAGAAATTCCACAGTTTAGCCAGTATTGCACTACCTGACACCTGCCAGTAAGTAGCACCCAATAGTGAAGGACCAAGGCAGAGACATCTCCAGCTCATCCCCTGTTTGGGTATCAGTCAGCATGTTAACGACTTAAATTAAGAAATAGCTTTCTAAGATCTACAGAGACACTCGCTGGAACACCTCAGCAAGCGAGAGTCCAAAAGTGGCAGACTCAAACCCAGAACCTCAATCAACGGCTGTTACCAAATGAGAGACTCCCCCCTGGGCACACAGAAAACTAGGTGACTTGGAAGGCGCTGAACAGACTGCGCTCTGGCACTACGAGATGCAGAGCCAACCTTAAGAAATGGGGCTACAAAGTGGAATCCATGACATGCGAGTGCGGAGAAGAGCAAACTACAGACCACCTGCTGCAATGCAACCTGAGCCCTGCTACATGCACAATGGAGGACCTTCTTATAGTAACACCAGAGGCACTCCAAGTGGCTAGCTACTGGTCAAAGGACATTTAATCAACTACCAAGCTTGCAAACTTTGTGTTTTGTTTGTTTGTTAAAAAATGCAATACAACTGTTTGGTTTGCTCCTGACACGATAAATAAATAACCTGCCTCGAGCAGACAAGAGTTCTTTCTTCAAACCTGGACATTCCACAGATATATAAACCTCACTTGCCTAGTTTCCATCAAACCCCTCAACCTCTGAGGATGCCTGCCATAGTTGTGGGTGAAATGTCAGAAGAAAATGCTTCTGGAACATAGCCATACAACCCGGAAAACTCACAGCAACCCAGTGATTCCAGCCATGAAGGCCTTTGTCAACTTAATGGTCAGCTTAGAGAAATGAAAGACCAAATGCAGAGTAATTGAGGGCAGATGGAGGGTACTGGAGGAACAGGGTTAGCAAGTAGCCTCTTAATTCCAAAGATTTCTGTTAGCTGTAATCCATACCTTAGCCACTCCATTGGCCATCATGTCCCTTTCTTCATTTTGCATCAGGCATGCTTGGGAAGGCTCAATTACGCCACATATTGCAAAGTTTATTTAGGGCCAGAAGCCTTTCACTGGCTCGCACCAGCTTCTAAATTTGATTCATCCTAAAAATCCTGGAGTATAATCCTGCAGAGGCTCAAGGCACCATACGCCCAGCGGAACTGTATCCTGAGCACAGCTATGCAAAGCCAGGGCTAGCTCCAGGGCTAAATCTGCTGGGCCTTTCAGATAAAACCATCAACACCTGAGAGAGGTGTCAGCAAAGTCATTCAGTTCCTGGGGTCGCAAAGATGTTAGGAAATTCAGTGAGGAGCATCTCCACCACCTGGTTCTGGTACACCATGCCTTCTACTAGACTGGCGGAGTCACGCTCGTGTCGCAGAAGGGTTGGTCCAAAGACAATGCCAATGTTCTGTGTCGTCATCCGGTTGACATCTGAATGCTCCATCACTCTGAAGGGAGTAAGACGAGAGAATGAAGGGAACCACCACAATATCTGGACTTCTATCTAGCATAGGGATGGGGGACACCGTGGCCACAGACCTACCACAGACCATCACAGAGTGGCTCCCCAGTTTTCGTATGAACTTCCCCACTCACTACCCTCATTCTGGAGTTTAAAATGCTTCTCACTAAGAGTAAGAGCTTTTTGCCAAAATATGCTGGAATTTTTGATATTACCTTTCCTCCCACTTTGGCCTCACCCAATATTGGAATGAGACCTCAAAGAATGTCTCTGCAATTGGAATCAACCCTCAGATTGAAAGCAGTTCCCTTCCCCGCCCTGCTAAAGTTTCTAAACCAGATAATTTCATATATTCTGGGTTTGGTGCCAGACACAAGAAATACATCTCCTGACTTGGAAGTTTTTTCCTTCACATCAGGGGGAGGAACATTTGTTTGGAGAGGAAATGGCCTCATTTTTCTTCCCAATACCTTCAGCTTTAATAAGAACACTAGTAGATTGTAATGATCCATGAAAACTTTGCCCTTACTTGTGGAGATGTTCCAATATGTAACGCAGTGTGTCTCGGTTCGGTTGGGGGAGACTCTGGATCAGGTCCACTAGCTTTGCCACTTTATCCTTGGAGTCAGGCAACTCTGTAGGGAAAAGCAATAATCAGACTTTTCAGATCTGGAGTGGGGTGAATAATAATAATAATAATAATAATAATAATAATAATAATAATAAACCTTTATTTATACCCCGCTACCATCTCCCGCAGGACTCGGTGCGGCTTAAAAGAGGCCGAGCTCAAATACATCAGAAACCAAAACACAACAACAATACAACAATAAATAACTCATAACAAAGCAAAACAATAACAAAAATATCACGACGCATTTAAAGGTGTGGGGAATGTCTTAGGTTTCTATCAGGAGCTGCAGGAAGCCAGAAAGGCTCTAGAGATTCTATTAATGATCTTAACACAGATCATGTGTTGGGAAACAAGCAGGATGTGAAACTCTCTGGGGTAGGGTTTTGTGTGTGTGTCAGGAGCAACTTAAGAAATTGCAAGTTGCTTCTGGTGTGAGAGAATTGGCCGTCTGCAAGGATGTTGCACAGGGGATGCTCGGATGTTTCCGATGTTTTACCATTCTTGTGGGAGGCTTCTCTCATGTCCCCTCACGAGGAGTTGGAGCTGACAGAGGAAGCTCATCTGCGCCCTCCCCGGATTTGAACCTACAGCCTGTTGGTCTTCAGACAAATGGAGGGGTTTGAAAGTCAGTCCTCCACGGCACGGCCAAAGGACTGGGAAATGCACTTACTGACAGACTCTATAAATTCATCAAAGAGGCTGCATGGCACCAGTGGTTCAGGCAACTCCCGGAAGAACAACTTGAGGGCCCCAGTGATCACGTGCACGTCATCCCACTGTGGGTCACTCAGCTGCAGCCTTTCCTCTAAGGAGAGAAGAGAAGAGACTCAGCAAAGGGAACAGTGTGCCATTTCAGAAGCAAACAAGTGCCGTGGAAAGAGCAGACAACCCATTACCTTATAGATATTCCAATCTTTAATTCTCCTAATCCCCAATCACTGGACATATTATCATAGAATCATAGAATCAAAGAGTGGGAAGAGACCTCATGGGCCATCCAGTCCAACCCCCTGCCAAGAAGCAGGAATATTGCATTCAAATCACACCTGACAGATGGCCATCCAGCCTCTGTTTAAAAGCTTCCAAAGAAGGAACCTTCACCACGCTCCGGGGTAGAGAATTCCACTGCTGAATGGCTCACACAGTCAGGAAGTTCTTCCTCATGTTCAGATGGAATCTCCTCTCTTGTAGTTTGAAGCCATTGTTCCACGTCCTAGACTCCAGGAAGTTGAAAACAAGCTTGCTCCCTCCTCCCTGTGGCTTCCTCTCACATATTTATACATGGCTATCATATCTCCTCTCAGCTTCTCTTCTTCAGGCTAAACATGCCCAAGTGCTTAAGCCGCTCCTCATAGGGCTTGTTCTCCAAAACCTTGATCATTTTAGTCGCCCTCCTCTGGACACATTCCAGCTTGTCAATATTGGCTGATGGGAGTTGCAGTCCAAGACATTGAGAAGATTTCAGGTGATCCCATCCCATGTGTTAAACCAACAGAACACATTCACATCCATTCTTTTGCAAGTGGATTTTAAGCACTACACAGCCTAGTTTCATCTGCAGCCTTGTTCTGTGCTTGTTTTAAAACAGCACAGGAAGTAAGGATAAGCCCTCTACGAGTTAATCCATTCATAAAAACTCCATGGTTTCAATGGATGACATTCAGGCTGCAATCCGACAAGGCCTCTGAAAAGTGCTTCTGTGTTGCTCTGCCAGAAGGGAGGAGCTCTAACAGTGGAAAAGCTCCTGTACCTTCAGAGAGCTTCAATTACGCATGCAGAAAGCTCTCTAGGTGCAGGTGGATGAACCCAAGCCTTGTTTCCCCTAAAATGAACACTAGAGTCCCAGTCCCAGTTAATTTCTCATTGGTTTCAATGAGAGAAGAAGATACGCACACTCCATTCTGTTAGTTGGTTGCATTCAATTGACGAAGGAACAACTTCACAGTTTCTCCCTGTCATGCAAAACCTAAGTCCCACACTGGAAGCAGTGAAGTTGTCAAATGCTTAACTCAGGCTTCCTGTCATACATCACCTGCGGCATCATGGCTATGCGGTACCACTCAAAGATTGTTGTGCCCCAGTCCCATCTTATTCAGAAAGAGGAAAAAGAATAATAAAAGGTCCAAGGACTGAATGGAAATGTTGACAAACTGGAATGTGTCCAGAGGAGGGTGACTAAAATGATCAAGGGTCTGGAGAACAAGCCCTATGAGGAGCGGCTTAAAGAACTGGGCATGTTTAGCCTGAAGAAGAGAAGGCTGAGAGGAGGCATGATAGCCATGTATAAATATGTGAGAGGAAGTCATAGGTAGGAGGGAGCAAGCTTCTTTTCTGCTGCCCTAGAGAGTAGGACGCAGAACAATGGCTTCAAACTAAAATAAAGGATATGCCACCTGAATATCAGAAAGAACTTCCCAACTGTGAGAGCTGTTCAGCAGTGGAACTCTCTGCCCCGGAGTGTGGTGGAGGTTCCTTCTTTGGAAGCTTTTAAGCAGAGGCTGGATGGTCATCTGTCGGGGGTGCTTTGAATGCAATTTTCCTGCTTCTTGGCAGGGGGTTGGACTGGATGGCCCACAAGGTGTCTCCCAACTCTATGATTCTATGAATATTATAGATGTTGAAGATAACCTACCAGTTGGGAAATTTCCTAAGACAATGTACTTTTCTATTTATTTTAATGTACATAAAGCATCCCTGGCAGATGGATATGCAGCCACTCTCTGCTTAAAAACCTTTAAGCGGTTTTGGCGCCAATCTGTTCCACTGTCAAACAGTTCACTCCTGCTGGAAATTCTTCACAACATTTAGACCAATATATTTCTTGTTATTTTAACCTTCTAGCTCAGATCATTTGGAGCCTTTGAAAAGAAAACCTGTCTCAATTTTGCATTTACTTCAAAGACTTGAGGATTATTCCAAAATGTGCCAGCCGTGTTCAGAAAACCAGTTGGCCCAATTGCCAGCTATCATCTGTCTTGCTTGCTTTGCATTTCTCATTCCATATGACTACTACAGTTACAGAGATCTTGATCGCACAAAGAGAAAGGCAAGCAGCAGCCATTGAAAATTACCTTGGAAACGTTGTTCCGGGAAGACATAACGCCCATCTGAGGTCACAGCTCGCTCTACAATGAAATACATTCATTATGGAGAAGAACAAGAAAAAAAACAGTATCCTCTTTGAAAGGGGAGATGCAACTCTATGATTCTATGATTCTATGATCCTAACACTTTATTTATTGTCTGTCCTTCTCCCTGAGGAGACTCAGAGCGGATTACACCATATAAACAGACACAGGCAAACATTCAGTGCCTTGTATTGTCGAAGGCTTTCATGGCCAGAATCACTGGGTTGTTGTAGGTTTTTTTCGGGCTACATGGCCATGTTCTAGAGGCATTCTCTCCTGACATTTCGCCTGCATCTATGGCAAGCATCCTCAGAGGTAGTGAGGTCTGTTGGAACTAGGAAAATGGGTTTATATATCTGTGGAATGACCAGGGTGGGACAAAGAACTCTTGTCTGCTGGAGCTAGGTGTGAATGTTTCAACTGATCAGTGCCTTGTTACAATGAAATACAATGAGACACAAATACACAGATAAAGGCAAAGGCTTCTCCTTTCATTTCCGGCTCTCATTGCCGGCTCTGGGAGAGATGCTCTTCTCCATTTCCAAGCTGAGGAGCCTGCATTGTCCATAGACACCTGGTAGTGTAGCCGGCATGACTGCATGGCGTGTCTTTTTGCCTCTGCCCTTCAAACAATACACCTGACTTCTCCCTAAGATAACTATCATAGTGATAGATGAGATAGCTTTGAGGATCAATAGTGTCTTTGTATTGTCTAAGGCTTTCATGGCTGGAATCACTAGGTTCTTGTGGGTTTTTTCGGGCTATAGAGCCATGTTCTAGAGGCATTTCTCCTGACGTTTCGCCTGCATCTATGGCAAGCATACCTCTGAGGATGCTTGCCATAGATGCAGGCGAAACGTCAGGAGAAATGCCTCTAGAACATGGCTCTATAGCCCGAAAAAAACCACAAGAACCTAATAGTGTCTTTCTTTACAACTTCTTCCCTTTTTCTGGTTCATATAAACACTGTAAATACTCACCACGATCAACGATGAATCTTAGCTTCTGAATAATGGCCAAGTTCCCACTAACCCTGTAGATACCATCTACATCCAGACCTGAAACAAAGGAAGAGACCCCACCATGAATCTCTTTCAAGGCTATAAGATTGACAAAGGGATAGATCGCAGTTCAGGTTCTGTTTTAGATTTTCTTTTTCATGCCAGGAGCAACTTGAGAATCTGCAAGTCCCTTCTGGTGTGAGAGAATTGGCCATCTGCAAGGATGTTGCCCGGGGATACCTGGATGTTTTGACACTCCTTGTGGGAGGCTTCTCCATGTCCCCGCATGGGGAGCTGGAGCTGACAGAGGGAGCTCATCCGCACTCTCCCCAGAGTCAAACCTCTGACCTGTCGGTCTTCAGTCCTGCCAGCACAAGGGTTTAACCCATTGCACCACTGGGGGCTCCTTCTGTTTTAGATGGAGAAAGTACAATCCTCTATATGTTAATTGGTCTGCAACTCCCAGCAATTGTCACCACTGACTATGCTAGCTAGGACTGTTGGGAGTTTCAGTCCAGCAACATCTGGACATAGGTGGGAGTATGTACCTCTCTCTTCCACAGCTTCCACACACAGCTGGACAAAATGTGGCACTGTGCCCCCTTCCCGTTGGCACAGAGCTTCTAGCCGGCAGCCAAAGACCTGGTCTGGAAAAAAAAAGAAAAGTAGCTTAAATACTCTAAATATCCTTATAGAACCAGATCCCACCTAATTTTGGGAGCTAAGCATGGGAAAGAGATGGGAAATCAACAAGCAATAACGGGTGCAGTAGACCTTATTTCAGAAAATAAAAAACTGTCAAAGCCACCTCTGAGTATTCCTAGCAAAATAACAACAACAACAACAACAATAAAGGCCACCACCAACAACAATAAAGGCCACCTTACTTGGATCTGCATGCATCATTTGAAAATACATCACACAGACCTAGATGCTTGGGAAGTGTTCGACTTGTGATTTTTTGATACGAAATCCAGCATATAGGTCTCGTTTGCTGTGACATACTGTACTTTTGTGTCAGTAAAATAATAATAATAATAATAATAATAATAATAACAACAACAACAACAACTATAATACTTTATTTATAGACTGCCCTCTCTCTTTAAGGGGACTCAGGACAGTCCCATAAGCCCAATGCCCATAAGCGAATACAGACACCTCAAAATAATGCAAAATAATACAAAATAATAATAATAGCATCCAAAAGTCCACTGAAATTAATGAGGTCTCCATAAACAAACAGATGACTTGAAGGTTTATACAAGGGTGGAAATGAAACACATTTCTATAGGAAACTATCCACTGGAGTTTGCCAGTGAAACTCATCAACTTTTTTTAGAAGTTTCTTATGGCTGCGTCGTTATTGAGATGCATTTCCAAAAAAGGCTGGACGGAACATGCACCAAGCCAGGTGTAGTTTAAAAATGACCAACTAAGAATGTGCATATTTTATTAAAATGTGTACAGACATGTATGGGGACATATGTATATTAGAAAAATATAAGAAAAGGCATCTTTTTTAAAAATAGGCCTAAAATTAGACACAATTTCCATGTTGTCAGAAAAAATAGTATTTTAATTCAATATACAAATAAGAATGGAACAAGAATGGAGAAGTAGGAAACACAATGAGAATAAAACTGCTGAATTTCCTCTTTCCTGCCACTTCCCACCCATTCACCTCCCTGCATCTGAACGTGAATTAAATCAGTCTTGCATGCTGGGAAAGTGGATAAACTACCATAATAATAATAATAATAATAATAATAATAATAATAATAATGGAGTGGTCCCAGTGGTCACTGGCGCACTGGGTGCCGTGCCAAAAGATCTCAGCTGGCATTTGGAAACAATAAACATCGATAAAATCACGATCTGTTAACTGCAAAAGACCACCTTGCTTGGATCTGCGTGCATCATTCAAAAATACATCACACAGTCCTAGACGCTTGGGAAGTGTTCGACTTGTGATTTTGTGATACGAAATCCAGCATATAGATCTCGTTTGTTGTGACATAATGTGCTTTTGTGTCAATAATAATAATAATAATAATAATAATAATAATAAAAACTTTATTTATACCCCGCCACCATCTCCCTGAAGGGACTCGGGGCAGCTTACATGAGGCCAAGCCTGTCAGATACAATTACAACAATACATCAACAGAGCAAACAAAGCAAAGTGAGAGCAATATAAAAATATAACTAAACATATAAGTAAATTCTGTGACTATGAAGGGTATCCTAAAATAAGAACCTGCTACCAAAGTTCTCAGTGTAGGGCCACTGTGCATAAAGGCAGACTTTTTCAGGACTCCATTTGAACTATTTAATATATATATATATATATATATATATATATATATATATATTAAACCAGAAGGGGCATTATGGGCAAGAGCAGTTACCCAAACCATTAACCATCCCTCAACCTCCAAGAAAAACTTAATCTATGATGGTTCCATGTGATTTGGCTAGTCACCTCGAATCAGTCCTTTTTCCTGTAGGCTCCGCAATGGTGGCCGCTTGGCAATGAACCGTCTCAGCTTGCTCTTGACCCGTTTTTTGTAGGCTCTGTCAGGACTAGCAGGTGCTACAAGAAGAAGGAAGGAAGAAAATGAGTTACTGGTAATTCAGCTTTAGCTCTAGTGCCTGAATTCTCTCTCTGCCATCTATGCCAAGGATGTGTTTTGCACATGATGAAGGCATCAAATACTAACCAGAAGCTACTCTGGTTAGTATTTGGAAGGAAGACTTTTCAGGGAGGATTAGGGTCATAAGGGTATTTCAGTGAAAAACAATGAAAAACATCTGAATATCTAATCTGAACATCTAATCACCTCTCAACAAAAGATTGCCCCAGGCACTGCCAGGCTATCAAATGCTGATCAAGGTGGTCAGTTGAAACATTAACACCTAGCTCCAACAGACAAGAGTTCTTTATCCCACCCTGGTCATTCCACAGATATATAAACCCATTTTCCTAGTTCCAACAGACCTCACTACCTCTGAGGATGCTTGCCATAAATGCTGGCAAAACGTCAGGAGAGAATGCTTCTAGAACATGGCCATATAGCCCCAAAAAAATCTACAACAACCCAGTGATTCCGGCCATGAAAGCCTTCGACAAAACAACTGAATACTTCATGCCTAAGAAAACCCTACAACAGAGTCACATTGAAGGTAGGAGTCAACTTGAAGCCTATGTCTCACCCTTTGGGAGCCCTGATTCTTCCTCCTCATCAGCACTGAGATCCACAAGATCAGCACTGTTCGATCTGGAGAGAGGATAAAGAAGTGGCTCATCCAGAGGGTTTTCTTCATCCTGCAAGGTGGAAAGAAAACAAGTTAAGCTGGGATGGCCAGGACAGGTTGGACAGACTGCCAGGCAAGTTTAATTTTTCTCATTCAGTCAGACTGCAATCTTGTTTCTTCAGGCATTACCGCATGTGAAAACACAAGATCGTGGAACATCCTGCGATGTTCCATGATGCAGAATAGTAACTATTTACTGTCACTGTGACAGGCGACCTTGCACAGTCACTGCCTTTACATGGTTGCAATATATCGGCTGTGTGAAACCTCACTTCTGGCTGGATGGCATAACTCTGCCGTCCCGCTTTTCTGATCCCCTCCTTATTTTCTATTATTTTTATTTATTTCTTCAAGCTTTGGGAAACTGTTTTTTTTTTTTAGGAAGGATGTTTATTATTATACTCTGATTTTTTAACTGAAGTTTTAAATTGTTATGTATTTATTTATTATTTATACCCTGTCCTTCTCACCCCGAAGGGGACTCAGAGCAGCTTACAGGTAGGCAATCATTAATTGTTGTTTTTTTGTTGTGTCAGGAGCGACTTGAGAAACTGCAAGTCGCTTCTGGTGTGAGAGAATTGGCCGTCTGCAAGGACGTTGCCCAGGGGACACCCGGATGATTTGATGTTTTTATCATCCTTGTGGGAGGCTTCTCTCATGTCCCCGCATGAGGAGCTGGAGCTGATAGAGGGAGCTCATCCGCCTCTCCCCAGATTTGAACCTGTGACCTGTTGGTCTTCAGTCCTGCCGGCACAGGGGTTTAACCCACTGCGCCACCGGGGGTTAAATTAGATGCCGCACAAGTACACATCCAATAAAATAAACATATACATTAAAACCAAAAAGTTTAAAACATATTAATTCAACATTAAAACCAATTTAAACCATGCAATCCAAAATCATAGTCATTCAAGTTCTGAGAATGCCTAACATAGATGCAGGCGAAATGTCAGTAGAGAATGCTTCAGGAACATGGCCATACAGCCGGAAAAACTTACAGCAACCCAGTGATTCGACAAGTCATTGCGCTATTTCGTAATCACTTATTGCACTGAAAACTTATTGTCTGAAACTTGGTCCCACATCCACGTTTTCAATTTCTTTCTAAAGGTCAGGAGGGAGGGAGCTGATTTAATTTCACTGGGAAGGGAGTGCCACAGGTGAAGGGCTACCACTGAGAAGGCCCTGTCTGTCGTTCCCACCAGTCATACTTGTGAAGGAGGTGGGACCAAGAGCAGGGCCTCCCCAGAAGATCTTAACCTCCAAGGGGGTTCATAGAGGGAGATACATTTGGGCAGGCAAGTTGGGCCTGAACCATTTAAAGCTTTATTATTATTTTGGACAGTTTACACTTCTGTGAGAACCTTTTGAAGGCTGAGAGGAGATATGATAGCCATGTATAAATATGTGAGAGGAAGCCACAGGGAGGAGGGAGCAAGCTTGTTTTCTGCTTCCTTGGAGACTAGGACGCGGAACAATGGCTTCAAACTACAAGAGGAGATTCCATCTGAACATGAGGAAGAACTTCCTGACTGTGAGAGCCGTTCAGCAGTGGAACTCTCTGCCCCGGAGTGTGGTGGAGGCTCCTTCTTTGGAAGCTTTTAAGCAGAGGCTGGATGGCCATCTGTCAGGGGTGATTTGAATGCAATATTCCTGCTTCTTGGCAGGGGGTTGGACTGGATGGCCCATGAGGTCTCTTCCAACTCTTTGATTCTATGATTCTATGATATATTTTATCTACATATTGAGAGTTCTGAATCTGGAGAAAAAGGCAAGATTTAAATAATAAAATACATAAAATACATAAATAAAAATAATGATTCCAAGAAGAGGAGGAAGAGGAGGAGAAATTGAATGAAATGATAGTGTCTTGATGCACTTCACTCACCAGCCTACGGATGACCCCTTTGATAGCCTGGTACCAGTCTTGGCTGACAGTCTCACTGTCTGACTGCAAAAGATACTCGTTGCCAGTCACGGTGCGGAACTGAGCAAAATAATAATATTAATTAATTAATTAATTAATAAGTAAACTTTATTTATATTCCACCCTATCTCCCTGTGGGGACTCATGGCAGTTTACAACAGGCGGAGACAAACATTCAATGCCATAAGGTGCTAACAAAAAACAAAACAACCAAAACCATCCAAATCAAAACAAATCCAACAAGCACATCAAAAATTACCACAAATTAGATAATGACATAATAGAATAACACCATACCTCAATGTTAAGGAAACAAACTTAGGAAAAGAAAAGAGATGGGAAGACGGCTTATAGGGTTGATCAACAGTTCCATGTAGCCCATTGCCCTATTTTTCTAGTAGTGTTTGGGCGATCTCACACAAAACACTAATCCTGGCTTAACAAAATGTGGTGTGACAAACTCAGCTTATTTGCTCCTTTATACATTTTCCAGAAATCAGTGAACAAATCATGATATGAATGTAAACCATGATATAAAGCTATCTTACAATCCCAGCTTGTTCGGCTGTATTAAATTATACTCCTTGGTTTATACATAATGCTGAGACCCCTACAAAGAGGGTAAAAAAGTGGAACAAGCTGCACGTATCAGTATTACAGTTCATTCATAGTGTATGCCATTATGCCAAGATCCCAGGTTTAGCATTATGTGCAAATATGGCCATTATTTTATACTACAAGATGAAAAAGTATGAAAAGTACACTGCAATAATGGAGAAGACATTCAACATTGAGAATGTGGCACCTTAATCCTGTGTCTAAACTTGATAAGTCTACAGCAAGAGAGGAGGGATAGTCTAAATATGCACTTTCCACAAGACCCAGTCCATCTCACTTGACCTTTGTGTTTCCTTTGTCCACTGGACACCTGCTGAAAGACCTCAGCAAGCGAGAGTCTAAAAGTGGCAGGCTAAAACCCAAAACCCCAATCAATGGCTGATACCAAATGAGAGACTCCCTCCTGGGCACACAGAAAACTGGGCAACTTGGAAGGCGCTGAACAGACTGCGCTCTGGGACCACGAGATGCAGAGCCAACCTTAAGAAATGGGGCCACAAAGTGGAATCCACGACATGAGAGTGTGGAGAAGAGCAAACTACAGACCACTTACTGCAATGCAACCTGAGCCCTGCTACATGCACAATGTAGGACCTTCTTATAGCAATACAAGAGGCACTCCAAGTAGCCACTACTGATCAGAGGACATTTAACAGAATACCAAGTTTGCAAACTTTATGTTTTGTTTGTTTGTTTTTTAATGCAATACAACTGTTTGGTTCACTCCTGACATTATAAATAAATAAATGGCCACTGTGAGCACATACAGTGTATTTTTTTTCCTATTCTACACCATAGACACACCACCAAGGATCTGCTGCATGGACTTATGTGGAATATCAAATAAATTCAAGACAGAAAATAAATATTTTCCTTCAATGTGTCCATCTGACCCCATGTGCCTAATGTCCAATTCTGCTGCATTCCTTTCTCTGAATATTCTCACACTTACATGGATTACATTCCGCTTGCTGGACAAGTCTCTAGCCCAGTCAATCCGAGCACCGCGTAAATCCACACTGCTTTCCGGTCGGCTACCAGATGGAGTCTGCCAAGGTGAAAGAGCAGGAGTTAGGACATCATAGTGTAGCATCTGTCAAGCATGCTCTGCTCCTGAAGCTGCTGGGAAGACACAAGCAGAGGCGGCCCTAGGTAATTTTCAACGGTAAGCAAACAGTATTTTGGCCCCCCCCCCCCAACCAATCATGATATATATTTTCTGTTCGTCATGGGAGTTCTGTGAGCCATATTTGGTTCAATTCTATCATTGGTGGAGTTCAGAATGCTCTTTGATTGTAGGTGAACTATACATCCCAGTAAATACAACTCGCATATGTCAAGGTCTATTTTCCCCCAAGAGCACCCCAAGAGTGCCCCTGGGCAAAATCAACTATACTGCAAATGCTTACTTTGCGTAATGGGTTGCTGAGGCTTCCCCCGGACTGCTAGGGCTGTTGTGAGCCGAGGGGACGCTCGTCAAGTGGTGGTTGAGGGGCATTTACAGAGGCGGCTCTGCGCCCCTGGCAAAAAAAAAAGTGTACTGCGACCGCTTCCTTTGAGTAATGGACGAGCCGCCCCTGGACACAAGCATAGCTCTTGATGCCATGAGCAATGTGTGAGTCCATGCTATGGAAGAGGCTGAAACCAACTGGAGGCAGATGTGTCTGAGCCAAAAAGATCTAGAGGCACTGCTTTTCGTTTTCTCTTTCTGCCATCCATTCCCTCCCACTCTTCCCTCTATCCATAAGGGAGAAAAAAGACCACGCATGACAGAAATCTGAACTGACTGTGCAAGATTTTTGAAATTAGATGGAAGATTGCTTTTGTCACAAGAACCATAGACTGCCCGCTGTCCACTACTCTCTGCTGGTCCACTCACCCATGCAGCTGCTACTTTGGGATCCTTGTAGAACATGAGGCTGTTCCCTGCTAACACCAGCCATGAGGATGTCCAGCACTTTCTGGTGGGTTGCGGCCAGGACGGAAGGAGAAAACCAAAGTAAGACTCCATGATGATAAAATACCTTGCTCCTCTCTATATATATGTATGTGCGCGCGTATTTTCAGCACCCCCAAGCATGTATTGAAACTGATGTTTCCACATTCAGTCATGCAGCACATGTAAACAATCATCTGACAGAACAAGGATTGTACTGATAGAAATTATTTTCCCCATTATAAATAAAGTAGCCTTTCATAGTTAACCTCTATTGGAGTGGAACCTGGTGGCTAATAAGCATATTTTCTGCATTCTCTCATTACCTTTGTGAGACCCTGTGTTGTCCTGTTCTGAAGAAGTCAGGATCAAATCAAAGTTAGAGATAGCATACTTCCACCTAATGTGGGATATTGCTTTTTTTAACTTTTTTTTTTTGTCGTGTCAGGAGCAACCTAAGAAACTGCAAGTCGCTTCTGGTGTGAGAGAATTGGCCATCTGCAAGGACATTGCCCAGGGGACGCCAGGGTGATTTGATGTTTTACCATCCTTGTGGGAGGCTTCTCTCATGTCCCCGCATGAGGAGCTGGAGCTGATAGAGGGAGCTCATCCGCCTCTCCCTGGATTTGAATCTGCGACCTGTCAGTCTTCAGTCCTGCTGGCACAGGGGTTTAACCCACTGTGCCACCGGGGGCTCCGGGATATTGCTAAACATCCAGATATTGCCAAACTTCCAATGCCTATCTAGCCCTTGCATAATCTGGCTGGCTCCTTAGCTCTGGCTGTGTAGCATTACACAGCTGGATTTCCTATTGGCTCTGGACATCGTGGCACAGTCAGGAATGATGGGGTTGAAATCCGAAAACAGTTGGGGGCAGTCAACAGTTCAAACCCTGTGATACATCCTGGTTATGTTATCCAATTGCCTTGACACATTTATGGAATTTTACAGAGGGACAGACAACCACATTTCTGTTTTCTTTCTGCTTCTCCCATTTTTTTTTCCTTTCAACAAAAAACATCTGTTATACAGAAAAAGACAAAATATCTGAAGAATGTCTTCAAACTGGACACATCTGTCTAGAACAGTGGTCCCCAATCTTTTTTTGGCCAGGGTCCACTTGACCAGGGACCACTTTGGCCATGGCCCACTTTGAACCAAGGCCCACTTAACTAGGGCCCAATTGACCAGGGCCCACTTGACCAGGGACAACTTGACCAGGGACAACTTTGACCAGGGCCCACTTTTTACCAAGGCCCACTTGACTAGGGCCCACTTGAACAGGGCCCATTTGACCAGGGTCTACTTGACCAGGGCCCACTTGAACATGGCCCACTTGACCAGAGACCACTTGAACAGGGACCACTTTGACCAGGGACCATTCTCCAACGTTAGTACCAAAAGGGGTGGGGCTGGTCAGCTCTATGGAAAGGAGCGGAAATAAAATAAAATAAACAGAAAGGAGGCTCGTGAACTGGATTTTCATTCTCACGGCCCACTGCTGGGCCATGGCCCACAGGTTGGGAACCATTGGTTTAGAAGTACCTCCATAGTATTTCTCCTTTCTACAAACTACACACAACCCCAAAATCTGGGTATGAGGGAAGACAAGAGAACATTTTCCTAGATCAGTGTTGCTATCGCGGTAAACCTCTCACGAAAATATTAATCCAACAGTTTAGACACACATTCAATCAATCACACCCATTCATGGAACCACACACATATCTCTGCTTTAGAACAGACACTTTAGTAGCTTCAAACGCCACATGTGGTATTCTCCTCTTCCCTTATGGAGGGAACAGAAGCTCCATGCTGGTTTAATTTAGCCCCCTCCTGATCTGAAAAAGCCCCATTATCCACCAGCAGTTTCTCCTAACCACTTTGTCTGTCTATTCATGTCCAGGACATTGCTTGTCAAAATCCTTTCAGCTGTGAAATGTTACACAGCCAGAGCTGAGGAGCCAGCCAGGTTGTGCAAGGGCTAGACAAGCAATGGGTTTTTGGGTTTGACCAAAACAGAGGGAGAGCCAAGCCCCCCCCCCCCCCAATACAGCATCTTCCCTCTCCCCATTACGAGGACTCCAGCTGGATACCTGAGTTTCCGGCCTCCTTCTGCAATCTTGGTTTTGTTCAGCTGCCCAGCTTTCTCCACCACCTGCCGCAAAGAAGATGTATCAAACAGTATCCGGGCAAGACATCTGATCTTTCCTGAAATGCACTCCATTTTCCTTGACAAATTTAGCTATCTACAGGTTACATTATGGAACATGATTTTTGTTCCTGGGTTATAAATGCCATTTCCTAATTGCACCTATCATAAAAATATGGGAAAAGTTGATTAAACAGCAAAACCTTTGTTGCTGTCCGCATATTGAATGGTTTTAAATGGCATATATTCATTAACTGCCTGGACTGAAGGAGATGATAAAACTACCCTCAGTCACAAAAACGAAGTTTCTGTATTTTCAAAGTAAATACCTCACAATTAAACAGGAAGCGACGCTTTCAAAACAGGAACAGAAAACTTCCCAAATTTTGTTGCATAGTTTTATCATTCCCCACAGTATCTAGTTTGGCTATTTATTTATTTATTTATTTATTTATTTACCGCACTTTCATCCCGCCCTTTTCAGCCTGAAGGCAACTCAGGGCAGTGTACAAATTGGCAACAATTAAATGCCGAACACACATAAATACATTGTTTAAAACAGGTCAAATCACATAATAAAATTCATATTAAAAACATTTTAAACTATAAAAATCAATGACTTCCAGGTCCATTTACATTGTTAAGCCATTCCATATTCGTTCACAATACTGAGTTTATCTGGTTACAATGAGGTTCCAAAAGCTTGCTTGAAGAGCCAGGTTTTTACTCTTTTCTGAAAGGTCAGGGTGGGGGGGGTGATCTAATATCCCCAGGAAGGGAGTTCCAAAGCTGAGGGGCCACTACTGAGAAGGCCCTGTCCCTCTTCCCCGCCAAGTGCGCCTGTGAGGCAGGCGGGATCAGGAGCAGAGCCTCCCCATTCCTGGAAGGTTCATAAGGGGAGACATGTTCGAAGAGTAAGTTGGGCCGGAACTGTGGTGGGCTTTATATGCCCACCAAAAAGAGAGATGCCAGGAACAACAACAACAACAATAACAACACTTTATTTATATTCCGCTCTATCTCCCTGAGGGGACTCAGAGAGGATTGCAACATACGCAGATAGGCAAACGTTCAATGCCTTTAAGACAGTGAACTGGAAGAAATTGAAATATCCCTGGTATTCATTCCCTGGATTTAGTCGTATCAGTCCCTGGTACTAGATTTCTTAAACCCTGGCCCTAGAGAATTCCCTACTCACTGACTGACTGCACTTTTAACCTAAGTAAAGGTAAAGTTTCCCCTTGACATTAAGTCGAGTCGAGTCCAACTCTAGGGGGTGATGCTCATCTCAATTTCTAAGCCAAAGAGCTGTTGTCCGTAGACACCTCCTAGATCTTGTGATTGGCATGACTGCAAGGAGAGTCATTACCTTCCTGCCAAAACAGTATTGATCTACTCACATTTGCATGTTTTCACACTTCTAGGTTAGCAGAAGCTGGGGCTAACAACGGGAGCTCAACCCGTCCCGTGGATTCGAACTGCAGACCTTCCAGTCAGCAATTCTGCAGCTTAGCAGTTTAACCCACTGCACCACCTTGGCCCCTGTTTATTTATTTATTTTATTTATTTATTTATTTGCTGCATTTGTTGACCGCCGCTCTCAGCCCTAGGGCGACTCGTGGCGGTGTACAACATATAAAAGGCAATTTACAAAGGCAATAACAAAAACAACATATCCACAATACAACAGTTATATAGTTACACTAAATAATCCGCTCCGTCTCATAATAGAATCGTAACCAATCTCATAGTCCATATTCCGTTCCAGTCGTCTTTACCAAACTATTGTAGCACTTAATTAAATGCCTGCTCAAATAGCCATGTCTTTAGGCTTTTACGGAAAGACATAAGGGAGGGCGCCTGTCTGATGTCTACAGGGAGAGTGTTCCACAGCCGGGGGGCCACCACCGAGAAGGCCCTCTCTCTCGTCCCCGCCAGGCGTGCCTGTGAGGCAGGCGGGATCGAGAGAAGGGCCTCCCCAGACGATCTCAAGGCCCTCGTGGGCTCATAGGCCGAGATGCGGTCAGAAAGGTATTTTGGGCCGGAACCGTTTAGGGCTTTGTAGGCCAACACCAGCACCTTAAATTGGGCCCGGTAGCAAATCGGCAGCCAGTGGAGCTGGAACAACAGGGGCGTTGTGTGCTCCCGCTCCTGTTAGTAACATGGCTGCCGCGCGCTGGACGAGCTGAAGCTTCCGGGCCGTCTTCAAGGGCAGCCCCACGTAGAGAGCGTTGCAGTAGTCAAGGCGGGATGTGACCAGAGCGTGTACCACCGTGGCCAAGTCAGACTTCCCGAGGTACGGGCGCAGCTGGCGCACGAGCCTGAGCTGTGCAAATGCTCCCCTGGTCACCGCTGAGACCTGGGGATCCAGGCTCAACGATGAATCCAGGATCACACCCAAGCTGCGAACCTGCGCCTTCAAGGGGAGTGCGACCCCATCCAGCACAGGCTGTAACCCTATACCCAGTTCGGCCTTGCGACTGACCAGGAGTACCTCTGTCTTGCCTGGATTTAATTTCAGTTTGTTCGCCCTCATCCAGACCATTACAGCGGCCAGGCACCGGTTCAGGACCTCGACAGCCTCCTTAGTAGCAGGTGGAAAGGAGTGACAGAGTTGGACATCATCTGCGTACAGATGACACCGCACCCCGAAACTCCGGATGATCTCACCCAGCGGCTTCATGTAGATATTAAACAGCATGGGGGACAGTATAGAAGCCTGTGGAACCCCACAAGTCAAAGGCTGTGGTGTAGAACAGGAGTCCGCCAATAACACCTTCTGGGTGCAACCCTCCAGAAATGACTGGAGCCACTGCAGAGCAGTGCCCCCAAGACCCATTCCCGCAAGGCGTCCCAGAAGGATACCATGGTCGACGGTATCGAAGGCCGCTGAGAGGTCCAGGAGCACCAACAGGGACACACTCCCCCTGTCTAGCTCCGGCGCAGATCATCCACTAAGGCGACCAAGACCGTCTCGGTTCCATGTCCCGGTCTGAAACCAGACTGTGATCCAGATAATCCGTGTCTCTCAAGAATACCTGGAGTTGTGAGGCCACCACGCTTTCCATGACTTTGCCCAAAAAGGGGAGATTGGAAACAGGCCGAAAGTTGTCCAATTTCGTGGGGTCCAGTGATGGTTTCTTCAACAGCGGTTTTATAATAGCTTGTTTTAAGCTCGCTGGAATCTTGCCTTCCCGAAGGGAGGCATTCACCATCACCGTTACCCACTCAGCCAATCCCCCTCTGGCCTCCCTCAGAAGCCAGGATGGGCAGGGGTCTAGGATGGACGTGATGGGCCTCATTCCTCCAAGTATCTTGTCCACATCCTCGGGTTTCACAAACTGAAAAGAATCCATCAAAATAGGACAAGCAGGTGCTCTTGTCACATCCTCAGAGACTGCATTTAACATGGCGTCCAGCCCAGAGCGGATCAAGGCGACTTTGTCTGCAAAGAACCGAGCAAATGCTTCACAGCGCGTGACCGAATTGTCAGGGCTCCCGCCTGAGGTGGCGGGAGTTAAAAGACCTCTGACAATCCGAAACAACTCTGCCGGACGGTTCCTTGCAGACGCAATAGTGGCCGCAAAGAAAGTTTTCTTTGCGGCTTTTATTGCCGCGGCATATGCCCTTAGAAAGGACACAAACCGTGCTCGATTTGACTCGCTCGGATCCGAACACCACACGCTCTCTAGTTCCCTCTTCCTTCGCTTCATCACTGCCAGCTCCTCAGTAAACCAAGGAGCTGGTTTAGCTCGGCTACTTGAGAGGGGACGTTCCGGAGCGATCATGTCAATTGCCCTGGTCATCTCCCCATTCCAGAGAGCGACCAAGGCCTCGACATGGTCACCTACCGAGGTGGCGGGCAAATCCCCAAGAGCCGTCAGGAATCCATTCGGATCCATAAGCCTCCTGGGGCGGACCATCTTAATGGGTCCTCCACCTTTGCAGAAGTTAGGGGGCGCAGTGAGCCTAAATCTGATCAGGAAGTGGTCAGTCCATGACAACGGAGAGATGGACAACTCCTCCACACCGCCACCCTGCTCTCATCCGTGGCAGAAAACCAAGTCCAATGTATGTCCAGCACAGTGGGTGGGGCCAGATATTTGTTGGGACAGCCCCATGGTTGCCATGGCAGACATGAAGTCCTGAGCCGCTCCTGTGAGGGTCGCCTCGGCATGGATATTGAAGTCTCCCAGCACAAGAAGCCGTTGAGACTCCAACGCCAGGCTCGAGACTACCCCCGCTAGCTCAGGTAGGGAGACTGTAGTGCAGCGAGGTGGACGGTACACTAGCAGAATCCCTATTCTTTCCCGGTCACCCACCCTCAGGTGGACGCATTCAAAATTTGTGGTCTGCGGGATGGGGCTCCTGGTCAGATGGATGGAATCTCTATAGACCACTGCGACCCCGCCTCCCCGACCTCCGGATCTCGGTTGGTGCTGCACGGAGAAGCCTGGAGGACAAAGCTGGGTTAGATTCACTCCTCCAGCTTCATCCAGCCAGGTCTCCGTGATGCACGCCAGATCTGCCCGCTCATCCAGGATTAAATCCTGGATAAAGGTCGTTTTTCCGTTGACAGATCTGGCGTTCAGCAGCACCACCTTCAATCCGGCGGGCCCGCCAGCCTGGTTACACCAATTTACCCTAGGAGACCGGTTTGGGATTGTTAATGTAGATAAGCGGTCCGAATTAAGCCGAATTTGAGGTCTCCTTTTTCCGCATCTCCTCCTCCCCACCACGACCTCTATGGGGGCCCCTCGGCTAGTGGAACACCTCCCCTCCTCCATGCCGCAATCCAAAACCAAGGTCTTAGTCTCTGTTTCGCTAGTTGTTTGGTTTGTTGGCGTTTTTTCTTGCCAATTACCTTGATTCTCTTTCTCCCCCCTCCCCACCTCATTGTTATCCACGGGCTCCAGCCCACTTCCTCCCTTGCCCCTTCCACTAGTCACTAATATCAAGGACAGTATAAGTAGAAGAGTGGGGGACCACATGGGTGATAACAGTACACTTCAGTAAGATTGGTAGTGGAAAAGAGTAGTGAACGTTTCAGCCGCGAAAGTAAAATAGTACATAAAGTGCAAGAGTCTTAACGTGCAACAATAGTAGGCTCCACGGCTGCGTGCCACTAGGGCAATTCATAAAGTGCAACGATCTTAAAGTGCGACAAAATACCTGAGTCTGGCCCTCACCATTAACTAAAGTGCGGCAAGGAGGGATCGGGAAGGGGCGTAAGTGCAAGTATGGTTTAGCAGCAGAGGCAGGCGCCTTAAAGTGCTATATTACGTTCTTAATACCACTTAGCAGCAAAGATGGACAAGGAACAGTAACGAGCAATTTCGCAATATGTAAACACAGTGTTACAGAGATTAGCGGTTGGTAAAAATGCTGTGATTCAGATGTAATCTGTAGACGGCTGATGTAAAATAGCGGATGAATCTCTCAGTCTTCCGGAGATGGTCGACACGGCGGTGGTCAGCCCAAGTTGGTCTATATCCAGCTTAAGTTGCACAAACGGGCAACACACTATCGGTCAACACAGAAAAAGGTCCACACAACAAGGTCTACACAATATCGGCCTGTTGTTGTTGTTGTTGTTAATACAGTTCTTCTCTATTCAGTTTTATCCAGATTACCAAGACTACAATTCTCAACAAACCTGGCCAGGACTGACAATAGGTGCAGTCCAACACATTACACCCTTCCCCCTCTCCAGGAGCTGTGACTTACATGAAGGCGGTCAGGGCTGTGTGAAGGGGAACCATTGGCAGGTGTGGACACTGGGTATTCCCCTAGCCAGGCCTCACAACTGTGTTGGGAAAGGTTCCTGCGATGACTTCCCTGCAGAGAAAGAGAAAAAAGAAGGAAGAGGATTTCCCACCTACTTTGCATGTCCAATCACTTCCTAGAGCCATTGTCCTCCACTCCACACCCCCACACAACACTCTCCCTCCTGATACATATACACACAACCACTTTCTGCATAACAACACAAGCCTGGTCCCCTCTGTGACATATCCAACGAAGGCATCTCTTTTCTCCTCTTGAAGGCAGGGAAACCCAGATGAACCTCTCCAATCTCCCCCACTGCCTTACCTTGGGCACTCGGGTCTCTGGCAGCACCATGGATTTGGTGTAGCCCAGCTTCTTGTCTCTGGCCCTGGAGAAACCCTGGGAAGTGGGCGAGTACAGCTGCTGCCCAGCCTTCCCTCCGTCTTCTGTCTGATCCAAGGGTTCACCCAGAGCAGATCTTTTTTCTTCTGGGGCTAAAAGACTGTGTCCCTCTGGCAGTACCAAGCTCTGACAAAGCAAACACATAGATTAGCAGGTTTGGAAGGAAAAAGAGGGGTGAATCTCTCTGGGAAACAGGGCCAGTGACAGGCAAGAGCGTCTTGTTAGAGAGGCTGCCTTCCCCCACCACCTCCCCCCAGCTCTAAAACAAACTGATTCCTGGATTCTTAATCCGCAAGCTCCCCTGAGATTTCTTTCAACCTTCAGCTCCCATTGCCCAGGGCTCTCTGTCCTTCCGGCCCACAGCTTTCCTACACCAAGGCCCCCACTGCTGCAGGTATATGAACAAGACCTTCCGGGCACAGGCTCCTCTCCAAGGATGGAGGGAGGGGGCACGTGGCAATGGGGCCGTGGAGAGAAAGAATGGGCTTGGAGATTAATCAGCAGACTGGCTCCTTCTTCTCCCCGCTTTGCTAGGACACATAGTTCGTTAGAGTAATTACAGCTGAATTTCACAGGCACCTGGCGGGTAGCCCAAACGGTTCAGCTTGGCCTAAGGTGCCAGGGAGCGATGGGCTTTGGAAGCAGCCTCTGGGAAAGGAAGGAGGGAGGGAGGGAGGTGGGAGGAGGTGTCTGTCAACAAGCTCTCCAGTCACAGAGCTGGGCCTGCAGTAACAATCCCAAGAAGTGAACCTGTGTTCTCCCTGAATTGTCTTACTTGCAGGGAGAGAAAAAAGAGGATGTGTGGCTTTACACAAGTACAGAAATGCTCATATATTTTGCCTTTCTGTCACAATTTGCCCATACACCTTACTGATTGGGTTGTTGTAGGTTTTTTCGGGCTATATGGCCATGTTCTAGAGGCATTCTCTCCTGACGTTTCACTTGCATCTATGGCAAGCATCCTCAGAGGTAGTGAGGTTTGTTGGAACCTCTGAGGATGCTTGCCATAGATGCAGGCGAAATGTCAGGAGAGAATGCCTCTAGAACATGGCCATATAGCCCGAAAAAACCTACAACAACCCAGTGATTCCAGCCATGAAAGCCTTTGACAATACAGCTTACTCATTCATAGTTATAAAGGTCTGTTCCTAGGCACTCCATGAACTAGACTTAACGGTACTTTACAAAAGCTGATGCTACCAAGGTTTCATTTATCACTTTTAAAAATGACATTTCCTCTCAATTTTGGATGCTGTCAAGAATACAGCGCTCCATGAAGTCATGCTGGCCACATGACCTTGGAGGTGTCTACGGACAATGCTGGCTCTTCAGTTTAGAAATGGAGATGAGCACCAACCTGCAGAGTCAGACACGACTGGACTTAATGTTAGGGGAAAACCTTTACCTAAGAATACTGATCAGTTATTGGCAATGATCCATGGCAATGGTGCACTTTAAAGGAGCCCCCGGTGGCACAGTGGGTTAAACCCCTGTGCCGGCAGGACTGAAGACCGACAGGTCACAGGTTTGAATCCAGGGAGAGCGCAGATAAGCTCCCTCTATCAGCTCCAGCTCCTCATGCGGGGTCATGAGAGAAGCCTCCCACAAGGATGATAAAAAATCATCAAAAATCATCCGGGCGTCCCCTGGGCAACGTCCTTGCAGACGGCCAATTCTCTCACACCAGAAGCGACTTGCAGTTTCTCAAGTCACTCCTGACATGACCAAAAAAAAAGCCATTGCTGAGGCTGAGGAAGAAAGATGCCGGCACATTCTTTCCAACTAAAGACATACATGGCAAAGATGCTGCACTTGTTCAGAGACATATGGAAGCCAGACCACAGCACAGTGATACCTTGACTTAAGAATGTAATTCATTCCATGACCAAGCTCTTAACTCAAAATGCTCTCATATCAAAGTATTTTTTTCCCCACCGAAATGCTATTAATCTGTTCCGTGCTCCACCCGAAAACACCCCCAATTTTTGCTACATGTTTTTAAATAAGAAAATGTAATGTATAAATAACAAATAATATATAAATGCACATTCACACGGAACAAGAAAAAGAAAGATCAACTTTAAAATGGTAGAAACACAAAGTTGCATCAAGGAAGCACAAAGAACAAAGAGGCAGAAGCATCCTTTTCTTCATGCTGTACTCATTCTAACCTACTTCCCTCACTTGCTCTCTCTCTTCCTCCCTCTTTATGAAGCCAAACAAACCAGGAATAAAAACCACACAAAATCAATTCACCCAAAGTTCCTCAAAGTGGACAAGAACAATGCAGGCAGCAGTCTTCCAAAGTGGACAAGAACATGAGGCACAGAAGCACAAGGCACAGAGGCTGCTCCCATGAAGCCCTAAAGACCTGTACTCTGGTGCTGGCTCTTATTCAAAACACTGCTCATATGTCAAAGCAAAACCCAGGCCGAGTAACGGCGCTTAAATGCTCTTAAGTAGGATGCCCTTAAGTCGAGGTTCTACTGTATAGGCTGAATGAACAAGTCACTACTGCCAACAGCAGTTGCATCAGACAATGGAAACCAAGTGACAACAGTGACATGCTTTGTTTATCGCCCCCCCGTTAATAAGAAAATGAAATTTCAGGCATAATTTTTGTTTTTTGATTAAATAACCAGATTCAAAAAGTCTCTATTGGAATAATTCAGGAAAACTTGCATACATTAAAAGAGGTCATTTGCTACATTACATTTCTCTACACCCAGTGTGGTGACAGGGATACCCATGCAATCATTTCACCATGCACCAGTCACATTGCTCACTTCTCTAGCTTAGGTGATGAAGGCTCATGGTTTGAATATTAGTGGAATAGTGAATCTGTTCTGGATTTTAGCCTGAACTTTAAATAAACTATCCAAGAAGCTGTGCCCTAGTGCCATAATAAGTTCAGCACCATGGATAGCTCATTTACAGTTCAAACTATAAGTTGAAATGAATTCAATATCTCCCTTGGAGTTTGGACAGAAACTGGCTTACTGATATTAGATTGATATTGACTTGGCCATGGTAGTCCATGCTCTGGTTACATCTGTATAGACTACTGCAACACACTCTACGTGGGGTTGCCTTTGAAGACTGTCCGGAAGCTTCAAATGGTCCAATGGATGGCAGCTAGATTGCTAACGGAAGCGGCGCTCAAGGATCATACAACTCCTCTGTTGCGCCAGCTCCACTGGCTGCCAATTTGCAACCGGGCACAATTACAAGTGCTGGCTTTAGCCTATAAAGCCCTAAATGGTTCTGGCCCATCTTATCTGTCCAAACGCATCTCCCCTTATGAACCTTCTAGGACTTTAAGATCTTCTGGGGAGGCCCTACTCTCGATCCCGCCCTCATCACAAGCACAGCTGGCAGGGATGAGAGACAGGGCCTTCTCAGTGGCGTCCCCTCGGCCATGAAACGCTCTCCCTAGGGATATCCGATTGGCCCCCTCCCTTTTAACATTCTGGAGGAAAGTCAAGAAAGTCAAGTATAGTGTATCTGACATAGGAAAATGGAACGATTAGACAATGTTATTGGTCAATGTTTTCAGCAAGGAGATGCTAATGATATATGTTTGTTATTGTCTTTGCTATGGTTTTATAATATTTTAATGTTTCTAATTGTATTTTATGGTCTTGGTACCAACTGTGAACCGCCTCAAGTCGCCTGCAGGCTGAGAGGGATGGTATATAAATATAGTAAGTAAGTAAGTAAATAAACAAATAAGAGGCAATTGCTTCCACTGAAGTCAAGGATGGCCGACTGTGACCTTCTTCATGTCATTTCTTTTGTTTACATTTCCTACAAACCCAAACCAGAGAAGTCAATGTTGGCGAATTATGGATGGGGTTAGGGTCATAACTGCTGACTCTTGAAGCCTATTCACACTGGTGAATTACAGTGTTATTATTCCAATATCCCATGAAATTCTGTGATTTTTAGATGAGGGAGGGGTCTTCAGCCAGAGAGCTCCCCCTCAATTGCCTCTCACCAAATGACAATTTCGCAGGATGTAGCCATGGCAGTTAAAGTGGAACAATTGTAGTGATACAATAAGATGATTCAGTATTTCATATAGTTTTAATCTGTTTGATTGATTGATATGTGTTTTAATTGCTTATATATTTAGATTGTTTATATTTTGATGAGATATGTTTTATTGTTTACCTCTGCAGCTTTGAATTTTTGCTAAATTTGTAAGCCACCTTGAGTCCCCTTCAGAGTCAAGAAAGGCAGGGTAGAAATGAAGTAAATAAAATAAATAAATATGCAATGCAAATGGGCTCATCGTCTAGGGCAGAGGTCCTCAAACTAAGGTCAATGGGCCAGATGCGGCCCTCCAAAGTCATTTACCCGCCCCCCATCTTAAACTGAAGACTAGTTCTGAAACGACTTGAAGGCACACAACAACAATCCTTGACTATTAACTTGACTATCTCATCAGTCAAAAGCTGGCCCATTGAAGTACTGGTAACTTTATGTTGGTTAAAACTTTCCTTCATTTTAAATATTGTACTGTTCTTTCATATATTGTTCTGCACTACAAATAAGATGTGTAGGTAGGAATAAGGTAGGAATTCAGTCGTGTTTTTTTTTTCAAACTGTTGTATGGCTCCCAACAGTCTGAGGGACCTCTTTTTATAAAATTTGAGGACCCCTGGTCTAGGGCCTAGGCAATGGACAAGCTTGATCTCCAAACAGTGAATTCATTCTTTGTAAGGCGTGACTGCCCTGTTACCCTCCCCCACAAAAAAAGACTGTGTCTTATATTAATTTTTGCGCCCAAAGATGTGCTAGGTCTTATTTCAGGAGATGTCTTATTTTTCCATGAAAAAGAATTCCCATTTATTGTTGAACAAAAAAATGAACTTTTATTATATACCGTACAGTATACACAGGGCCACAAAAAATAAGAGCTGTAAAGTACCTCGCTCCCACACACTGTCTGGAGACTGTAAAGTAGGGACGGTATTGTAGGTTCTGGCCACCTGGGGGAGCATGCTTCCAAACAAAATCTGCTGGGTCTTATTTTTGGGGAGGCCTTATATTTAGCAATTGAGCAAATCCTCTACTGGGTCTTATTTTCAGGGGATGTCTTATTTTCAGGGAAACTGGATAAGAATGGATGAGACTGTTTCACTGTTTGAATGATTGTTTTACTGTTTATGGATGTATTTTAATTTGATTTATGTCTAACCGTAATTGTATAATTGTAATTGTTTGTGCTGGCATTGAATTTTGCCATTACCTATGTGGAAACCGCTTTGAGTCCCCTTCGGGGTGAGAAAAGCGGTATACAAATGTTGTAAATAAATAAATAAGAAAACATCATCCTTTCAGAGGAGAAGCTGAGAGTGACCTGATAGTTTGCACAGGAGGGAGGGGGAGGGGGACAACAATAAATAATTTAAGGGGAAGAAAAATGCTAAGGAATGGAACTACAGACTAGTCAAGACTGACTATGTCCATTGATTCCAACAAATTCTATGTAGGAGATGATGATGAGAAAACAGAGAAAAAAGAGGGTAAGGGAGTATCCTAGAAAAGCAAGTGCTTCGTTGGCATCCTGAACAACAGCAACCCACATGCAGGCCCCACAATCTATAACTTTGTAAATGTTTTCTGCCTGTTCATGTCTTCAAATTAATGACAGCCAGGGTAGTGATAGGCCTATAGCATCCCTCTTTGCTACTCCTTGTTGGGGGAAATTCTTGAAGTGGCCAGAGGGAAGGCCTGCACTACAAGCTGTATATGATGGGCATCACTACTCCAAAATAGCACTTCACCTCACCTTCTCGTGATTCTTCCGTGGTGGTTTCCATGACTTTTCACCTGTAGCTGGCTTATAGAAGTAACTGCGCAGAGAGCTGGAATCTATGTGTTGTTCCCAGCATTCAAGCACCTCTAGTGGGGGGCTGCGAGGGCTGGGGGGCATCGCCACTATCTGTTTCATCTCCTCCAGGTTGCAGTAAAGGGGGGCATCCCTAATGGGACCAGGGGGAGGGTGGTGTGTATCATCCAACATCTGTCAGAGGAAAAGAGATAGATCTGGTTTTACCTTTAAAAAAAGAGGAAGCTTATTTTCGTTATGGAAGTGCTACTTTGGTGGATGGAGGTTCGCAACTCCCAGAATCCTTTGGCAGAGGGATTTTGAGAAGTGTGGTCTCAGGAGGCAACTTTTCCCAGCTACATAATGGACTGAATAAAATGTCAAGAAACTCCATGAGATGCCACAGTGGACCCCCTGTAAGGAAAAACGAATACCAAATTTTCCCAGTAAACATTTCCCTACTATTCTAGATCACTGAAACTCAAGTTGGGTCACACCTGTGGCAACAGAAGCATGTGTTTCTTTCTGACTGCTTATACTGTACTGTGAACTGCCCTGAGTCCCCTTCAGGGTTGACAAGGGTGGTATACAAACACTGCAAATAAATAAAAATATAATAATAAATAAATAATTTTAGTACTACACTGGCCAATACACATTTTGGTGCCTCAAATGTTAGACCTGTTTTCTGGGTATATTTGACCTGCTGATTCCAACGATGGTACCAGTTTTCACCAGTTTTCCTTATTTGCTCTTGTTTACAGAACATAAGGCATCTACCAGTTGCTATCTACTCACCTATCAAAAATCATGATAACCATATCTAAGAAATGAGAGCTGATACGGTCCATACAATGCAAATTTCTGAATCAATAGCCCAAATAACCCCAGAAACAGGCCTAAAAATCAAGACACCAAGGTTTGCTGTGAGTTTTCCAGGCTGCATAGCCATGTTCCAGAAGCATTATCTCCTGATGTTTTGCCCACATCTATAGCAAGTTGTGAGGACCTCTGACGACCACAATCTCTGAGGATGACTGCTATAGATGTTGGCAAAACTTCAGGAGAGAATGCTTCTGGAACATGGCCATATAGCTCGGAAAACAAGTAACAACCCAGTGGTTCTGGCTGTGAAAGCCTTCAACAACACAAGACACCAAGATTTTTTTAAAATTGCGCTGTGCTGTGATTGCATTCTACTAGCTTTGGTTCCATCCTATGGAGTCCTGGGACTTGTAGTTTGGCCAGAATCTCTGCCCATGCGTTCCTGGATGAGGCTTTTAAAGGTCCCTCCCTCCACTGACAATCTGGATTCCACAGATAGCAATTAAAGTGGAATCATAACACTTTAATTCTGTAGTGTGAGAGAGCCCTGTCTCAAGACACACCAAGGGGTTCAGATGACTCTATCAGCAGCCCTGCCCACATTGGTTGCTCAAGCTCCAGAGAAAACAGAAGTCTTGCTTCATTACTGAGGTTATAAAGGGTTTTCCCTCTACAGCACTTTGGAGAGCCAACCAATATCCCTTGCTAACTCCTTTGGTTTTGTGTTGATGTGTCCCCCAGTCCCACCACACACCCTGTCCTCTTTCCGCCCACCCCACTTCTACCTGGAGCCTTGAAGCCTTCCAGCAGCACCCCGGCCTCCCACTCAGCCTTGTACTTACTGCTGCTAGTGCCTGGGACAGTGGATGAGTTCAGAGGCACACCCTGAGGAACAAGGTCTGTCCTCCTAGTGGCTTCCCCCACATCCTGTGTGGGCACAGCGTCCCACCTCCTTCCAATCAGAGAAGGGGAAAAAGGGGAAGTGGTGCAAAGAGAGCAGGCAGATGCTCTGATATGGCATAGCGAGCAAAGAGACCAAAGGCATCCCATGCAAAGAGCATGTGTCATGTCATCTCAATAGGGGAGGAAAGATCCATACACACAAAGAACTCCCAATGTGGCCTTCCTTAGAAATTAGTCATTGTTGACACATTTTAAGGCAACATAGAGTGACTGGAGTAGAAAGCAGTCAAAATCTGTTCTACAATGTTCTTGTTTCATGTAGTCCCCACTCTCTGAAAAAAAATTGCTCACAAAGGTTTGGAAATAATGCAACTGTAAAGCAATGTTCGTTGTTGTTGTTGTTGTTTTGGCATTTTATTATGCATCTTAGTCATTTTAACTCTTTGGGAAAGTGTTTTCAGTGTAACTATGTTTATTTAAATATTTTTCATTATTATTTTAGATTATTTCTATTTTTTTGTAGTGATAAGTCTATTGATGTTGTTTGCTTTGCTTTGATTTGTTTGTCTTTGTTGACTACGGCATTGAATGTTTGCTTTTTTTGTATGCAGGGGCAGCTCAACCCATTACGCAAAGTAAGCATTTGCAGTAAAGTTGATTTTGCCCAGGGGGCGCTCTTGGGGGAAAATAGACCTTGACATATGCGAGTTGTAGTTACTGGGATGTATAGTTCACCTACAATCAAAGAGCATTCTGAACTCCACCAATGATGGAATTGAACCAAATATGGCACACACAACTCTCACGACGAAGAGAAAATATATATCAGTGATTGGTTTGGGGGGGGGGGGGGCAAAATACTGTTTGCTTACCGTTGAAAATTACCTAGGGGCTGTCTCTGTTTGTATGTAAACCGCTGAGTCCCCTCAGGGAGAGAGGGCGGTCTATAGATAAAGTATTTCTTATTATTTATTGTTTTGTACAATGAGGCTATGAACACTGCTTTCATGCATTTAACAATAGTGCTGGTATGCAGGGATTTGCATTATTTATACTTTTTATTGGAGAGACTTTATGAGGGGAAAACATTTTCAGCCATTTTTAATAGAGGCTCACTTATAAATGTTGGGTAAGCAAAAATGTTGGATAATAAGGAGGGATTAAGGAAAAGTCTTTTAAATGTCAAATTACATTATGATTTTACAAACTAAACATCAAAACATCACGTTTTACAACAAACTGACAGAAAAAGCAGTTCAATACACACTAACGTTATGTAGTAATAGCTGTATTTATGAATTTAGCACCAAAACACCGCAATGTATTGAAACTGCTGTGGATGCAGGCGGGAGGCAGACTGCGTTGGATAATACAGAATGTTGGATGAGCGAAGGTTGGATAAGCGAGACTCAACTGTACCACCAAACAACATATACTATGTAGCTATTCTATCTTTTCCTTCTGGGTGTCTTAGTGTCTATTTTGCAAGATTAGGAAAAAGATCAGAAGACATACGAGAGTTACACATGGATGTAAACCATGCCTGGATACCCTACACCAGGAGTCCTCAAACTTTTTTAAACAGGTCACAGCCCCTCAAATTGTTAGAGGACCGGATTATAATGTGAAAAAAAGCATGAAAGAATTCCTATGCACACTGCACATATCTTATTTGTAGTGCAAAAAACACTTAAAAACAATACTATAATTAAAATGAAGAACAATTTTAGAAAATATAAATTTATTAGTATTTCAATGGGAAGTGTGTGCCTGCTTTTGACTGATGAGATAGGATTGTTGTTGTTGTTGTGTGTTTTCAAGTTGTTTCAGGCTTAGGTTGACTCTGAGCGAGGGCCGGGTAAATGACCTTGGAGGGCCGCATCCAACCCTCCAGGCCTTAGTTTGAGGACCCCTGCCCTACACCATGCCCTCCAACATTTCTCAGTTGAAAACCAGGATATATGTGACCAAGCGGTATCAAAGTGGAGGCAAAATGGGAAGCACTATTAATAAGGAAGACAACACAAGCTAGGAGATACTGCAGTCATTTGCTTTTGCTGATCCTACTGGGAAGGGCAATATATTATCACCACCTCTGCCATCTGCTGGATTAACTGATTATTTTTGTATTTTCAACCCAGTTTGTACAAATGGAAGTAAATTAAGTTTGAAAAAGGAAAGTGGGAGGAAGAGAGGGCTATTTTAAAAGCAGCTGCGATGACAGAAGATGAGTCAGAACTATTCTTGCTCAATCAAGACAGTTGGAGGATGTGGTTTAAGGTAGCTTGGAAGTACCGTACATACCAAGAGAGAGCAACAGGCCAGAAGAAATAAACAAACTGTGTATGTGCACACACCTTCAAGCCATCTACTGATTCGTGGTGACCCCATGAATTTCATAGTATTTTCTTAGACAACAAATACTCAAAAGTGCTTTCACCAGTTCCTTCCCCTGAAATGTAGCTGATAGCACTTGGCATTCCTTGATGATCTCCCATTCAAGTACTAACCTGACTTTGCCCTGCTTAGCTTTCAAGATCGGATGGAATCTGCTGGTGTTAGGGTATTTAGACCCTAAAGAAATGTTGTGTTGTGTGCCTTCAAGTCATTCTGTAACAAGCTATTCTATCACTGAATTTTCTGAGCAATATTTGTTCAGAAAGAGTTTGCATTTACCTTCTTTAAGGCTGAGAGAATGTGACCCACCCAAGGTCACCCATGGTTTCTATGGCTAACCTTGGTTTCCCAGAGTCATAGTCCAACGATCAAACCACTATGTCATGTTGGCTCTCATTAAAGAACAACATTGATGGCTTAAGACAAAGCCAGATTTGGAGTGTGGCTTGGTTTCGCACCAGATGTATGTAGATCCTTATTTCTGATCAGTTAAATCATTTCCACAACAATGACTGACCGATGGAGAGGTCATAAGCCTATCATTAGCTGGTGGTTTCCCATGGCTGTCATTTTATATGCAATTCATAAAAGCAGATCAATATTATCCATGACCCAAACAGATAAGAGTACTTTTACAAACATTGATTGCCCCTTGAAATCAGAACAAAGAAATGCTTTGTCAAATAATGCACAATTAACAGAATTAGCCAGTACAAGTTTTAGTGATGACTGTCAATTGGTTAGATGATATAAAAACAAAACAAAAGAATTAAATATATTAATGAAGGTGTATTTGTGGCCCTAACCAAAATGAAAGCATATGCTAACCTAAACATTCAGCAATAAATATGGTGGCTCATGGTATCTGCTAGAATTTAGTTCCCTGTTAATGGAATTAAACTAAATACCAAAATCCACTGATGCTTAAATCCCATTATATGCAATGTTACTCCCTATATAAAATGGAAAAATCAAGGAGCTGTGGTAGCACAGTGGGTTAAACCACTAGCTGCAAGAAATGAGCTCACTGAAGGGTTAGCAGTTCGAAGCTGCAAGTCGGGATGAGCTCCCGGCTGTCACCTCTAGCTTCTGCCTACCTAGCAGTTCAAAAGCATGTAATGTCAATAGATTAATGGGTACCGCCTTGGCGGGGAGGTAAAAGGGCACCCCATGCAGACATGCAGACATGACGGCAACACAATCGGAGACGTCTATGGACAACTGGCTCCTCTGCATGGAAAATTGAACAAAAGCATCTCCCCATGGCTAGAGATGAGCATCGCCTACAGATGCTGGAGGAGATTAAAGGGTTTACCTCTGTCTGTGTATTTTATGTTGTTTTAACTATGTAAAAAGGCACTGAATGTTTGCCTTATATATGTAAACTGTAATCCGCTCTGAGTCCCTCCGGGGAGATAAAGTGGAATATAAAGTGGAATATAAAGTGTATTATTATTATTATTATTATTATTATTATTATTATTACTACTACTACTACTACTAGCTGTCCCCTGCCATGCGTTGCTGTGGCCCAGTCTGTGTAAATGTGTTTTGTGTGTGTATATATATGTCTGTGTATATATACATGTGTGTTTGTGTGTGTATATATGTGTGTATTTGTGTGTGTATACGTGTGTATATGTATATTGTGTATATGTGTGTGCTTGTGTATATATGCATATATACGTGTTTATATGTGTGTATGCATGTGTATATGTGTGTAGGTGTATATGTGTGTATGTGTATGATTATGTGTGCTTGTGTATATATATGTGTGTCTGTATGTATATTTCTGTATTTATATGTGTATATGTATATTGTGTATATGTGTGTGCTTGTGTATATGCATATATATGTGTATATATGTGTGTATATATGTGTATATGTACATGTGTGTAGGTGTATATGTGTGTATGTGTATATTTGTGTGTGCTTGCATATATATGTGTGCCTGTATGTGTGCATGTGTATATGTATATTTCTGTGTTTATATGTTTATATGTATATTGCCCCCGGTGGCGCAGTGGGTTAAAGCACTGAGCTGCTGAGCTTGTTGATCGAAAGGTCGCAGGTTCGATTCCGGGGAGCGGCGTGAGCTTCCGCTGTCAGCCCTAGCTTCTGCCAACCTAGCAGTTCGAAAACATGCAAATGTGAGTAGATCAATAGGTACCGCTCTGGCGGGAAGGTAACGGCGCTCCATGCAGTCATGCCGGCCACATGACCTTGGAGGTGTCTACGGACAACGCTGGCTCTTCGGCTTAGAAATGGAGATGAGCACTACACCCCAGAGTCAGGCATGACTGGACTTAATGTCAGGGGACTACCTTTACCTTTACCTATGTATATTGTGTATATGTGTGTGCTTGTGTATATGCATATATGTGTGTTTATATGTGTGTATGTCTGTGTATATGTATATAGGTGTATATGTATGTCCATGTATATGTGTATATTTGTGTGTGCTTGTGTATATATGTGTGTATGTCTGTATGTATGTGGGCATGTGTATGTGTGTTTGAACGTATGTGTATATGTATATATGGTTTATTTGGGGGGGGGTTAAAGTCCGTTCTGCTGGGTTATTTGTGTGTTTTTAGGGGTGATGGACACTCGTTGGCCTAATAGCGGTATTGTGTCCAAATTCGGTGTCAATTCACCTAGTGGTTTTTGAGTTATGTTAATCCCATAAACTAACATTTATTTTATTTATATAGATGATGATGATTAAGGACTGGTTTATATATATATATATATATATATATATATATATATATATATATATATATATTCAAGTTGTGGAGGTTTGAATCCATAGATGCAGAATCCATGGATATTGGGGGTTGACTGTACTTGATGTCAGCTACTGGCTTCAGATGAAAAGGCAGGTCCGTGGTCTTCATTCACCATTTAAAGAGTTTTCAGAAGCACTCATCTAGAGAATACTGGGAATACAACCCAGAAGGCTTGTTATTTCTGGCCTCTCACTGAATTATCCTGGTAGATCTCAGATAGATATGTCATGGATCAGCAAAGGCTTTCCAAACAAAACGACAACAAAGGGTTCCTCTCACATTTGCCCCATCCAGATAGTTAAAACCAAGAAAAAGTGTTGTGGGGAGGATAAGTTATGGATTTATGAAAAATGTCAGCATCTGTTCTTGCCCAAAGAGCAAAATATTGGTCTAAATATACACCCAGAGGGACCCTCATCCTTAATTTGAAGTGAACAGAATGCCACCATTTAGTATCTGGCTCCAGATGGTGGATCATTTAAAACAAAACTAAACACAGTCAGTCATTTGTATTAACAGGTTTAGCTTTTGTAGGTTTGATTAATATGTTCTCTCTAGGAATATTCAAGTCTTCCAGGATGATTCTATGGAGGACCTAGATATTTCCAGAGAGGTATTCTCTTAGGTTAAAAAAGTTTTTATTCACAGTTTTCCCTACAGCTCTAATCCCCACAGATATGGAAGGCCTACTGTAAATCTCTCAAGCCTGAAATCTGACCACCATATGTATATTTAATGAACAACAAGATTTCAGAAAAGGAAGATACTGATCTCACCATGTGCTTGCTCCCCTTCATCGTGAGTTCCTCTTCTGAATTTTGGGTCTGCTTTATACTCAACCTCTGTGTTTGCCATAAATCATTCAAGCTGTGCCTCCTGCCAAGAGAGTCAGGAGGAGCTCCCATCATGGGATGGGGGTGGCTGTGGAAGGCCTTGAGTCCCATGTGGAAAGATGGTGGATAGGTCTGTGAGTACAGGTCTTCCAGAGAACAAGACACCATTTCGAAGTGTGCTGAGAAGAAAAGTGACAGAGTCAGTCAACAGTATCAGGTAGAACCGGGGAAGGCTGGGGAATCTATGTGGAGGCTCTCTGCACATAGAATGGATCTCGGCAATATTACTGTAGCTGTGTGTGCCTGATTAAAACAAGTAAGGCAAATACCAGCTGCCTGCAGAATCCCTTGAGAAGTGACACTTGAGGAACACCAGCATCTACTGCAGTCTTCCTCAACATGCCCACTTCCAGATATGGTTGTCTGTAAACTCCATCACCTAGGGCAGTGATTCCCAACCTGTGGGCCGCAAGACTTAAAATAAGGTCCATGGCTCTAGATTATTAAATATGATTTTCTTTGGGTGAGCAAATGGCGACTACTGGATGGCATATGTTCTGTATCAGAAATTAGAGCTGATGTGGTCTATCCAATGCCATTTTCTGAATCAGTGCCCAAAATAACCAAACTAAAGTTGACTAAAAACTGATTCGTAACCCTTCTGGTACTAATGTTGGAGAGTGGTCCCTGCACAAAGTGATCCTTAGTGAAGTGGTCCCTGGTCAAAGTGGTCCCTGGTAAAAAAAAAAAAAGATTGGGAACCACTGACCTAGAGCCAGCTCTTGAGAAAGATAATGAGGCCATAATAATGCAATATGTCCAAGAGGTGTCTTTCAGTTGGTTCTGCTAGTTCTCAAATTAAATTGAGGGGAAGGACTAACCAATGATTTAATTAAGACTCATTCTGTGTGTCCTATATATTTGCTGCTCTCAGTGGTCACCAAGGGAGCATCTACATAGAATTAATGCAGTTTGATGCCACTGTCAAGTGATTTTAGCTCCACAAGAACTGCAGGTTCGTGGGCTCGGTGTGCCAAACTACAAAGGACCAAAATAAGACATGGATGAGCTGAAGGCAAAAGAACAGAGCCATTTATTCACCTTGGCCAAAGTGGATGTCAGCAAAGTTTGCACTCCAAAGAAATAAACATACAGGTTTAGTTATAACAATTTGAAATAAGAGGACTTTGCCATCCTGCCTGCTGATTGGTCTAAACCGGGGCTAGCTAGGTTCTGCTCATTGGTTGGTGGAGATGTGCCATCTGTCACTGCTGTTGATTGGCTTGCTGGTTTGGTGGGAATTTTAATAAAATGTCATTGATCAATTTGAAATCTTGTGGATGTTTTCTTGGTCTGCCCATGTAGAGGTGTGGGAGGAAATGAATGTGGGCAGGGTCTGTATTAATGGGGTTGATAGTCCTGTACCTATCCATCCAGAACAAGACAATGGGTTTTAGCTGGCTACACAATGGGTGCCAGGGGTATTGTCACAGCCTCAGTGAAATCCTAGGGAAGGGGCCTGATCAAGCAGTTGAGATCAGAAAGTGTTCCCAGGGATAAAACTTGATATCTTGGGAAAACCTTGTGGCTCTTCTTAAACCTATTTTGAGATTATCTGAGTATTGTGAAGGGATTATGTCTCTTTCTGGACCAAATGGTGGGATATTCCCTGATGTGTGTGTAGTACTTGTGCAAAATTTGGTGAGTTCATTTGGTAGTTGCCTGGAACTAGGGGATGGGTCATTACAGACTTTGTTTTTGGACACCCTTGGAGCTGTGAGTTTTGTGATCTGGTTCAGGGTTCTGGTGCTTCAATAACATCACTAACTGCCATGGCGTATTGCTACGGAATCCTACGAGTCATACTTTGGTGAATCACTTGCACTCTTTGACAGAGAAGGCTAGAGATCTTGTAAACCTACAACTCCCATCATATTATAGCACTGAGCTGTCACAAATTATCGTATTATATAATATTATATTATAGCATCATATTATAGCATTGAGCTGATAAACTAGCATCAAATTGTAGATGAACCCCAAATCAATAGTTCTGGTGGCTACCAGGGCCCATTTTACACGGCCATATAAAATCCAGATTATCTTCTTTGAAATTTATTATATGGTAGACTCATATAATCCAGTTCAAAGCAGATAATGTGGATTATCTGATTTGATAATCTGGATTATATGGCAGTGTAGAAGGGGGCTTTGTTTCAGCTCTGCCTGTATTTACTGCATCTGAGGTGGAATCATCTTGGGTTCCTATTCCATTCTCAAGTATGCCAAGTCCCATAGCAGTCCCCAGCCTGATGAATCAAATGTGTGGCTTGCCATGAAACTCACCAGTGCGACCATCCTGTACTGTATTGATGCCAGAACTCTTCTGTTGTGCAGTTGCTCTTGGAGATGTAGGCACTTCAGCCACATAGGTGGCAGGCACAAAGAGGGGGTACTTCTGCTTGGACTGATTGAGTCGGCGCACTTGCCACCAATCATCATTGGCCTTGCACATGAGCTGGAAGAGCTCACCTTCTGTGATGGTCACCCGCCTCCCATCATCAGATTTATATTGGTAGTTGTAGAGGGCCTGTAGCATCACAGCATCAGGAAGATCCATTGATGGTTTTAGCCAGGAGTGGTTAAGCCCTTGCCGCAGCTGGTGGCCTGAAAGCATTTTATTAAGCAGAATGTCTTCCTAAAGGATTATGAACCCCAATGACAGAGATAGCTGAGAGTTGAAACCTGTAAGGAGAACAGAATAGGGCACAACACTCAGGTGCTGCCAACATAAATATAAAAATTTATGCATCTAGTCTGTCCTATAGTCAGACTAGATTTATGGATATTATTTGAGATATTATAAACTACTGAGAGCCAATGTGGTGTAGGAGTTTGAACGCTGGACTTGGAGTCTGGTTGACCAGGGTTCGCTTAGCAATAGAAACCCATTGAGTGACCTGTGGGGAAGTCACACACTCTCGGCCTCAGAGGAAAGCAAACAAATTCTATCAAGAAAACCCCTTCTTAGGGGCAGCAGACATGACTTAAAGGCACAAAACGACAAGGAACTGCTGATATTTTCCTATGTGAAATCCCAAGGCAATGTGGATACCTGTAATATTATTTTGTATAACAGAGGAAATTCAAGCATATATTCATGGGAGTTATGTTCCCAGACTTCACATGGATAAATGAAACTCCGGATAATTGCTAATTGTATTATGTTCAATGGGATCGATGACAAGAGTTATCAATAACTCTTATTATTGTTTATTATTTACAGCATTTATATTCCGCCCTTTTCACTCCAAAGGGGACTCTGAGCAGATCACAGAACGCATACACATGTTAAACAGTCAGGGCAGCCAACAGATAGAGTATTACGTCAGCATTTTTCCCAACTTCGGCGTCCTGGAGGTTTTGCTCGATTCTGGCCACAGGGCAATGCTGTTGCTCCACCCTCTATGATGAAGAGCCCTTGATCACAGACTTCCTCCTTCCTTTGATCGCTGGCATTTTCTAGTATTTCCTTTATGGTACCATAAAATATCTCCCTACTTAAGTGGTGCCTAATTTGTCAACTCACAGCTCACAGCTGTTTTCAAACTGCTTAGCTGGACAATAAGCTGGGCTGAAGGTCAGGTGCTCACCCCGACCCGGGCTTCAAACTGCCAACCTTTTGATAGCTGCTGGTGATTGGCTTGACTATAACTGAATGAATGAATCTGTGTAGAGTAAAACTGCATATATCAGTTCTATGAACAACGGTAGAGTCATACCATAGACCAGTCTCTGTCAAAGGAGCCTCTTTTCACAAAGTATTTTTAAGAAACCAACATTTTCCTTTTTCTCTGTCTAGGTAGAACTTTGTAGCAGCATATATACTAAGAAATTATGACAGAGGACTGGATGTATACATATTTATTGTGCCAAGTTGTTGCAGCAGTGTTTATAGTTAACAATACAATGGGAAAGAATGGGATTCTGATCTTGGTGATCCTACTGTAGCTCCGTATGCTTGCTCAAAAACCATCAAGATAAGTAGTAGTTGCCCACAGAATTCCTTATGGAGCATGTATGAACAACAAAATAGAGATAAAAGTAGATAAACCTTCACTAGCTACACCCAGCATGTTAAAAAAAAGCGGAGATCTATAGAATATAATGGGATTCATTTTAAAAAAAGCAGAGACTGGAAGGGGGGGAATCTGGATGCATTCTATAAAATGCTTTACATTGGTCTCCAGAAGTCTTAATGTTTTATTTATTTATTTATTTAGAACTTTTATATATCGGTCTTCTCGACCTACGAAGAGGGACTCAGGCCGGTTCACAACAAAAGATTCATAAACAATAGTTTAAAACATCACATCCCATAACACACTAATACATAATACATAAAATACATTAAAATACAATAATATAATAACATAAGGCCAAGTCGTCAGAATGAAATCACAATTCATCACCATCCGTCTGTGTGTTCAAGGGTTATTGACTCACTCATCAAATGCTAAATTCCAGAGCCAAGTTTTAACTTATATTATTTTTTTTATTTTCGTGTCAGGAGCGACTTGAGAAACTGCAAGCTGCTTCCGATGTGAGAGAATTGGCTGTCTGTAAGGAGATTGCCCAGGGGATGCCCAGATGTTTTGATGTTTTACCATCCTTGTGGGAGGCTTCTCTCATGTCCCCACATGGGGAGCTGGAGCTGACAGAGGGAGCTCATCCGCGCTTTCCCCAGATTCGAACCTCTGACCTGTTGGTCTTCAGTCCTGCTGGCACAAGGGTTTAACCCATTGCGCCATCAGGGTCTTAACTTATGAAAGCATGATATGACCTGATGGTTTTACTTCATGTATGCATATTGCTAGTTTTCAATAAAAGGTTTGCTGAAACATGTTCAACTATTAATTAGTTGTGTGTGAGTTTTTTATGGTGTGGAAACTTATCCATATTATTTCCCCCTTATTCCTGACTCTGGTACCAATCTCTTTTGTTAAAAGCATAATAGCTAGGAACACATTTATTTTGTTAATGGTTAACCTTGTCCTCAAAATGCAAAATGGTCCGATAATGAAAATGCCCAATCTTCTAACTAAGGGCCCTTCCACACAGCTATTTAACCCAGAAGACCAAGGCAGAAAATCCCACAATATCTGCTTTGAACTGGGTTATCTGAGTCCACACTACCATATATTCCAGTTCAAAGCAGAAAATGTGGGGTTTTATTCAGCTATGTGGAAGGGGCTATAGACCAAAAGCACCCCTTGTCTGCATTTCTGTGGCTTCCTTGTGGCTTGTTTGAGGGTCAAGCAGAGGAAGGAATTCATGGCTTTCATAACATCTAGCAAATTCAGAAAACAGTGCTATTGCTTTTCCCAGAAAGCAATAGCATTGTTTAGCTCTTCCCGGCAGAGCGGTAACGGTCACTGGAAAAGTGAAAGCACGAGAAGTGGTCAAGTAGCTGTTGCAACAGGAAGCAACATTGTTCTTGTGGTGAGTTGCAGAGACGGAACACAGTACAGCCCCATAAAGGGGAAATTTTCCCAATGGAATTTGCTTTTCTTGAACAGAATAGACTCAAGAGGACAAAGCCAACTTGCCATTAACCAAATCCCTGGGATTCCCCAACTATGCCTTTCTTCCCAGTGTCTTCCCCAGAGTATGGTTGCAATTGAGCACCATCTCGCATATGTTTCTTCCAGGCAAAATCAGGCCACATCAAGCAGCCCTTGTAAGATCCAATCTGTATAATCACCTTAGACAAGCTGTATGGAGGAAACAAAATTGGTCTGCCGTTTCCCATTCTTTATCACAACAGCCAAAATGCTCAATCCTGCTCATGGATCCTCAGGCTTTATTGAGAAAGTTGGCATCACTTACGGTAGAACGTGCTCCTCCTTGTCTGATTGGCCTCCAATTCCCAAATTTCTAGGCAACATACCTAGTGGCTGAGCAATCATGGGAGTTGCAAAGTTTTTGTTTCAAAGCATAATACAGTTGCCCACCCCCGACACAGGATCTGAATTATGGAGCTCATGTCACCAGATAACAAGCAATACCAGCCTGAATTCCCTCTTCTACGGAACTCTAAGAGGCACATGAACCCTCTCCGGTTTTTGTTCTGGCAACCTTTACTTAGTATATAGTGTGAGCAAGTTGGGTAAGATAACCCAATAATTAACTTCATCACACTAGAGAATGAATCCACTTTAAATCTGGTTTCTGCCTCTTGCAGAATTCTGGGGTTTGTAGTTGAGTGAGGCTGTAAAAGGCTCCTCCCTAAACTATAAATCCCAGAATTCTGCATGAGGCAGAAATCGAATTTAAAGTGGATTCATTCCCTAGTGTGATGAGGTCAAATGTATTTTCTGAAATACAGTGCTGACTATATTTCAGGATATTTTAAAATTCTCTCTCAGTTGCAGGGAAACACAACAGTAAGTGGAAATTTAGCCTTCTTTTCCCTTTTATGAGCCAATATGCTTCATGCGCTGTTACTGACCTTTTACATCAGGCAGGACAACCTATAGGAGGACTGCAGTTCCCATCAGCCCTAGCCAACAGAGCCAATAGATAGTGAGGAATCATGACAGCTACCTTCCAGGAGCAACAGGAGAACCACATGTTCTGCATCCATTTTCTAAATGTTCATGCCTTGCTTTAAGGCAGTCAATGTACTGCGCCCTCCTACCTACTTGCATCACGTACTTGTTTCTGGGAGGAATAGGAATCGAACACAATGTGCAACGATTGCTTGGTATTTTAACATAAAGCTCACATTAGAACAGTGTAGGGAATAAGTTGCCCTCCACATTTTGTTGCTTCCAGTCCAGCAGCCCTAGTTATCATAGCCAATAGTGATGAATGAGAAAAAAGAGCTGGAAAGAAGAATCTAGTAATATTGTCCTTATTGAATCAGCAGTATCAGAATCCAGAAGACTTTGGCTCCCTCTTCACTGCCATATAATGTAGTTAAATTGCATTGTACAGCAGTGCAGATGGGACATTTGACAAGTAGTGGGGTTCTAGTATATGTATTAGTTCCACCACTTCTAACATTATGTTTGACATTTTAAAAAATTTACAAGACTAGACATGCTATCCAAAGCAACATTTAAGCTTTTCAGGAGTATTTTGCCTTTACTTCATGTTTCTTGCTTACAGTTTCAAGCTCCTGTTGAATACCCTCTTAAATGTTCCTTGAATTGTTTCTCAGAAGTGTTTAAAAATAACATCCCTTCCTGTTCTAGGAATCAGGACGGGATTTTGATAGCTTTATTTGTTTTGTTTCCATCTGTTTTCCTATATCAAAACAATTAAATGTTGATAAGCAAAAATGAAAATGAAAATACCCCAGTGCAAATCTCATAGGAACTCCCATACAAACACACACACAAAGAGAGAGAGAGAGATTGCCATCAGATGTGTACATATGTGCAGGGGGTTTCTTAGGCAAAAAATGCTCAGGTATTGCATTAAAAGGCCACAAGTTATACTTCAATTTTCATTTTCTAAGGGTCCTTCCACGCAGCCATATAATTCAGAATATCAAGCCAGATAATCCACAATATCTGCTTTGAACTGGGTTATCTGAGTCCACACTGCCATATAATCCAGTTCAATGTAGATTTAATACAGCGGTGTGGAATGGGGCCTAGTCTACAATGACTGTGTTAACACCACACACATCATTGTGGTTGAGGCTCCTTCTTTGGACGCTTTTAAACAGAAGCTGGATGGCCATCTGTAGGGAGTGCTTTGGATGTGATTTTCCTGCTTCTTGGCAAGGGTTGGACTGGATGGTCCATGAGGTCTTTTCCAACTCTATGATTCTATGATTCTATTATTCTAAACTGAGCTCCATTAACAGCAAGCTCATTTTATGCTGTAATTCACATTATTTCTGGCAACATCGCTGTGGACACTCAATTATTTGCTCCTTATGCAAATATACGTATGTCCACATTATATATGTATGCCTTGATAGGTCATTGGCCATCCTATTAAGTGAAACCGCTGATGTTTAAATGTTGATGGACGAAGGTGTACTGATACCAATATGGAAGGCAATTGCAAACCCACAAAATGGAAATGCGTGGGGTTTAATGGTAGGAAGGATCGGGGAAATCCCACCCCCAGCTACCTATGTGGGATTCAAAACCATGCCCATGGCTTAAATCTAAAGTCAGTTAGGACTGTGAGTAAATCCAAAATAACTTAGGTTTCCAGAAAGGTACGGGGTAAAAAGCCAATGTTTTAAGCTTGGATTTAAGCCCAGAGGGGTGAAAAAAAGTGAACTTGCTTCAAATCCTCAAGAATTTTGTGTGTTACACCAGCACCAGATAAGAGGTGAATACGGGATTTTATTCCCACCTAAGTAGACAACACCTCAGAAGCTGTTTTTGCCAATTCCTTCACGGAATATTTGCTGGCAATCCAAGTATTAATCAGAATTGACCTGGCTCAGCTTCCAAGATTGGAGGGGATCTGGTGCTTTTAGGGAACCTAGGCCCCCAAGTGGTGTGCAGTGATAAAATTATACTGCAAAATAGATTAAATTTAAAACAAAACAATTTACTTGGTTGTTATAAGAGATGGTTCAAGCTTTTGAAAAAGCTCAGGTATATGCTCTTGGATTTTGGAATCATAAATAGGAATGCACCTTATTCAGCTCCAGAATCTGTGAGAAAATATTTATTTTCTATTTGGAAGAGGGCCACACACCAAGTAAAGACTATTCCTGGGTTAACTGACAGCCCATGGCCCTTCTATATCCCAGATTATCAATTCAGAATATCTGCTTTGAACTAGGCTATCTGAGTCCACACTGCCATATATTCCAGTTCAAATCAGATGATGTGGGATTTTATTCAGCTGTGTGGAAAGGGTCCCAGTGAGGAGGATCGCTCATAGCCGCAGTGTCAAGACTGAGTAACCTCTACTCAAAATGGCATCTGAGGTTTAAAATGAAACCTGAGAGATGTGAGCTAATCAGTCAAGAACTCAGGGCTGACTCCACATTCAAGATGACAACCCACAATGAAGTGTCACTGGTGGGGTCCCTCATATGTCAGTGAGTCAGTATCCATGGAGTTCACTGTAAACTGCTATAAGTTATAGTTTTAGATTTCTCACAACCTTCCAGATTAACCCACCACTTCATCCGTACTGCATCCAAAAATGGCAGGCTCAAACCCAGAACCTCAATCAATGGCTGATACCAAATGAGAGACTCCCCCCTGAGCACACAGAAAACTGGGCGACTTGGAAGGCGCTGAACAGACTGCCCTCTGGCACCACGAGATGCAGAAACAACCTTCAGAAATGGGGCTACAAAGTGGAATCCTCGACATGCGAGTGTGGAGAAGAGCAAACCACTGACCACCTGCTGCAATGCAACCTGAGCCCTGCCACATGCACAATGGAGGACCTTCTCGCAGCAACACCAGAGGCACTCCAAGTGGCTAGATACTGTCCAAAGGACATTTAATCAACTACCAAACTTCACAAATTTTGTATTTTGTCTGTTTGTTTGCTTTATTCTGTTAGAAATGTAATATATTTGACTGGTTGCCCTGACACGACAAATAAAAAATAAATAAATCCGTACTGCAATTTTTCCTAGATGCAAATGTCAATTTCCTAGACCTTGGCTATCTACTTCTCTTATGCAATTGTACTTTATAGACAGCGATGAAGGCAAAAATGGAACTCTTTACTATCTGGCCACAGAAAGACAAACTGAGATCACAGCGCAATATTTTGCTGATTCATATGAACACTGCAAAATGGAAGACTCCGGAAGAGCTGTGTTTACCTGAATCCACATCATCACGAAAGAGGACACTCCTGAGTTAACTGGTTCTTCTGGTCTCAGATCCACTCTGTTTTTCATGCATGTTTCTATCTCCCATTTAGGCAGAGAGGGAAAGATGGAGCATTTCACTTGCTTATTGTATTGGGCTCAAAGCACAGGTATCGCACATCCGCCTTCATGCAGAGGTTAATGGTTTCCTGTAAGCCGCTGTGCGCTTCGTTGTTCAAATTCACCACAAGGCAGGAAGAACATCTTGTCTCTGCTCCACAGTCTGGTTAAGTAAACAGATACAAAATGTAAAAATTGCATTGCAAGGGTCTGTGTATATGGAAATGAGTATCTCTGAAGGTAATGAGATCCCCTAGAAAACAGCAAGAACAGAAGTTGCTATCCTATGCACATTTATATTGCATTAACTCTCACTGTAGTCAAAGATGGGACTTTGGACCCATGTTTAGAACAGAACTAGATGGTTGCAAACTGATTTAGGAGTACTTTCCACTGAAGTGGGACTTATTCCTGAATTCACACATGCTGATTCACAACCTGATTATAGATATAAATATCAGTGGGTTGTTGTAAGTTTTTTTGGGCTATATGGCCATGTTCTAGAGACATTCTCTCCTGACGTTTCACCTGCATCTATGACAAGCATCCTCAGAGGTAGTGAGGTCTGTTGGAACTAGGAAAAGGGGTTTATATATCTGTGGAATGATCAGGGTGGGACAAAGGACTCTTGTCTGCTGGAGCTAGGTGTGAATGTTTCACTGACCACCTTGATTAGCATTTGATTGCCTGGCAGTGCCTGGGGCAATCTTTTGTTGAGAGACTCCCCCCTGGGCACACAGAAAACTGGGTGACTTGGAAGGCGCTGAACAGACTGCGCTCTGGGACCACAAGATGCAGAGCCAACCTTAAGAAATGGGTCCACAAAGTGGAGTCCAAGACATGGGAGTGTGGAGAAGAGCAAAGAACAGACCATCTACTACAATGCAACCTGAGCCCTGCTATATGCACAATGGAGGACCTCCTTACAGCAACACCAGAGGCACTACAAGTGGCCAGCTATTGGTCAAAGGACATTTAATAGAATGCCAAGTTTTCAAACTTTGTGTGTGTTTTGCTTTGTTTTTTTAAATACAACTGTTTGGTTTGCTCCTGACATGATAAATAAATAGCTGTTCCATCGAGTTTCAAAATGTCTTGAAAACTCACTCCCACCCACAACCTCCCCCGAAGTCTGCCTCCTCTTGTTCATTCATTCAGTCATTTCCGACTCTTCGTGACCTCATGGACCAGCCCACACCAGAGCTCCCTGTCAGCCGTTACCACCCCCAACTCCTTCAAGGTCAATCCAGTCACTTCAAGGATGCCATCCATCCATCTTGCCTTTGGTCGGCCCCTCTTCGTTTTTCCTTCCTTTTCCCCCTGAGTCTTCTCTAAGCTTTCCTTTCTTCTCATGATGTGGCCAAAGTACTTCATCTTTGCCTCTACTCTCCTTCCCTCCAATGAGCATTCAGGCTTTATTTCCTAGAGGATGGACTGGTTGGATCTTCTCGCAGTCCAAGGCACTCTCAGAACTTTCCTCCAACACCACAGTTCAAAAGCATTTATCTTCCTTCGCTCAGCCTTCCCTATGGTGCAGCTCTCACACCTGTAGGTGACTACAGGGAATACCATTAGTTTAACTATGTGGATCTTGGTTGCCAGTGTGATGTCTCTACTCTTCACTATTTTATTGAGATTGGACATTGCTCTCCACCCAAGAAGGAAGTGTCTCCTGATTTCCTGGCTGCTGTCTGTGTCTGTAGTAATCTTTGCACTTAGAAAAGCAAAGTCTGTCACGGCCTCCACGTTTTCTGCCTCTATTTTTCAGTTGTCAATCATTCTTGTTGCCATAATCTTGGTTTTTTAATGTTTAGCTGCAACCCAGCTTTTGCGCTTTCTTCTTTTAACTTGATTAGAAGGCTCCTCGGCTCCTCCTTGCTTTCGGCCATCAAAGTGGTATCATCTGCATATCTAAGGTTGTTAATGTTTCTTCCAGCAATTTTGACCCCAGCCTTGCATTTGTCAAGCCCCGCACATCGCACGATGTGTTCTGCATGCAAACTGAATAGGCTGAGGGAGAGTATACAACCCTGCCGTACGCCTTTCCCAATCTTGAACCAGTCTGTTGTTCCACGGTCAGTTCTTACTGTTGCTACTTGGTCCTTATACAGATTCCTCAGGAGAGAGTCAAGGTGATTTGGTATGCCCATACCACCAAGAACTTGCCACAATTTATTATGATCCACACAGTCAAAGGCTTTAGAATAGTCAATAAAACAGAAATAGATGATTTTTTTCTGGAACTCCCTGCCTTTCTCTATTATCCACCAGATATTGGCAATTTGGTACAATCCTGCTGGACGCCTTTCCCAATCTTGAACCAGTCTGCACCTTATCCTTCCTCAAATGCCTGTTGGGAGAATAAAGTTTTACCCTGCACCTACTGCTAATAACTTACTCTCACATAGCCCTCCTTAAAAATCAATTTATTATTCAAGAACACAGAAATGCTGGACCACTCTCGCAACCACCATGTCAGACTACACAGAGAAGCCATTGAAAACCACAAGCACATGGACAATTTCAACAGAAAGGAGGAAACCATGAAAATGAACAAAATCTGGCTTTGTTGTTGTTCATTCGTTCAGTTGTCTCCGACTCTTCGTGACCTCATGGACCAGCCCACGCCAGAGCTCCCTGTCAGCCGTCGCCACCCCCAGCTCCTTCAAGGTCAGTCCAGTCACTTCAAGGATGCCATCCATCCATCTTGCCCTTGGTCGGCCCCTCTTCCTTTTACCTTCCACTTTCCCCAGCATAATTGTCTTAGCATTTTGGCCATCTTCCGACCTGGGAGTCCCATCTTCCAATGGCATACCGACATATCTCTGGTTGTACTGGTCCATTTAGTTTTCTTGGCAAGGATACTGGGGTGGTTTGCCATTGCCTTCCCCAGGGATCATGCTTGGTCTGACCTCTCTGCCACGACCATCCCGTTTTGGGTGGCCCTTCACGGTTTTGCTCATGACATCATTGAGGTGCTCAAGCTCCAGCGCCACGACAAGGCGGTGAATCTGGCTACCAGTATTAAAAAAACTCTAAAATTAGAACAGCACAACAACAGAGAGGAAACAAACAAGGACATCTAATCACCTCTCAACAAAAGATTGCTCCAGGCACTGCCAGGCAATCAAATGCTAATCAAGGTGGTCAGTTGAAACATTCACACCTAGCTATGCATAGAATCATAGAATCAAAGAGTTGGAAGAGACCTCATGGGCCATCCAGTCCAACCCCCTGCCAAGAAGCAGGAATATTGCATTCAAATCAACCCTGACAGATGGCCACCCAGCCTCTGTTTAAAAGCTTCCAAAGAAGGAGCCTCCACCACACTCCGGGGCAGAGAGTTCCACTGCTGAACGGCTCTCACAGTCAGGAAGTTCTTCCTCGTGTTCAGATGGAATCTCCTCTCTTGTAGTTTGAAGCCATTGTTGCGCGTCCTAGTCTCCAGGGAAGCAGAAAACAAGCTTGCTCCCTCCTCCCTGTGGCTTCCTCTCACATATTTATACATGGCTATCATATCTCCTCTCAGCCTTCTCTTCTTCAGGCTAAACATGCCCAGCTCCTTAAGCCGCTCCTCATAGGGCTTGTTCTCCAGACCTTTGATCATTTTAGTCTCCCTCCTCTGGACACATTCCAGCTTGTCAATATCTCTCTTGAATTGTGGTGCCCAGAATTGGACACAATATTCCAGGTGTGGTCTAACCAGCAGACAAAAGTCCTTTGTCTCACCCTGGTCATTCCACAGATATATAAACCCATTTTCCTAGTTCCAACAGATCTCTACCTCTGAGGAGAAATTCCTCTAGAACATGGCCATATAGCCCGGAAAAAACTTACAACAACCCAATTCCCCCCCCCCCCTTTTGTTGAGTTGCAAAGCAGGACTCTAAACCCTCTCTCTCCTCCCTTCTATTCTGTCCTATCCTCTCAGCTTCCGGTTTCTTGCGCAGTGCGTGTCGGGAGTCGTAGTTTTATGCGGGGACTAGGCCTCAGAACACGCACGCACACTAGCTCTCGCTTACACCTACGTCACTTCCGTTTTCTGCGCGGTGCGTGCCGGGATCCGTAGTTCCTGGAGGAAGGCGGTCGCTCCGTGACGCGGCCCGAGGGGCGTGGAGCCGGCGACGCTCTCCTATGAGTCGGCGGGGAAGCGGTGGTTGCATCAGTTGCCAGAGGAGCCAGCATGAAGCTGCACCTGAGCGAGGGCAGCCCCGCCGGGCTGAAGGGGTTGGCCGCCGCCAAAGCCACCGGGGTCCCGGTGGAGCTCCAGTGGGTCTCCCACGAGGGTGAGTAGTGGCCCTTTAAGGCAGCCCAGTCTCTTCCTCTGGGGAAATTCAGGGTTGTTTTGGGTCTCCATCCATCTGGTTACTAGATAGAATCCTAAAGTTGGAAGGGACCTCATAGGTCATCCAGTCCAACCCCCTGCCAAGAAGCAGGAATATTCCATTCAAATCACCCCTGACAGATGGCCATCCAGCCTCTGTTTAAAAGCTTCCAAAGAAGGAGCCTCCACCACACTCCGGGGCAGAGAGTTCCACTGCTGAACGGCTCTCACAGTCAGGAAGTTCTTCCTAATCCTAATCCTCATTTGATTTAAAAACATCACAAAACTCTTCAAATCAAACAGCTGTTCTTCCTTTCTTACTGTAAAGATGTCCCTGCCCTGATTTTATAATATTACTATATCAGTATCATTCAACTACTAGGATTTATTTACATCTACACTGGATAACTCAATGCACTTTGATTGCCATGGCTCAGTGGGAGTTTAATAATAATAATAATAATGTATTGTCGAAGGCTTTCATGGCTGGAATCACTAGGTTCTTGTGGGGTTTTTCGGGCTATATGGCAACATGGCCATATAGCCCGAAAAAACCCACAAGAACCTAATAATAATAATAATAATAATAAAACTTTATTTATACCCCACCACCATCTCTCCAAGGGACTCGGAGCGGCTTGCATGAGGCCAAGCCCAATAACACATCAAAACAGAAAAGCAATAAATAAAACAATACAATGCAATACAAATTAATATAAATCACATATAACAATAACACACAGGATTTAAAAGCCTATGGCCAGGCCATATGTAATAATTTAAAATTTAAAAAGTAACGCTGGGCATGACAAGGTAGGATATATTGTTTGGCCCTCTTTGGTCAGAGAAGGCTATAATGTAATACAGTATAATACTAATGATATGATATTATAATTATATATTTTATATTACATGTAATATCAGTAATAATATTGCAATATAATGGTATAGTACAATATAGTAATATATAATACTAATATTGTACTGTGCTAATAATATAATGTATTGCTGCTTGGGGCCAGAGTGAAGAGAGAGGGGGCAGAAGACAGTTCCATCTCGTCTCCGGTGCTTTACTAATAATGTAATATAATATATTGTATATACATATAATATTTATAATATTATAATGTAATACAATGTAATACTAATAATAATACAATATTATAATTATATATTTTTCATATTACATGTAATATTACTAATAATATTGCAATATAATGGTATAGTACAATATAGTAATATATAATACTGATATTGTACTATGCTAATAATATATTGTATGTATGTATATCTTGTAAGCCGCTCTGAGTCCCCTTCGGGGTGAGAAGGGCAGCATATAAATGTTGTAAATAAATAAACAAACAAATAAGCCTACAGACCTTGGGAAACTACAGCTCCTGTGATGCTATAACATTCCGCCGTGGCACTCAAGTGGCGTCAAACTGCATTCATTCTGGGTTGTTCAGTGTTTTCTGGGCTGTATGGCCATGTTCCAGAAGCATTCTCTTCTGATGTTTCGCCTGCATCTGTTACAGACCTCTGAGGATGCCTGCCATAGATGCAGGTGAAACGTCAGGAGAGAATGCCTCTAGAACATGGCCATATAGCCCAGAAAACTCACAGCAACCCAGTGATTCTAGCCATGAAAGCCTTTGACAATGCATTCTTTCTATTTGCAGATGAACTTACAGACTTTTCTGTTTCTATCTCCTTATGGAGTGGAGACTTGAGTGGAAACAGGTTGAGAGTAAAAGCTGTTCGATGGAGGGTGGGTATGTTTGATAGAGGGCACTTCCACACAGCCATATAACCCAGAATATCAAGTTAGAAAACCTCACAATATCTGCTTTGAACTGGGTTATCTGAGCCCACACTGCCATCATATATTCCAGTTCAAAATGTGGGGTTTTATTCAGCTGTGTGGAAGGGGCCAGAGTCTCCTTCTCTGGTTTTTAAACAGAGGCTGAATGGCCGTCAGTCGGGAGGGATCTCATTAGTATTGGTAAGATCTAAGGATGTGGTCCTTTCCAATACTAACTAAAACAGGTGAATAAATATGTGATACTCTGCTCCTGTACATAGAATCCTATATTTGGAAGGGCTATGCAGCCCAAACTATTTCTGTCAGGTCGGAAGACACCAGCCAATCCCTCCCAACAGATGGCCATTCAGCCTCTGCTTAAAAAACTCCAGAGAAGACTCTTATTACACATATCCCTCTGTTGAATAGCTCTTTGTCCTCGAGTTGTTGGCTCTTAAAAATGATGGCAAATGTTTATTATTATGTTTCTTTGCATGGGTTAAACTGCTGAGCTGCTGAACTTTTTGACCAAAAAGTCAGCGGTTTAAATCTGGCGAGCGGGGTGAGCTCCCACTGTTAGCCCCAGCTTCTGCCAATCTAGCAATTCGAAATCTTGCAAATGTGAGTAGAAAACACGCAAATGTCAATAGATGCCGCTCTGGTGGGAAGGTAGCGGTGCCCCATGCAGTCATGATGGAGGTGTCTATAAACAATGCCGGCTCTTCATCTTCAAAGTAGTGATAAGCACCACCCCCCAGAGTCAGCCACAACTAGACTTAATGTCAAGGGGAGACCTTTACCTTTACTTATACAGTCCAAACTATTTCTGTTGGGTAGGAAGACACCATCTGATCACTCCCTACAGATGGCCATTCATCCTCTACTTTAAAAAATTCCAGAGAAGGAGATGCTTATCACACACATCCTCCTGCTGAACAGCTTTTAATCCACAACTTGCTGGCCCTTAACAATGATGGAAAATGTTTATTATTATGTTTATGTTTATTTATACCCTGTGAGAAGAAGGGGCTATGATAAAGATAACCTACAACTCCCAGAAATCTCAGCCGTTTACCACCTGTTAGGATCTGGGAGTTGAAGGCCAAAATATCTGGGACCCACAGGTTGAGAACCACTGGTCTAAAGGATGCTGTGCAATTGTTCAGTGTCTCTATCCCCCTATGATTTCCTATGTGTTCCCCAGATCAGAACACTGAGCAGTTCTGTTGCATTGCAAAAATGTAGATTTCTGTCTGTCATGCAATCCAATACTTCTCCTATTCATTGACTCTTCAGATTTTGTTAAAGCATCAAGAACAAGCCTGGAATCTGTCTATCCCTTCTGTATTGAACAGAGTACATCCTTTCTGGAGATTTAATTGAATTATCTGTGTTCCTTTTTGGCAGCTCATGTGGTCCCATTCCTCACCCACCCACAGTCGCTTGTTCTTCAGTTGGAAGATGGGACTTTCCTATTCTCCACAAATACAATTTGCCAGTAAGTATAGGATGTTGCGTGTATTGGCACAATGCTGGGCAAACACCACTGATTTCCTTTGTAGCAACTGCCTGGATTTACAAGAAAGCGAAACATTAGATTCTGAGAATCCAGAGAGCTTTCAGTTTCAGTTTTAGTATTGTTTACTTAAGAGAACAAACAGAATTTATTAACTGAGTGAGACCCAATTTTTGGACTTTTGCTTTCTGTTTCAGGCTTCTAGAAGTGGATGTGTATTGAGGCTTGAAGTGCATATCTCACTGTTTTTATCTGATCGGGAATAGTGCCATGTTTACATTGGGATCATTGCAAAGTTAACAAGCTAGCTTTTAGATTTCATAGAACTTTCGTTCAGCCTGAGTCTCAAGCCAGATATGGGATGGCAGGACAAGGGGGAAAATAGATAATCTTTCTAAGGCAATGCCACTTAAAGTGGTGGTCAAAGGTTTGAGACCCATCCCTGAACCATTGAGTGCTGGTTCCAGGAAAGAAAGGAACAGTTTTAACCAATAGACACAAATATAACATACTGTATATACTCGCGTATAAGCCGACCCGTATATAAGCCGAGACACCTAATTTTACCACGAAAACTGGGGAAATGGATTGACTCGAATATAAGCTGTGGGAAATGCAGCAGCTACTGGTAAATTTCAAAATAAAAATAGATACCAATAAAATTACATTGATTGAGGCATCAATTGGTTAAATGTTTTTGAATATTTACATAAAACTATAATTCAGCATAAGACTGTCTAACTCTGATTCAACCATTATTCTAACCTTCAATGTAAATATGCTTACGTATCCTTCCAATAATAATAAATAGAGTAAAATAATAAATGTAATAACAATAATAATAAAGTAAAACAACAACAACAAAGTAAAATAATAAATAACCTTGACTTGAGTATAAGCTGGGGGAGACTTTTTCAGCCTAAAAAAAGGACTGAAAAACTAGGCTTATACTTGAATATATACAGTAAGTCCCTGAAATAATTGCCAACCTCTTACATCAGATAACTTGAGATGCATTCTTCTGAATGCCTCATGAGGAGTTTGATCAATACATGGCAATGCATGCAATGTCAGTTTAGAAAATGCTTTGCCAACTGATTGAGATCCATTTGCTGGTGAGATTCTTATCAGCGAGTACTTTTAGAGGTATTTATTTATTTATTTAAAACTTTTATATCCCGATCTTCTCTACCTCCGCAGAGGGACTCAGGTAGATGAATGGTGTTGATTGCTGTGTCGTTCCTATAGTGCAGTGCCCTTTGCCAAAGGAATAAATTATAGCTACTGTATTTACTTGAATCTAATGCTCACCTTTTTTGGTTAAATTATCCTCGCAATATTAGGGTGCATAATATGGTAATCTTAGTGCTGAGCTACTTCAGAACCACCTGGAACTCCTATTTGAGGAATGTCGTTTCTAATTTAATTACCATGGCTTAATGCTGTGCAATGCTGGGATTTGTAGTTTGGTGAGGCATCAGCATGGGTTGCAGTCACCATGATCCCAAACTACAGCCCCCATAGCATTGAACCAGCGCAGTTAAAGTGAGTTCATTCTATCGCATAAATGCACCCCAAGGTTTTCTTTTCCATTATTGAAAGTTTTGGTGTCCTAACACTTTTGATTTTATAGAAGAAATTCTAAACAGGCAGTCACTGTAATGTACACTTTTTTTGGCCAAATGACAAAAAGTGCACTTTTTGCCACTGCGCATTACATTCGCCAGCAAACCATTTTTATTTATTTATTTTTTTGGTTTCAAGGTTTTGAAAATTGAGGTGCACATTATTTATTTATTATTTATTTACTGTATTTGTATACCGCCTTTCCCAGCCTATTGACGACTCAAGGCGGTTTCCAACAAAACAGTATACATAATATCATAGTACTAATTAAAACATTAAAACAACATAAAACACAACAAGCAATAAAAACAACATAATCAGCGTCTCCTTATTATCAAGCATTGTCCAGTTCCGTCATCAAATTTCCTATATCAGTTACTTTTATCCGTTACTCTGTATTTGTGAACGCTTGCTCAAATAGCCATGTTTTAACTTGTTTCCGAAACGTTAAGAGGGAGGGAGCAGATCTAATCTCTCTAGGGAGGGCGTTTCATAGCCGAGGGGCCACCACTGAGAGGGCCCTGTCTCTCGTCCCCACCAGACGTACCTGTGACGAAGGTGGGACTGAGAACAGGGCCTCCCCAGACGATCTCAAGGTCCTTGATGGTTCATAAGGGGAGATGCGTTCGGACAAGTAAGTTGGGCCAGAACCGTTTAAGGCTTTATAGGCCAAAGCCAGCACTTTGAATTTAGCCCAGTGCTTTAGACTCTATTCGATGTTCTTTAGACTCTATCTGATGTGCTTGTATATAGTAACCTTTCTGCCAACACACTCATGATTACAGTCTAAAAAAGGGACAATCAGCTGAAGAAGGATGATGCAAGAGGAAAAAGAAATTATATAGTTGCAGGTACCAGTTAGCATGTGGAATGGCAATGGGGCAAATAGTTCTTGGAAGGGTGGGGCCATAAGGCCCTGGGTTTAAACCATACTGATGCAATACAATGGGCTGTTTTCTGTGGGTGTAACCTCCCTGAACTTATTGAAAACTGAAAGTGAAAGCTCTCCTTTTTAATAATTACAATAAGATGAATCTGAATTCTGGGAATCTGAAGTTTCACTTTCTGTTTAAAAATAAACACTAGCTTTTGTTTATTCTTTTGAAAAAAAATAACATTCTGTTATGTGTGGAGAGAGGGAGAGACAGGGACGGAAATACAAGTAAGCTATGTTAAAATAATTTGTTAACACCCGTTATAGTTCCAAGGAGCCAAAACTAGACATACCAGATAAGAATTACACTTTGTCCCCATGCAACATAAAGCTTCTCCATGTGTTTTTCCCACATCATATTTGGCAGTATCATGAACCTTCATCATCACCTAATCTAGAGGAGTCAGGGTGTATCATTGCACAACATATATCAATCGTTGAATACCTCCAAATTACCATCTCCTCCCCCCCCCCCCTCAGTTATTCCTTCCCCTGAACAACTAGAATTCAGAGGCCCTTTTATAGCAATGCAAGATACAGCTGTGTTGACCCCTTTTGTGGCACCCTATGTAAAGTGAGACTACCAGCATTATTGCAGCAGTGGCTCTTCATTGAGTCATGTGGACCTGGTAAGTATCCAGCCGTGTTAACTGCTGGGAGTCAAGCCACCTATGGATATGACCCTAACATGGGCATGCTCAATTGTCTTTTAACATATTTTTTAAGTGGTAGCAAGGCTGGTTTACAAAAGAGATGAGTCTCAGACTTCACATAGAAAGTGCTCATATACTTGGAACAGTCCTGTGTGGTAAAGCTCACTGGCTGATATCTGAGTAGAGATTTTGGTCACCTTGCTTAAGACAGCCTACCCACTCGCTAGTGGCCTTAAAAGACAGAGGATGCACATATAATGGTGATAAGCCCATAGGAAACAAGGAAAGCAAACCATTTTGCACAAGAAGAGAGACATCATACCCCTAGAATTCAGAGATGAGAAGTGCTACCAGTCTAGCAAAACACGAAGAGATCTCCTAATATATAGGCCTTCCACTTCTATAGAATTGCAGGCACTAACTTCTAGAGAAAATGAAGAAACCATAACACTATATATGTGTCAGGAATTCCTAGAGGTGTTCTCTTAAGAGAGAGAGAGAGAGAGAGAGAGATCTCATGTGGACCTGGTGTGTGTGTGTGTGTGTGTGTGTGTGTATATTTCTTAAGAGACCCAGGAATTCTTAGAGGTGTTATCTTTAGATAGATAGATAGATAGATAGATAGATAGATAGATAGATAGATCTTAAGAAAACACCTCTAGGAATTCCTGGGTCCTCCAGGGTGGCTTTGGTTAGCTTCTAGAGATTTATAGAAAGACCATATTAAACCATATCTGTGAATATTCAAATCCGCAAATGTTAACCCCACAAACGTGGAAAGCCAACTGTATCATGCAAACACTTTTCTGTAGGTTTTTTTTTTTTTTTTTTTTTTTGCAGAAGGTCTCGTTGATTCAGGTGGAAGGGAGCACACAAAATGGATGGAATCACCTAGTTCCTTTTGTTTTGTTTTTTAGGTATTTTTTCCGCTTATCTGGAAAAGAAATTAGTGACTTTGGCCAGGAACAAAGTGATTTTATCAATCAGTTGTTTGAGTGGGAAGCAACTGAGCTGGAGGTAGGTAAAATGGAAGGTTTTTTGATATTGCAGTGGTGAAGAGCATATATATGCATCTGTCTTTGTTCATGAAGGTGAACTAATATTTTCAGGGGAGGAAAGAACTGGTTTTTTGTGATTATATTTGTGGAGCCCTTCGGGTATAACTCTGACTCAGCTTATTATATGGTTAGAATTCTTAGTCATCACACATTGAAGTCCATAGGAGCAGTGTTTGCAAATTACAGGAGGATCACTATGTAGAGGATATCATTTTTTGTGGAGCCCCCGGTGGCGCAGTGGGTTAAACCCCTGTGCCAGCAGGACTGAAGACCGACAGGTCGCAGGTTCGAATCCGGGAAGAGGCGGATGAGCTCCCTCTATCAGCTCCAGCTCCTCATGCGGGGACATGAGAGAAGCTTCCCACAAGGATGATAAAAACATCAATTCTCTCATACCAGGAGTCACTCCTGACACGACAAAAAATAAATAAATAATTTTTTGTGATTTCTATCAATGAAAGATGATCCACCTGATGTGTATGGTTACATCCCCACCACTTGGAATACCTGTGTGTATGGGAGTCAAAATTGTCATGTGACACTGGTGAATTAGGCTAAAGAGAATCAAATCTATGCATTCTTGACTTTTTTTCATGCCTCCATTTTGGAGCCAATTTCTGGAGTACAGTAAAGCATGCAAGATTGGCTTTTATGGGTGGTGCCTCTTACCCAAATTCAAGGAGAGCACATTCTATAGGTTTGGATGCCCCCTCCCTGATTTCATAGGATGGCTGTACCCTCCAGGTACCAAGTACTCCTCCTGTAGCACTCTCAGCTGAAAGAAAAATCACTTCAAAAGTTTTTCTGTGGGACCTGGGAGATAATATTCACATCTTTGGCACTGCCATATTGGTTTTAGGCTGGTAGCTGTGTATGTGACTTAAAGTCGCCTGTCCACATGAGGTGACTCCATGAATTTTATAACATTGTCTTAGGCATGGAGCATTCAGAGGTGGTTTGCTATTGCCTTCCTAAGATTGTCTTTCACGCCTGATGCTTCTTGACAGTCCCACATCCAGGTGGTAACCCATGCTTGCTCTGTTTAGCTTCCAATTCAAATAGGCTCTGGGGGCCTCAGAATATTATGCCCTTGGAAATGTTTTTCAAAAGAAAAGTGACCAAAGATTATTTGCAATCCTACACAAGGTTTCACTGGGCTTAGATTAGGGGATGGGGGGGGGGGGGGGGGGGGGGTACATTGCAAAATTGTCCCCTGCACTCCCAAAGGTGTGAACGACCTTTCAAGTAGAATAAATACATTATAGAAATTAGGAAGGGAGCTGCTCATAGGCCACCATTTGTCCACACATGTTCTAATCCTAAGAGGCCACAGTTAAATATTGATCAAAGCAAAAAGATGACAAAGGGAGAGAATATAAACTAACATGTTCCATTTGGGGGGCTTTCCTCTCAGCCTGCTTTGTCTGCAGCCTTGTATCTTCTTCTGGTGCAAGAAAAGAAGGGAGAAGAGATTCTTGGGATCATCAAAAAGCCATTGAACTACATTGAGCAGACCCTTACCAAAAAGAGCACTCCGTACCTCACTGGGGTAAGTAAGGAGCTTTGTGAAGCAGACAGCATAATACTGGCCCACAACCTAATTAAGCTTTGGCAGAGTGAGAGGATTTTTTAATGAATTTGTTACTCTGTAGTCTGACAAAACTGATTTCAAACCAGGTTACTGATAACAATACCTGATTTTAGGTGAACCGCAGAAGACTAGGTCCCCTTCCACATAGCTGAATTATTTGCTTTGATTTTTTTTTGCTTTGCCACATTATTTGCTTTGAATTGGGATATATGGCAGTGTGGACTCAGATAATCCAGTTCAACCAGATATTGTGGGTTATTCTGCCTTGATATTCAGGGTTATATGGCTGTGTGGAAGGGCCCTAGGGCCCCTTCTGCACTGCCACATATAATCAAGGTTATCAAAGCAGATAATCCACATTATCTGCTTTGAACTGGATTATCTGAGTCCGCACTGAGTCCATATATCCCAGTTCAAAGTATGCAAGTATTCTGCGCATACATACAGGCTTGTTTTCGAAAGTTGTTTTAAAAAACTTTGTTTTTAAAAAAGAAAACTGAAATATTCTTGTGGCAGAATTCTGTGTTTATTGGCACAGGATACAAATAGCCCAGGCAGCTGAGGGTTTAGCTAGAATGAATGTATGGAGTTGGCCATTTAAAAATACAAATTCTCCTACATTAAATAAATATCAGAATGCGTGGCTGAATTGACATTGTGATGTATAGAGTTTATTAATAAATAGGAACTGCCACAGCTTTACTATGCTAGCTTTTTCTACAGGGTTAATCCTGGAGGAGTTTGGATTTTTCATATTGATGAAAAAGTATATTGATGAAAAAGTATATTATCCTTGCAGCTTTAGGATAAATATTCAAGTGTCCTCCTTCTGTGCACAGATGCTCAATCAGTTTCCTCTGACATTTCCTCTTCATGCAGGAGACCGAGTCAGCTGCTGATATTGTCCTGTGGGGATCCCTCTTCCCCCTATTAAAGGATGAATCCTTCTTGCCAGGTAAGAGCTGCTGCCAAAGAACTGAGTATAGCATTTCTGAAGACAATCTGTGGCAGACCTGAACAACCTGAGCCGTCCAAGTGTTTGGGACACTAACTCATTGAAGCCCTTGCCAGATTGTCGTGTGGCCAGGATTTCTGGGTCCAAAATGCCTGGAGGGCTGCAGTTTGTGCAGGCCTGAACCATGGTGATTTTCTTTCTGCCTCTTGGCTGCAAGTTCAGATGAGCATCTTGTGTTTGTCCAGATTCCTCTACCACAGCCATTGGCTTTTATTCCTGGGTGAAATACCTTCACCTAGAACCATTATTTTCAGGTCAATTTTTCTACTCTCATGCTGCATCATCTTCATCACAGATGATTCAGGGATCCATCCGCCTCATGCTGAGCCCAGCTAGGCATGTTCAGCTTTAGTCTTGCTTCTGAGAGTGTATGCTAGGATCTATCCAGTGAACCAATCTAGCTACACAACAGTTGCAAGTTAGTTATGGTAGGCAAACTCTTCCTGGCAGAAAAAGAATATTTGCCGTCCCTGATCTTATTGAGGAATCTCAATAGGATGTTTTCAGGGCGGGAGTGAGAAGGATGGACCAAAACACAGTTTGAAAACCCTTGTGATAGACCTCACTTGCCTAGTTTCCAACAAACCTCTGGGGATGCCTGCCATAGATGCTGGTGAAACATCAGGAGAAAATGCTTCTGGAACATGGCCATATAGCCCAAAAAACTCACAGCAACCCAGTGTTGTGATAGAGTTCACTTGGTTTTTGATGCAACTGTATTCTCGAGTGTTTGTGTTGGAAAACCATTGGCATAGAAACTAGCCAGTTGACTCCTACAATGACTCCCTTCCTTGAAGGAAGTGATCTTCTGGTGCATCCTTCCAACTAAATGTAAGGAAAGAGCTGCAAGCCATGTTGAATTGTTGAGTTGTGCCCACAGACTTGTTTGGAGCCCATTTAATACAGCAGCACTTGAGGTGTTCTGGTTTGGAGCCAAACCCTCTAGCATCCAAAAACAAATACTAATCTTCTTATTTTTAAGATGAGTTACAAGCCCTGAGGAAATGGTTCCAGACCATGAGCTTGAAGGAATACTGCAAGAAGGCAGTTGAAGCTATATGGACACCCAAAGGATTGCTGGCACTTAAAGTGTATCTGCAGAAACGTCCTGCTCCTAACCTGACTTTTGAGAAGCCAGCTACCAATGAGCCAAAGGTATTTCCTCCTCTACTGTCTTCTCTTTGAACCTGTCTTCAGACTGTTAAGCAGTCATTACAATGTCCTTGAATGGAACCACATTGGACTGCCCTTAAGGAGTTAAATAGTTGAATGTTTACTCTTTTAAAAATTTCCCTGTATGCTCAAAGCTAGCATATTAAGATGATGGTGAATCTAGAAATCAGTTCCTGGTATCTGGTTTCAGTATTAGTAATGGATCTTACAGGAGAGGGTTTAGTCATGATTCCCCCCCCCCCCCCCTCTTTTCATACCCAGTGTGGTCTACTGTTTGTGTGAAGCAACTGAAGTCCTTTATTTCCAATCTGAATTAGTATTTTTAAGTACTAATTTCATGGATTCCCCCACTCTCTGTATCTGATCCCATTTTGTGAGTGTATCCTAACATCCATTGCTTTTCTGGATTCTAGATATACATTGCTAACTTTACAGTGGAATGTGACACTGGATAATGTGGGCCCTATCTTGGTGGCATGCTTATGATGACACATCTTAGCAAACAAAATAGATATTGCATTTAGAAGAGGAGGAAATGTGCTCCTCTAATCCTGACTCAGTGGAAAATCAACACTGAAGGGCATTATTAAACTTGTGCCTGTGTGTTGACATCATCTAGGCTTGCATTCTCTTGGATTCTCCTGGATAACATACAGAACTAAAGTAATTGAAAATTGACTAAGAAGACAAATTTGGTCTTTGCGCTGTAAGGGTGTTCTGGTTCATGAACCAGAGTTGCTATTTCCTTTGATTAATTGTGATTTAAAAAAATAATCCTAGCTATAGAGATTATCTACTTGAAGTATAAGGCTACAACCTACAGATAAGTGAGATTACCTTATATACTCTAATATAAGCTGAGTTTTTCAGCTCTTTTTTGGACTGAAAAACCTCCCTTGGCTTCTTCTCGAGTTAAGGTTACCATATATACTCGAGTATAAGCTGACCCGAATATAAGCCGAGGCACCTGATTTTCGCACAGAAAACTGGGAAAACTTATTGACATGATTATAAGCCGAAGATGGGAAATGCAGCAGCTATGAGTCAGTTTCAAAATAAAAATAGATACCAATAAAATTACATTAAATGTGGCATCAGTAGGTTGACTATTTATTAATACTTACATAAAACTGTAAGATAAGACTTTCAACTGACTAAACCATTATTCTAACCTTCTTCAATGTTTGCTAAGATGTGTTTACATATCCTTCCAATAATAATAGAGTAAAATAATAAATTTAATAATAATAAAAATAATATAGCTAACCTATAAATGTTGTTGTAGTAGTAATAGTAGTAGTAATAATAATAATAATAATAATAATAATGAGTAAAATGATAAATAACCTTGTCTTGAGTATAAGCCAAGGGGAGCCTTTTCAGCCTAAAAAAGGGGCTGAAAAACTAGGCTTATACTCGAGTATATACAGTATTTATCATTTTACTCTGTTATTATTATTTTTATTAACATAAAGTGTGATCAAGTCTTATCAGGCCTTATTGTTTTGTTTGATATTGTGATATGGCCTAAGGACTAATCAATAAAATTACAACTACTACTATTTTATTACATTTATTATTTTACTGTATTATTCTTGGAAGGATACGTAAGCACATTTACATTGAAGAATGTTAGAATAATGGTTTAATCACAGTTGGACAGTCTTATCTTAAACTGCAGTTTTATGTAAATATTCAAAAACATTTAACCTACCGATGCCTCATTAATGTAATTTTATTGGTATATGTTTTTATTTTGAAATTTACCAGTAGCTGCTGCATTTCCCACCCTCGGCTTATACTCAAGTCAATATGTTTCCCCAGTTTTTTGTGGTACCATTAGATGCCTTGGCTTATATTTGGCTCAGCTTATATTCGAGTATATATGGTACATGGCAGTTGTGAAATAGTCATTGATTTTAATGTTCCTTACATACTGTATATTTCTGGCAGGAACAATGTCCACAATTTGAATTTTTGTATATGAAAGGCAATAAACTTTTATAATATATATTTAAAATCCTGCTTCTTCTATATAGGCAGGGCAGTTCTACTGCATAAGAATTCAGTGATCTCTCTATTCATGTTTGAGGTTAAACAATTGGAAAGTGGACCACTTAATGATCTTTACGCAGTTCTTTAGCAAGTGCAGTGCACAGCACATATTTTTATGATCTGTGCCATAGCATGGGTTTACTTGCTTATCCAGTTTTGCATTGTGATAGAGACTGCTACACAAGACTTGGAGTTTGACATAAATTGATATGCAAAATAAAGAACAGTTACCCAGGGTTAACTTGTTTTCGTGTGTGCAAGTACAGGCATGACAGCCCGGAAACTCCATTATTTGTACAGTGCTGCTCTTTGGAAATATTTGATCCATATTCTCAGATCTTTCAGTGTAACCTAAGTTGTAGGGGAGTTGTTGAAGAAAAAAAAGTACAGCTAAGATCTTCAGTCTCAAACCTTGTTCTTTTTACAAAAAGAAGTAATAACAAGCTGGTATCTGGTTTATCCAGACCCAAACTGTCAGATTCATAGTGTAATTCATTTCTTTGTTGATTATTAATTATTATAACCCTTGTAGTATTTGCCTGAAGGACCCTCTGTTATTGAACCATCTGTCTAAAATGTTATAGCTGAAGACCAAGTGGGTAAACCTGTTTATGAGGAATAGGCTTAGGTCATTGGCCGAGTTCTGCATTGAGAAGTTAGTTCTACTCAAAAATATTAAAGTGTGAAAGAATATCAGTGCTTGGTCTCTCCTTTTCTGGGCTTGTTCATATGGCTTGCTTAACCTTGTAGCACAGTGGTTCTCAACCTGTGGGTCCCCAGATGTTTTGGCCTTCAACTCCCAGAAATCCTAATAGCTGGTAAGCTAGCTGGGATTTCCGGGAGTTGTAGGCCAAAACACCTGGGGACCCACAGGTTGAGATCCACTATTGTAGCAGAAGTCCATGAAGTCTAGAGATAAGACATTGCAAAGTGAACGATGCCATATGTCTTGGTGCTGCAGTCGCTGTTCTGGACTGTTACTCTGTTTACATCTGTATAGAGATCAGCACAATCCCTGCATGGCTTGTCGGTTTTGCTTACCCAGTTTAAAAGGTTTGTTTTTTTCTCTCCCCTTAGGAAGAAGAATCAGCTCAGCGCCACCTGTCTGAAGAAGAGATTGCAGTCATTGCAGAAGTTTGGAGCAGAGGGTCAGCTAGCTTACCCAAACCTTGGAAGCCACAGCATCCTATGTAAGCACTTGCAGGATTGGCCTTCTGTGATGGAAATAATTTAGTGTTGCAGCAGGCTTCCCCTTTGTTAAATAAAACAACATCAACTTTGCCCACTCCTCACGGAACTTAGTGCAAAATCAATTCTGTCCTCAAATTACCATTATTCACATTTGTTTTGCAATTATTACTTCACTTTTAATGCTATCCTCTACATTGTGGTAGGAAAAATGCAGCTGTGTTTCACACGTGTGTCCTCCAGAGCTGTTTTGTTATTTTTTAAAAAATTAAAAATTATCCACAATAGCACAAATGCACTCTAGAGGGTATTGAGGGCATTTTCACCATTTTCTTTTTGTGTCAGAAGCTACTTGAGAATATATTGCAAGTTGCTTCTGGTGTGAGAGAATTGACTGTCTGCAAGGACATTACCCAGGGGACACCTGGATGTTTTACCATGCTTTGGGAGCTTCTCTCATGTCTCTACATGAGAAGCTCAAACTGACAGATGGGAGCTCACCCTGCTCCCCGGATTTGAACCACTGGCCTTTCGGTCAGCAGTTCTACTGGCACAAAGGCTTAACCCATTGCACCACCAGAGGCTCCATGCTAGAGACAAAAAAGTTGATATGTTTCATATCATTCCAAAATGTCAACTGGGGCTATGAAGTACATTTCCACTGCATTTGGTGCCCTTTGGCCATTTTAGGGCTATAAGAGGCACTTTTTGAAAGAGAAGGTTTGTTGAAATGTCCTCATCTTTCACAGGAACATTGAGGGGAAGTTTTATTTTTATTTTAGGTTTTTTTGTAGGAGGAGGTGAAGATCTCGAATGTCTCCTAGAATGTTATCGTAGCCCATTAATCTTCCACAGTTGCCAACCATGCTCTGTATCATAGATCCCAACCTTTTGGGGCTCAGTTTGCAGATTGGAACTGTGAGAATATCAAGTGCCATCACAAAACATGGAAGGCCACCTCCTCCCTTATGGAAGGCCACCTCCTTCCTGAAACATTAGGTCCTTAGGAGAAGCCCTGTTCCACATTCCATCTCCCTGAAGGGCCAGGTTTGTGGGTACATGTGACCGTATCCTCTGTTGTTAGGCTTACTTGTCATTCTTATGAGCCATATATGTCAGCTCTTGACTTCTTCATTTATCTCCTTTGCCTTTTCTTCTCAGTTTGCCCAGGGAAGGTATGAAGAATGTTCTGATAACTAGTGCGTTGCCCTACGTCAATAATGTGCCACATCTTGGGAACATCATTGGCTGTGTCCTCAGTGCTGATACCTTTGCCAGGTAAATTTGATTATGAAAACATATATTTGCTACATCCCACAATGTGAATCTTTCATTTATAGCTCTGCTCTTGCCTGAGTCAAAAATTGCCATCTTCTCTTGTCTTTTGCAACTTGGATTCTTGGCTGATCTTAGTATTACGGCCTAAACCTACTTCCTAAAAAGTAAAAACCTTTGAGAATCAGTGGTAATTATGGAAGAGAGAGACATAGACATATAGAGGCAGAGATGGCCTTCTTGACCACTTTGTCCTCTCCCATATCAGTGCAGGAAATTTGAAAAACCAGGAATCTCCATAGCTTTTGGAAGCGTGACCCTTTTGGAGATTAATTGGCATTCATACTATTTGGAATAATCATGACCTTTTGTAAAGTGTGCTCTTCCCGAGAAGTGTTAAATACTCATTTGAGTGCATCTTCTTAGTGGTAAATGTGCACTAGTATTCATGCAAGGCAAATTGGGTTTCTCAGTTGTTAGATTGATATACCTGGTTATCTCTGAACTGTTAGGATCAAAAATATGTCAATGCACAAAATATATAGCAAATCTTCAGAAATGTTATTTCAGTTGCCCCCAAAACATCTACTCGCCCATAAAATATATTGCTTTTAAATCATGCTCTCAAGAGAGCAAAAAAAAGTAGTCTTCATTAAAAGTAAGATAGTTGATTTACTTACAAACTTCATGTATTCAGCACACAGGCTCGTACATTTCTTATTGGTTGATAGTTTAAACAGTAAGTTATCTAAAACATTCTGTTTTAGTCTCTTCTTTGTTTCCTAGAGACTCTCTTCAGTTTAATACAGGGGTCCTCAAACTAAGGCCCGAGGGCAGAATGCGGCCCTTCAAGGTCATTGACCCGGCCCTCACTCAGGGTCAACCTAAGTCTGAAAAAACTTGAAAGCACACAACAACAACAACCTTATCTCATCAGCCAAAAGCAGGCCCACACTTCCCTTTGAAATACTAATAAGTTTATATTTGTTAAAATTGTTCTTCATTTTAATTATTATATTTTAAGTGTTTTTGCACTACAGATAAGATATGTGCAGTGTGCATAGGAATTCATTCATGCTTTTTTTCAAATTATAATCCAGCCCTCCAATAGTTTGAGGGACTGTGAACTGGCCCTCTGTTTAAAAAGTTTGAGGACCCCCGGTCTAATACATTACTGAACATTGACTCAATGCAGACTGACTACTCACTGCAGAATACTGACACTACCAACTGCTTACTATACTGACCGACTTTTAAACTGTACTGACTTCTAAAATGGTGTCTTAGTCTGAATAGTCCCAGATCTGGTCACATGGTCTGCAGTCCCTCCCACAACCTCAAACAACATAGAGTTGAGGGATAACTGCATATCAATATAGTAAGCAATCACAATAATATACATAACAAATAAGTAGTTTAAGCGGCTTGTAGAAGGTTGCTATTTCCAACAATTGGGGTGTATTATGAATCTAATTTGGGGGGGAGGGTGTATTTATTTTAATTATATCCAGCCTTTCTACCAAAATGGAATCCAAAGAGACTTCCCATGTACTGTAAGTTAAAGCCATTGGTTTTTGTAGTTTTGTTGTCTGCTGTAGACTACCCTTGGAAGACAATCATACTCAGCAACAATTAATAGCCTATGACAGTATGATGATGGTGGTGGCTGTGTAGATTCATTGTCTGCTGTAGCTAGTATTGGCTTGCCTAAGATAAGAAGCCTTTTGTAGAATCTTCGTTGGAAGAGATCAGTTTGATCATCCAGTCGAATCCCCTTCCCTTGTAGAGCTGAATGTGCAAAGCCTGGGATCTTAGCACACAGCTATGGCCTGTTTGATACACCAAGGAACCAAGTGATCCACTCATAGGGCTGTGATAAACACCTCACTTCATTCTGTGTAACTGGTGACCATTTTCTCTTCAGGTACTGCCGCCTGCGCAACTGGAACACATTGTACTTGTGTGGTACAGATGAGTACGGCACCGCTACAGAGACAAAAGCTATGGAGGAAGGACTGACACCACAACAGATCTGTGATAAGTACTACACTGTCCATGACCAGATTTACAAGTGGTTCAATATATCTTTTGACTTCTTTGGCCGTACCACCACAACCCAACAGACGACGTAAGTGCTGCCAGCAGGAAATACAGTAATATTGGAAAGACGGGGAGACTACTGGAAGGGGGTACAATGATTATGCAGTGAATTACAATATCTTTTGGACATATGTCCTTTAGGAAAGAGTCAAAGGGCTGGCTGCTGTATACACAATGCTAGCCAACACATATTTTGGTGCCTCGAATATCAGAACTTTTTCTGGGTATATATGACCTGCTGATTCCCTAAATGGCACCAGTTTCCTCCTATCAGCTCTAGTTTATAAGATACAGAACATACGCTTCTACCAGTTTTCACCTGCTCCGAAATGCAGAAATCGAGATACTTCAATGTAGTGTAAAAAATAATATATTTTAAGCATGAGGGAAACATTAAATATTTGTTTTAACTTTTATTTATTTTATTATGGTTCAAAACATTTGTTATATATCATTTGTTATGCAGCAGACGCATAATATTCAATATTTAATACAATCTGCAATGTATTTTTTGCATCTACTGTTACTTTCACACTTTGATATATTTTCTGTCCCATACCACCATGCTCATTGTGGAGGTCATTTTCCATCCTTCTTTTTGAATCCTCTTTCAATAAATTTTCTCGAAATCATTTTGTTTCCATATCCCTCTTTTGACTTTTAATTAAAAGGAAACATTAAATATTAAAAGAAAACTATACTACCTGAAAATCTTATTTCATACCAAAAAAATTAATTCAACCATATCTAAGAAACTGGAGCTGATGTAGCCTATCCAATGCAACTTTGTCAATCAGCACCCCAAATAACCCCAGGAACAGACTAAAACCAAGAAAAAATGTGGGGTTTTTTTTTCAGGCTGTGTTAATTTATCTGACCAATTCACCCTCTGCCAGTTAATTGTGCTGGCACAGAACCTTCAAGTGTTGCGTTTTGTACAGTTGTGTGTTGTCTTTTTGTGGAAACTCAATTCTCAGGTTGAACTATATCTGTTGCCTCACTTAGGATTATTGCAGAAATAGTTATAACTTGTACTATAGTAGACTATTGTTTGTTTCATTTGGATAAAAAATGATAAAGAGGCAAGAGCCGTAGTAAACATTTTTAAGTTGATGGTGCAGGTTCTTTCCTTTTGAGTAAACCTATACAGCTACCATTACTGTGTCATTACAGAAGATACAGTGATAGGGTGACAAAGGTCATGAGGTGGTCCTCATCATGGACTCTGTGGGAGCTGACTGACAAGCTCCAGATGAGATATTCAGTTTTCAGTTGTTGGCAGTGTAGTTTCCCTGACTACAAGCACATCTTGCTTAGTGGTAAATGGATGTGAAGAATTTTGCCAGAAGTTCCTCTTGCACTCCTCAATAAGCAATAGTGCAATGAACACCTGAAGTTGTTACGTTTGCACAGCTAGTGGGAGGTACTTATGAACATCTGAGGATGCTCCCTTCCTCTTACACCCCCTTTCCTTCCATTCTTAGCATTGCCCAGGACATCTTCCATTGCCTTCTGGAGCGCAACTACTTGCTGACTGAGACAGTAGATCAGTTGAAATGTGAGAAATGTGAGCGTTTCCTGGCTGATCGCTTTGTGGAAGGCACCTGCCCCTTCTGCAATTATGAAGAGGCCCGTGGGGACCAGTGTGACAAATGTGGCAAACTGATCAATGCTACTGAACTCAAGGTATCACTGCCAGAAGGGAGACTGTATGCTTAGCACTGTCCTTTCTTGCCCCCTTCAGTTTTTCATTGCTAGAGAGTATTAGTTCCCTAGAAATTATATTAACACACTAAACTAGCATAGGGAGCCCCCGTGGCGCAGCGGGTTAAACCGCTGAACTTGCTGACCGAAAGGTCATCGGTTCAAATCCAGGGAGCGAGATGAACTCCTGCAGTTAGCCCCTGTTTCTGCAAACCTAGCAGTTCGAAAACATGCAAATGGGATTAGATCAATAGGTACCGCTTAAGAGGGAAAGTAATGGCACTCAATGCAGTCATGCTGGCCACATGACCTAGGAGGTGTCTATGGACTATGCCAGCTCTTTGGCTTAGAAATGGAGATGAGCACCACCCTCCAGAGTTGGACTCGACTAGACTTAATGTCAAGGGGAAACCTTTACCTTTAATGAAGTCTGTATGGAGGACTTACACTCACCAAGAAAGGAGTGGAACACTTACAGATTTCTTCTGTTTGGAGTCTTGGTTGTTCTACACTGAGTCTACACCGGATATTTCAAAGCCCTGTAAAAACACTATTCCCTTCTCACCATAACTCATTGCTGTTGGCCTATAGGATGATCCTATATATGGAATCTATGCAACGTTCATCACAGCTTTTACTTTCACAGACCTCCTTCCCTTCCTTTTTTCCTTCTCTTCCCAGAAACCTGTGTGTAAAGTCTGTCAAGGGACTCCTGTGGTGAGATCTTCCCAGCACCTCTTCCTGGACTTGCCCAAGGTAGGACTCTTTTGGGTTTCTTCTCTCTCATGGCCTGATCCTGTGCTTCCCTCTGCACAATAACTGCAGAAGGCCTCTGCTTGGTACTCTGGGGATCAAAGTTGTCAGACTGGGATGGGAGCCTAGAGGGCATCAACACAGGCCCCCTGACAGGTAACTTCTAAGGGAAGGTGACACCTCCCCACATGGAGGGAGTGGCTTTTACAAAGAATAATAAAGCACAGCGCTCCTTGCCTGACATTGTTCCCTGTGAGACTGCTTCTTAGACTCGTGCACCCATTCACTAACTTTGCCCTCCCCACCATCAGCTGGAAGAGAGCCTGGAGAAGTGGCTGGCCCTGTCCCAGTCTACTGGGGACTGGACCCCCAATGCAAGATACATCACCCGCTCTTGGATCCGTGATGGCCTCAAGCCCCGCTGCATCACCCGTGATCTGAAGTGGGGCACACCAGTGCCCTTGGATGGTTTCCGTGATAAGGTGAGCAATAGGACAGAGAATATGGCTTCCAAGGCTTTGCGATGTCTCTCCAGAGGATATCTATGGAAAGCCTTTCCTATTTTTAGGAGATAGAAGATGCAGTGGGAAATGGTCTGCGGCCTCACCATTATTACACTGTTGCCCCGAAACCACTTGACAACAAGAGTGACTGTTCTCACAAAACCCTCTTATAGTGCCGAGGCAATGGGGATGTCGGGAGGGGAGAGGCTGACTACCCCGGAAAGATTACTACTACCATATCAGCTCTAGATTATTCAACATGGTTTTCTGTGAGTGAGCAGATGGTAATTACTGGATGGCATATGTTCTGTATCAGAAATAGAGCTGATGTGGTCTATCCAATGCAATTTTCTGAATCAGCACCCCAAATAACCAAACCGATTCTGAAGTTGAACAAAAACTGATTCATAACCCTTTTGGTATTAATGTTGGAGAGTGGTATCTGATCAGAGTGGTCCCTGGTCAGAAAAAGGTTGGGAACCACTGGACTAGTATAAAGTCAAAGCCATGGAGGATGGAGTCACCACAAACAGAGCATTGGAAGTTATTTGTGCTGTGTCTCCGTTACAGAGCACTTCCAAAAATAACAACCTTTATTATAGGAATAATAAATATATAAAGCACTTTCTATTGAACAAATGTTTTCTAATTCCTGTCTCAATTGGGACTTTGGAGGGTGGGGAAAATTCCTCTTTATTTTTCAAATGAACATGTTTACTGCCTTTAAAAAACTATATAAGTGTATTTCATAATTTCATCAAAGAACTATGGTATTAAATAATAATAATAATAATAACAAAGTTTGTTCGTTACCTGCTTCTCCTCATGGCAGAAGTCCTTAAAATAGAAAAGGTTTTTGTACACAGCACCATCTTATTTGAGACAAATAAAATACTGTAAACTGGTGTTTATAGTAAGAGGTGAATACATATGCCTATTACTGTTTATACTCTAGTATAAACCAACCGGAATATAAGCCGAGGCACCTAACGTATTGACTCAAGTATAGGCTGAGGATGGGAAATGCAGCACCACCAGGTAATTTTCAAAATAAAAACAGATACCAATAAAATTACATTAATTGAGGCATGAGTAGGTTAAATGTTTTTGAATATTTACATAGAACTGTAATTTAAGATAAGACTGTCCAACTCTGATTAAATCATTATTCTAATCTTCATTGTAAATGTGCTTGTATGTCCTTCTAATAATAATAGAGTAAAATAATAAATGTAATAATAATAATAGAGTAAAATAATGGAAATGTAATATTAACAGTAATAATAGAGTAAAATGATAAATGTAATAATAATAATAATAATAGAATAAAATAATAAATGTAATAATAACAATAATAACAGAGTAAAATGATAAATAAGTTTGACTCGGGTTTAAGCCAAGGAGGGGCTTTTAATCCTTAAAAAAGGGCTGAAAAACTCACTTTATGCTCGAGTATATACGGTATTTGTACAATCTATAAAAGGATACCCTGTTACAAAGCCTTGAATATGTGATGTTTGATACCTTAATAGACAAACTTTGTGAAACTCAAAGTAATGACTTAAGAGGCTTGTAGATTAGTTGCTCACTGGGTCCTAAACACCTGTGGCATAGCTCTTAGCACATAATGCAGAAATATAGATTGTTGTTCGTTCATGCGCCGTCTCCTCCAATTGAAGACTCTCAATTCTTCTAATCCAGTGCTTGGCATTGTGAGAAGGGATCCAGCTATGGGCAGTGTTACTTTAAAAAGTGACACTTAATGGTTTGAACTTCTATCTTTTAAGGATTAAAAAAGTGTATATGAACAGTCAGATTCAATTTTAAGCCAAATGCTGGTCTGAAAACATGCAGTAAATGGTGCATAACTACAAAACTATTTGGTCTGCATGCCCGCGTTTGTGCCTCTTTTCTATCAGTCACTTTGCCTTTCTCTCTATTTTTATAGGTTTTCTATGTCTGGTTTGATGCACCCATTGGCTACCTGTCTATTGCAGCCAATTACACTGACCAATGGGAGAAATGGTGGAAGAATCCAGAGCAGGTAACTGGCTTGTTCATCTCCACCTCTTTCTGTTGGGATCCCAACTAGCTCACCATGTGGATCCTGGAAAGAGTTTCAAGGTGAAGTTGGTTTCTTTCACTGAAGACCAAGGCACCCTGAATCTTGCTGATAGCCTCAACTAGAGGAGATCCTCTGAGGTGTCATGTCACTATTTAACTGTTAATTCAATAGGATTGCTGTGGTTGGAGCTATTAATGCACTTTGGGGATCCAGGCAAATTTTCCATTAATGGCATATCCAGTGCATGGATGCTTTATGCTCACTGGCTGTTTTAAGGAGCCCCCGGTGACGCAGTGGGTTAAACCCCTGTGCCGGCAGGACTGAAGACCGACAGGTTGCAGGTTCGAATCCGGGGAGAGGCGGATGAGCTCCCTCACACCAGAAGCGACTTATAGTTTCTCAGGTTGCTCCTGACACGACCCAAAAAACTCCCCCAAAACTGGCTGTTTTGTACATGAACCAAAGTTTCTCCTGCTAGGCCACATCTGAGCATCCTGGTTTTCTATTCTTTTGGTGGTTATGAGGGTTTTTTTTTAATCTCCATAATAAATGTTCCTATTAACCAATTGGAGTGAAAAGAAGTGGGTGATTGTGAGGAAAAAGAAAACCTCTGCTATTCTAGATTGCAGACCATTTCCTTTTTCTCTTCAGGTTCAGCTTTATAACTTCATGGCAAAAGACAACGTTCCCTTCCACAGTGTTGTGTTTCCCTGCACATTGTTGGGTACTGGTGACAAATACACTCTGGTCAATCATCTTATTGCAACAGGTATTGCAAAAAGCACTATCTCTCATTGTTTAAATCCTTAGAAATATTGTGTCAAGTGAAGCCCTGGCTGTACTGTTGTTATTTCTATATTTTGAATTAATGTTCTGATTGTTTAAGTTTTCTACTATATATTATTTTAGCTATTGCGCTCAATCCAGTATCCCTCCAGCATGAGCCATTTACTGCTCCCTAAGCTTACTGTAAAGCCTCTGAATCAGTCCCATTTGGTTACTCCATACATCATGGTGAGGTGGCAGGAATGGGGAAGCATTTGGCTGCCTCTCCATCACCAGATGCACCATGATAACAGGCACAGAAACCCACCAAGTGTCTGCATGTATCGACACTCATCATTGTGCATCTGGCTATGTCACTCCACTGGCTGTCAATTAGTTTCCGGGCTCTAAAGAACTTGCTAACATCTCTGTAATCTTCCATTTCCCCATTTACAGAATATCTGAACTACGAAGATGGCAAATTCTCCAAAAGCCGTGGGGTGGGCGTTTTTGGAGACATGGCCAAGGACACTGGGATTCCATCAGACATTTGGCGCTTCTACTTGCTCTACCTGCGCCCAGAGAGCCAGGACAGCGCCTTCTCCTGGACTGATCTCATGACCAAAAACAACTCAGAATTGCTCAACACGCTGGGAAATTTTATCAACAGGTAATAATCCTGTTGGCCAGGGGTGGAAAGAATGGAGCACAGTGGTCAGATAGATGTTGAAAGACTGGATCTCCTTTTATAGGCCCATGAGAGCTGTAAGATCATTAGTAGAGGCCCTTTTCTCTGCCACACCAGTTTGTGCTCATTTGAAGCAAAGGAAAGGGATGCTTCAAGAGTTGAAATTTATACTTTTTTTACTATATTAATTTATACTTTATTTATATCCTGTCTTTCTCCTTGTGGGGACTCAAGGTAGCTACAGAATTTGCTTCACTTTGGAGGTTAAAGTTGTTCTCTTTTTGCTCTGCTTTCACCTGAAAGTAAAAACACTCTTATGCTGGTCAGGCTTTTTAAAAACATGCAAGGAAACATTTTATTAGTGTACTGTGGTGTTTTCTTGATTTGTATAAGTCATTGGACTTTATAAATTGCTTTTAACTAACTTTTATATTTATACTGTATTTCATGATGAATTTGTAAGTGTTTTATTTTTTTTTCAATAAGTTATAAACCACGTTGAGGTAGTTTAAATCCTCAAATGATGTTGGAAGCTAAGCGGTGTCAAACCTGATAAGTACTTGGATGAGTGACTGCCCTCAAAGGCCAAATATGTACTATCAGTTATTTTTGAAACCATCTCTGAGTATTCATGTCTAAGAAAACAATAAGAAATGAGATACAGCAATCTCATTTCATACTGTGTGCAAGTGACTTAAAGGCACATAAACACACAAGCGAACTTGAGTCCCTTTATTGTAGGAAAAGGTGGAATATAGATTGAAATAAATAGTTAAATCTATAAAAGCCCAGTAAGCAAGATAACATGTATCTTACAGTTCATTTCAAAGTAGGGGTTGGCAATTCATCGACTGTATATATACCCCACAGACACTTCATTGTGTCCTCTATGAACCTGCTGTTGCAGAATCACTATTGGTGCACTATACCACTATAGAAAGAGGAGCACAACCAGCCAGAAATATGGGCAAATCACATCAGTTTTCCTAGAAAGACACATTCCTGAGATCTTCTAGAGTTCAGGAATCAGAGTTAGTGTTGCGTATTTGTCCCATCCAAGTACTAATCAGGGCTGACCTTGCTTAGTAGGTACCTAGCTAAAAGCTTAGTAGGGAAGATGATCCACCCATAAAGATGTATCCTATAGACTAGGTCTAAGGTGCAATTAAGAGACTCTAAATGATTTGCCTGTTTTATTGAAAACCCAAATTTATTGCACAGAGGACTGGCTCATGAAAAGCGAAAGAAGTGCAACTGTCAAAACATGGTGATTACTCTGGCTTCCTGCAAATCAAATGCCTGCACCCAAACTGCTGAGTTCAATTACCGTTTATACTCGAGTATAAGCCGACCCGAATATAGGCCGAGGTGCCTAATTTTACCACAAAAAACTGGGAAATCGTATTAACGAGTATAAGCTGAGGGTGGGAAATGCAGCAGCTATGGGCCAATTTCAAAATAAAAAATATATACCAATGAAATTAAATTAATTGAGGCATCAGGAGGTGAAATGTTTTTGAATTTTTACATAAAACTGTAATTTCTGTTGAACTCAGATTAAACCATTATTCTAACCTCCTTCAGTGTAAATGTGCTTGCGTATCCTTCCAATAATAATAGAGTAAAATAATTGTCATAAAAATAATAATAGAGTAAAATAATGGAAATTTAAGAATAACAGTAATAATAGAAAGTAACAAATGTAATAACAATAATAGTAGTAATAATAATAGAGTAAAATAATACATGTAATAAAATAATAATGGAGTAATAAAATGTAAATATAATATTAATAATAATAGAGTAAAATAATACATGTAATAATAATAGAGTACAATAAAAATGTAATAAAATGATAATAAATAGAGAAAAATAAATGTAATAATAATAATAAATAGAGTAAAATAATAAATGTAATAATGACAATAATAGAGTAAAATAATGTAAATGTAATAATAACAAATAGAGTAAAAGATTAAATAATAAATAATACTAATAACAGAGTAAAATAATAAATAACCTTGACTCGAGTATAAGTCGAGGGGGGCTTTTTCAGCCTAAAAAAGGGGCTGAAAAACTAGGATTATACTCGAGTATATACAGTAATTAGTATACCTGAATTTTCTTTTCTTTTTTTCCAGAGCCGGGTCCTTTGTGTGCAAATTCTTTGGGGGTCACGTTCCCGCCATGGAGCTAAACCAGGATGACAAGCGGTTGCTGGCTCACATCACCCTGGAGCTGCGTCAGTACAACCACTTGTTGGAGAAGGTCAAGTACGTCCTTGGAGCAGAACATGTGCTAGAGGCCTGAGGAACTTGTGTCATCTCTGATTTAGTCAAAATCACGACTAGAAGAGTGCAGTGGGCATCAGCAGCATGTTGGCTAAGATGGATTGAAATCTCCCTCCTGTCTTTCCCCATGTCTGGGAGGCCTGTAGCCAGTAGGCATTCCCTGTTAGGTGCCAAGAATACAAAATAGGGGGAAATACACACATTAGACATTCGATCATGTGCTAATCTCCCTTTCATTGATCCATGTACGGATGCCAAAGAGTCTGTTCTAGACAACATTGCATGCCACTAATACAGTGGTTTTCAACCTTCTTAATACTGCGGCCCTGTAATACAGTTTCTCATGTTGTGGTGACTCCCAGCCATAAAATTATATTAGTTGCTATTTCATAACTGTAATTTTGCTACTGTTATGATCGTAATGTAAATATCTTATATGCAGAATGTATTTTCATTGTTACTTCTCTTTCTCTCTGGGATTCAGCCATGGAGGGGCCACTCCACCCCTCCCTAAGCCCTGCCCTCCCTTACCACACCTTCTCCCTTCTCACCTCTACCTCTTCTTCCTCTTTCATCTCTCTTGGCTCCAAAGCAAACCTCACTCCCATCTCTTCTTCCTAAAATGGAGGAGGGAGCAGGGCTGAATGATGTCACCACCTCCCTCCGCATAAGAAGAGGCCTCTGAGAAGTGAAGAGGGTGGGAAAAATTAGCAGTGTTTTCAGATGGTCTTAGGCAACCCCTGTGAAAGGGTCGTTCGGCCCCCAAAGGGTTCGCGACCCACAGGTTGAGAACCGCTGCACTAATACCACGTTTAGAAATTAGGCTCAAGATATTAATATATATTTTATTACATCTAGAAGCTGAAGTCTGGCTGTGATCCCATAATAGAACGTTTTAAGAGCCAAAACTTACTTGTGGTAGATTAAGCTATGAGAAAGAAGGTTGCATTAGCCATTCACAGCCCAACAAAGAAGCCTGTCCCTGGGATTTTTGGGGGCAGTGTTTCAGAAAATTGCATTGGATAGACTGTACCAGCTCTAGTTCCTTAGATGTGGTTATTATGGTTTTCTATGAGCAAGCAGATGGTGACTGTTGGATGTTTTGTGTCTCAAAAACTAGAGCTGATAGGGGAAAACTGGTGCCATTTTTGGAATCCGCAGGTCAGATATACCCAGAAACAGGACTAACTTTTGAGGCACCAAAATGTGTGTTGGACCATGTTCACTTACAAAAGTTTCTTATGGACAATATCACCAACTGGTTTGCCTATTTGAACTATGCCTTTTTGTTTGGAAAAGAGAGCACCCAGCAACTGTGATTGGGACATAGTTTCCTTCCTAGTTGCCTGGAGATGATTCTTGTTCATTCCTTGCGGCCAGGAGGGTGGCTTTTTTACTATCTGGGCATTGGCCTTCCTAGCAACGAGAGAGAGAAGGGGAAGCAGCCACCTTTCCCTCTCCTCTTTGTCTGTCTCTCCCTCCCACTCCGCTCTTCTTCTCTTGCAGGATCCGTGAGGCACTGCGCAGCATCCTGAATATGGCTCGCCATGGCAACCATTACCTCCAGGTCAACGAGCCTTGGAAACACATCAAGGGCAGCGAGGCAGACAAGTAAGGCCTGGCTGCTGAAATAAGGCTATTCTTCTTGTAGAATTCCTTGCCATCATAGAGAACTTAACTGCTTTGGGTTGATTCTGAACTTTGAGGGAGTTGAGAAAGTTTCTGGGTTCCTTAGTTTGTTTATCTTTTGCTTCTCAGAGCAAAGCCAGCTAGCCTTTCTTTACTCTGGGAGGTCTATTCCTACTCATGGTTTTATTTATTTATTTAAAACATTTATATTCTGCCCTTCTCACCCCGAAGGGGACTCAGGGCGGAGCACAGCATATACTCGGCAAACATTCAATGCTGGGATTCACATATTCACATACACATACATATTGGCCTGGTCATCTTTCGTATTGCTGCTTTATTGCTCTGTCCCGAAAGCTTGGTCCCACAGCCAAGTTTTTAACCATCCTTCTAAAGGACAGGAGGGAAGGGGCCGACCTGATCTCACCAGGAAGGGAGTTCCACAGCCGGGGAACAATCACTGAGAAGGCCCTGTCTCTCATCCCCACCAATCGCGCCTGTGACAATGGCGGGACGCAGGCCTGTAGCCAGGATTTTGATTCGGGGGGGGGGGGGGGGGGGGGGGGGGGGGGGGGGGACTGAGTCTGGGTGAAAGAGGGTCTACCCTAGCAAACCTTTTGTATCGTTACCCCAATACCCCCATACATATGGGATATATTGAGAATGGTGATCAGATCATGATATTAATAAACATAACACTTTAAATCAGGGGTCCTCAAACTAAGGCCCGGGGGCCGGATATGGCCCTCCAAGGTCATTTACCAGGCCCTCGCTCAGGGTCAACCTAAGTCTGAAGCGACTTGAAAGCACACAACAACAACAACAACAACAACAACAACAATTCCATCTCATCAGCCAAAAGCAGGCCCACACTTTCCATTGAAATACTAATAAGTTTATATTTGTTAAAATTGTTCTCCATTTTAATTATTGTGTTGCTTTTAAGTGTTTTTTTGCATTACAAATAAGATATGTGCAGTGTGCATTCATTCATTTTTTTTTTCAAATTATAATCCGTCCCTCCAACAGTTTGAGGGACAGTGACCCGGCCCTCTGCTTAAAAAGTTTGTGGACACCTGGTTTAAATAATGTACCAGTAAGGCCTTCTCGCGGACCACCATGAGAATTTGGCGACATGCCTGGCGGGATGGAAAACAGGGCCTCCCCTGCTTTCTTTTTTTCCCCTGGACTGATAAAAGTTGTCTCCTCTTCCTAGGAAGCGGGCAGGCACTGTGATCGGGGTGGCAGTCAATATTGCCTCCCTGCTGTCTGTCGTCTTGCAACCCTACATGCCTAACGTGAGTGCGACTATCCAACAACAGTTGTGCATTCCTGCCCACTGCAACGTTGTGAGCAATGATTTTGTCTGCACTTTGCCCGCCGGACATCAGATCGGCACGGTAGGTTCTGTCAGGTGGAGGCTTTTCAGCTTGTCCTGGAACCATGGCACAATTTTCATTAAGGTCTCACAAATGGGAGGAGGAGGAGGTACACCTGTTTCTCAGCAGTACTGTGCCAGGCTGCAGATAGGGATTTCCATAACATTAAGGATGGCTCCATTAAAATAAAGTGGCTTCCAGCAATAACCTAGCACATCTCTAATAACTGGAATTTAGAAACAAATATTTCTCTTGTCAAAGTATTTATTTCTTAAATATCTGGCTCCATATCATAAGATCTCAAGGCAGTATGCAGTGCAATCGGTTTAGTCAATTTGAACAATATAAAACTGTAAGAAAGCAAACAAGCTATTGCAATTCAGAATTAATTAATTAAAGTGGTGTAAAGTTTTGAGTAAAATCGATTCGCTCCCAAAGGCTTTTATGGGGAAAAAAATGTTTGACTTGATGCCAAGATTATTTACCACCCCAGGGTCCTCTTCTTCCTATTGTGAATTCTCTTTCCACTGGTGAGACATAAAAATATTCATCTTCCAGATCTGGGTCTTTGGGCAGAGGATTATGGCGCCTTCTACACCGCTGAATAAAGTCCCACATTATCTGCTTTGAACTGGAATATATGGCTGTGTGGACTCAGATAATCCAGTTCAAAGCAGATATTGTGGGATTCTCTGCCTTGATATTCTGGGTTATATGGCTGTGTGGAAGGGCCCTGGGTGTGTGTGTATGTGCATTCACTATTGTTATTCTGAGTCTTCCATGCATTCACTTCCTCCTCCCTCCTATGCCTGATGGAGGGCAAATGGAGGAAATACTCCTATTGTGCCATTGAGTTAAATACTACAAAAGAAGGTTGAAAAGGCCCAATTAATTCTAACCAACTGAATTCCTTTGCGACCTATGACCGTCAATCAGACCTATACAGTGAGCTGCACTGGAGTCCTTTGAAATGATGCCTAGTGGCTTCTTCGATTGGTATACAGCCTGTCCTTAAATAGTATTTGGTAAAAAAAAAAGAACTTGGAATTATGAATCAGGATAGCCGTAGATGACAGTTACAGGTGAAAATAGAAGAGCAACCTCTGCTCATACTGTTTTCTCACATCTGTCCACAACATTTCAAGTCCCTTTCCTTGCAGCCTTTCTTAGGATATGTATTGCTCGCATAATAAGCATACAAAACACAAGCCTCTGTTAGGATAGAGCACAGTTGCAGCGTGTAACGTGAATTTTAATATGATTTTTAATTTTACACCAGGTAACCCCCCTGTTCCAGAAACTGGAAGCAGAACAGATTGAAAACCTGCGGAAGCGCTTTGGTGGTGGCCAGGTAGGGAGAGGTGGCAGAGCTAATAGAAGTAGGATTTTCTCAGGAAAGGCCTCATGTGGTATTATGAAATTAACATACAACATATTCTTTACTGTGTACCAAAGCATTTCCTCTCCCTCGCCCCTGAAACAGGGAAGATTACTAACTAGGAAGAAGTGAATGCATCAGCCCATTGGGAGAAAGTGGGATTGCCAAGTGCTCAAGAATGGCTTGAAGCATCGCCTTACTTTCCTGATGCTGTAAAACCCATTCTACTCTGCACCTTTATTATGTATTTATTTATGACATTTATATCCTGCCCTCTCTCACCTCAAAGGGGACTCAGAGCATCTCACAAGTTATATGTACATACAATATATTATATTATTAACATAGAAAATATTAGTATTATATATTACTATATTGTACTATACTGCAATATTATTAGTAATATTACATGTAATATATAATATAGTTATATTGTATTAGTATTATATTGTATTACTATATTATTTTAGTATTTTATAATTATATTAATAATTAGTATGATTATTATATTGTATTATTATTATTAGTATTATATTGTATTTATACCTGATCCCTAGTGATAACCGTGAGAGTGACAGAAAAAGGGCACTCTTGCTGATAGCCAGCGAGGAAAGCATGTCATGTGCCAACATCCTATCCAAGCCGTACACTTGGCCATTGCTCTTTCTCTGTGTAAACACAAAAAATCCCAAACTGTTTACTAGAGTAAATTAAAATAGAAATGGCCAAATGTCTTCTGGGTACCCAATGCAAGGAGGCTAGCCTTGTGCTTATGCCTGACTCACCTACTCTGGCACACTTCCATCCAAACAGCATCTGCAGGTGGGATCCAGGTGCCTCCACCAATTCCTCATTGGATTATTCCATCACTTCGAAAGGGCACAGACCTAATCTTTACCTCAAAAAATGCTGCCCATGGCATCATTGCTTGGAACAACTTATCTTCAATTGGGACTCTCAGAACTACTTGCACAAAACCCAATATATCACTTTCTCTGTGATAGACAACTTTTTAAAAAAAGTGAATAAAAGGAAACTGTTTAGGGGAAGTGCATTTTATGTCCTCTTCTTTGTCAGATAAACTATTTTAGGTTTCTGGAGTTGAGGGAAAAATATTCTAATCTTAAGGGTTTATTCCTGCTCCTTCCCATAATACATGTCTACCTATGGTCTAGCTCCCAACTTAGTTATATAATAATAATAATAATAATAATAATAATAATAATAATATGTACCACATTCCATCTCCTGAAGGACTCGGGGTGGCTCACAACATGAATAAATACAAAGGATAAATAAGAAATAAGATAAATAATTAATAACCAGTATCCTTTGTGGACACACTTATTATTTTTAATTATATGCTTTGCCAGTGTTGATGTACACTATATGTCTGACTGGAAGAGGACAGATCCTGTGGCCCAAGCATTAGGAAGCTTTCCTTGCTGACTTCCCCCTTCCTGCTCTTGGTGGTGGTAGAATCTATCTGTAGTATTCTAGTTTTCTTGCAAAGTTCTTTCCTCTGCTGCAGCACCTAATTGCTTGCCTTTCTCCTGCCTCCTTCTGTTCTTTGTGGTTCTTGTCCTGCACCCTTCTGCCCTCTTCCAGCTTGAAGACTTCCCACTGAAGCCCAAGGTAAAACTTCCTGCTTGCCATGGGAACTCTTGGGGCATGGGGTGGACTGTGGGTTTAACATATCACTGAAACATATCTTCCGCAGTTTAAACTAACCTAGCTCCTTCCACTGAAGCAGACCTATCAATAGTTGTCCATAATTGTCTCTTTGCTATGTGTTGCATCTGACATGTGCAACATGTGAAGGAGTGGTACATGCACTGGAATAAAGTAATATAGATGCCTTTCTTGCCCAGCCTTTAAAACTGTCATTGAAGAGATTTCATTCACACAGTACTATTTTCTGAGTCAGGAGCCCCTGGTGGCACAGTGGGATAAACCCTTGTGCCGGCAGGACTGAAGACCCGACAGGTCGCAGGTTCAAATCCGGGGAGAGCATGGATGAGCTCCCTCTGTCAGCTCCGGCTCCCCATGCAGGGACATGAGAGAAGCCTCCCACAAGGATGGTAAAGCATCAAAAACACCCTGGAGTCCCCTGGGAAGCGTCCTTGCAGACGGCCACTTCTCTCACACCAGAAACGACTTGCAGTTTCTCAAGTCACTCCTGACACGACAAAAAATAAATAAATTCTGAGTCGGATTGGACCAGAGTGGGAATTGTAAATCAATCTGGATGTTGTTTGGGTGCAACTCCCAGCACCCTAGGCAATGCTGAGGAATCACAAGAGCTCCAGTACATCTAACAGGCCACCCAATCCTCACCCTTGTGTTCTACTCTTCCTAATGGAGGGCAAGAGTATTGTAAATATAGGGGAAAACAGTATATTTTCTTGCCAACCATTTCTGCCTTTCCATCTGATAATGGAAACCCACTGCAACAGAAAGGAACCCCCTGGTGGTGCAGTGGGTTAAACCCTTGTGCCGGTAGCACTGCAGAATGAAAGGTTGGCAGTTTGAATCCAGGAAGTGGGATGAGTTGGAGTCTGTCAGCTCCAACTTCCTGTGTGGGGACATGAGAGAAGCCTCCCACAGGGTAGTAAAGCATCCAGGGCAATGTCTTTGCAGACAGCCAATTCCCCCACACCAGAAGCAACTTGCAGTTTCTCAGTTCACTCCTGACACGAAAAACTGCAACAAAAGATGCCCTTCCCCAATTTTTCTAATTTAGAATTAAAAGGCATGAGACTTCTGCTCTGCTTTCATCAAAATTGCATTTATTCTTGCACCCTGTCACACTACAGACTTAGATTCCTGATATTCTGAACCCTGCCATATGGGGCAGTGTTCTGGTGTGCTGAACAAAGTTTCTTGTGCTAATTTAGTTTATTTTTTTCTTCCTGCAAGCAAAAAGCAGCTGCAAATGGTGACTCAACACTGGGATCAAAAGAACTTCAGGACGAAGTAGCCAAACAGGTACGGCTAAAGTGTATTAAACTATGTGTTGTCAAAGGCTTTCATGGCCGGAATCACTCAGTTGCTGTGAGTTTTGCAGGCTGTATGGCCATGTTCCAGAAGCATTCTCTCCTGACGTTTTACCTACATCTGTGGCAGGCATTCTCAGAGGTTGAGGTTTGTAAGAAACTAGGCAAATGAGGTTTATATATTTGTGGAATGTCCAGGTTTTCCCACCCTGGACAAACCTCCAACAAACCTCACAACCTCTGAGAATGCCTGCCATAGATATGGGTGGCCATCTGTCAGGGGTGATTTGAATGCAATATTCCTGCTTCTTGGCAGGGGGTTGGACTGGATGGCCCATGAGGTCTCTTCCAACTCTTTAATTGTATGATTCTATGAAGCATTAGGAGAGAATGCTTCTGGAACATGGTAATACAGCCTGAAAAATTCCCACCAACCTACTGTATTAAACTAGTTGACCTGAGTGCATCTGAGGATTAATTGCTCACCTCTCTCCCAAAGAAATCTGTTGTAGCCTTTTAAGATATTGAACAAAGCTCTCCACTGAAGCTTCAAAAAAAAAAAAAAAGCTTTGAAGCTCCTTGCTCTGCTTAATGTGTCTGGCCCTCTAAATCAGATGTCGTCAAACCATGGCACTCAAAGAGCTGAAGGCCCACAGTTTGATGATACCTGCTCTAAATAGAGCTGCACTATAATTCCCACCATCACCGATCATTGTCCAGACAGAGGCTGATGAGAGAGGGAGTCTTAGAACTATAGAGTTGGAAGAGATCTTGTGGACCATTCAGTCCAATCCTCTGCCAAGAAGCAAGATGATGGCATTCAAAGCAGCCCCGACAGATGGCCATCCAGCCTTTGTTTAAAAGCATCCAAAAAAGGAGGCTTCACAACACTCTGGGGCAGAGAGTTCCACTGTTGAACAACTCTCACTGTTAGGAAGTTCTTCCTAATGTTCACGTGGAATCTCCTGTAGTTTGAAGTCATTGTTCCGTGTCCTAGTCTCCAGGGCAACAGAAAACAAGTCTGGCTCCCTTCTCCCTATTACTTCCTCTCACGTATTTATACATGGCCCTCATCATGTCTCTTCCCAGGCTTCTCTTCTAAGGGCTAAACATGTCCAGCTCTTTAAGATGCTCCTCATAGGGCTTGTTCTCCAGACCCTTGATCATTTTAGTCGCTCTCCTCTGGGCACATTCCAGCTTGTCAACATCTCCCTTCAGTTGTGGTGCCTAGAATTGGAAATGGTGTGGTCTGACCAGGGCGGAATAGTGGGGTAGCATGGCTTCCCTGGTTCTAGACACTAGAATCCTATTTATGCAGGTCAAAATCCCATGGGTTTTTTTAGCTGCCGCATGACATTGTTGTCCACGAATCCTGAAAGATCTACAGGGCAAATGATGGTTCAGACTGTAGATGTCTAAACTGTGGGCGAGCAGTTGAGGGAAGGCCTAAAAGCACTGTCTTGGATAACATCCTCAAGGGTGACACATTTTAGTTTTTGGTTTTCAAATCTCCAGCATGTCCTGAATTGTCTGGTGTTAATTGTCCTATGCACCATTCCTGGGGGCAGGAATGGTACATAGGACAATTAACACCAGACAATTCTGTTAAGCTTTTAAATTGATGATTCTGAGTAATTTACTCTTAGTAACTTCAAAGTGCAAAGATGCAGTCACACAGAAAGCAGTAATGTGACAAAGCTCCACCCCCAGAAAGTGACAGCAAGAGCTCATATTGCTGCTGCTGCTTCCCGAATGTCTGGCTCTGTGGTTGGAGCTGAGATGACTAGCAAGTGCACTGCCCATACCATAGCACACAATTCTAGTCACCCACACCTGCCTCTCCCAGTTTGCAGCTTTGAAAACCCAAAGCTAGGCAACTAGGAAGCAGCAGACTCTATGCATCAAAGCAAGGTGAAGGGTTTCCATTCTCCTTGGGCTGGGATTGAGAAAGATCAGACAGATGCAAAAACATAACCTCCTAGTGGAAGATTGGGGCCTGCTGTCAAATGCTAGCAGCACACACAGCACTTCACTTGAAATTTGGGGTGGCTTCTAGGGTTTCAAATAAAAAGGTTGGGGACCTTTGCTGTGAATGTAGGTTTTAGCTACTGTAATTTTGCTGTGTGAACATGTGGGGAAAAGTACATCCAACACTGTTTCTTCACAAATGTTTCCTACTTCTAACTTGCTGACTTCCTTTGTACAAATTTGCTATATACTAACAGCCAGTTCTCTCTGCAGGATAATTACGTGCAGCAGTTGAAAGCCCAGAAGGCTGAGAAGCAGCAGATAGACGCAGCAGTTTCAAAGCTGGGGGAACTCCAGAAACAGCTCAGCTTGGCTGGGGGCAAGGAGAAAAAGAAAAAGTGACAGCTTCTCTACCATAGACTTAGGCCTGTCTGGTTTTGTGGCAATGCTTGCCCTGTCCTGCAGAGATTGGGGAAGTTCACATTCTCCTATTTTGCTCTACTCTACTGTTTTGATGTAATCCAATTTAATCAGATTTATTTTCTAATTATGAATAATACAGATCTTTAACAGTTACATTAAATGGTGTAAAATTTATTTTCTTACATATACAGATATAAAGCATAATAGTGTTTTTCTATTGACAATACATATAGCTTTTACAAGAGGAAGGGGACAAATTCAAAACAGTCCAGCCAGTTGGCAGAGGTGCTGCTGACCTGAGCAATCAAGAAAAGTTTGTTGGCTCGCGAAACACCCTCATGATCTCTGTAGTTCATAGTTCGGCAAGGCAAGCTCACTTTGCCACATCCAAAGTCAGATGTCCCACAAGCTGCCTAACATGCAGTGGTAACAGATGCACTTGTTGCATAAGCAGGTGTCCCTTTCCCTTTCTTTCAGCATATCATTTCAAGTCATTGATGCTGTGGTTGAAAAGAATGGAGTCATACTCTGTTTAGTCCACCGTGAGTTGTCATCAATTCAAGACTGATGGGGTGTGCTCCAGCGCCATTAACTCTTTAGACTCACCATGCGCTGAATGAGGGCTGCTCTTGTCGCTTCCACCTCAGCGCTCAAGCGCTCTATTTCTTCCCGGAGGCGCTCATTCTGGGCCATTAGCTCAGCCACTCTGTGCTCGTTCTGCTGCTCCCGCTCTCTGCCACGCTGCCTCTTGCCTCCCTGGGGCTGTCTGCTCCGTTTCCTCTTCCGACCGGTTGACACCTCTTCCTCATCTGTCCCAGTCTGGGGAGGAGAGCTGCGGCTAGAGTCTGACTCAGGGGCTGCTGCAGGTTCATCGCTCAGCAGCTCCAGAAGCTCTGTGGAGAGATGAGGGCTCAGCTCACAGGCCTCTGTTGCTGGGCTCCCACTGGGCTCCAGGGGCCCCAAAGCTTCCAAGTCCCACAGCAGAGATGTACCATCAAGACTGAACTCCTCCTGTGAGGAAATGGAACAGCAGCGAGGTATGGTTAAGGCAGACTACATGTTTAGAATTAGATTGTGTGTTCAAATTGGGGCTGAACAATTTCAATGGGGATAGCTAGTCTCCTCCCCACTGATACATTTAAAAGGTGAATAGAGGTTCCAGGCCTGAAAACAGCTTAGGGCCACCGCACCCTCATAACCTCTCATTTAAAACAATGTGTGATGCTCGAGTTCGCTGGAGCAAACTTGAGCAAGTTGTTTCCTGGCAGCATGTCTTACTTCTATAGCAGTGGTTCCCAACCTTTTTTTGATCAGGGACCACCCTCAAACGGGTTACAAATCAGATTTTGGTCAACCTTCAATTCGGTTTGGTTATTTGGGGTGCTGATTCAGAAAGTTGCATTGGATAGACCACATCAGCTCTAGTTTCTGATTCAGAACATATGCCATCCAGTAGTCGCCATCTGCTCAGCCACAGAAAACCATATTTAATAAGCTTCAGCACTATAAGGGTTTTGCGAGACCAGTCGCTCTTGTTGCAGTATAGTAATAGTGAGGCAATGGACCATAATGGGAACCACTGCTATAGGTAGACAAGATGCAGTGGTGGGAAAGGCCCTTTATCTTCACTTGTACGACTGACACAAGAAAGGATTAGCTGGTATTAAGTACTGTACTGTACTTTTCCTAGAGTGATCCCCCAAAATCTGATGGAGACCATTCAGCTGTGCTCTCATTGCTGAAATAATATACCACCTCCTCATACTTTATAGCAGCCTCCAGAGTATGGTGGAAGCAAATTATGATTGTGGCAATAGCATCACAATCCTGCAATCACCACTTCATATTCTCATCTTACATTGGGAGAAGCGCAATTCTAATGATGAGAGTATAGTTGAATAATGCTTCTGTCAGGGTTTGAAGATGTTACGTAATTAATTATAAATGAAATAGGTTCCCAGTCATTACATCTTAACAGACAGGATTACATTGTCGTTGTCCTCCTCCTCCTCCTCCTCCTCCCATCTTCTAGGGCACTGTAAACTAAATGACCTGAAAAATCAGGGCAGAACCAACTGATGTCTGCTGCTGACTCACCCATTCCTGTTCCCCCACCACTGGGGGGTCTGTCCTGCTGCTCACATCCAAGGAGAGCACCTCCTGCAAGTCTTCATACCAGGACTCCAGGTCCCAGGTGGGCACAGGGTTACCCACAGGGAAGGGCAGTGACTCTGCCATCATTGTTTAGGTGATGCCAGGCTGTACCTAGAAGGAAGGAAAGAAGAAAGGGATGGTAGTGATCAATGAACTATAACACATGAGACACATTTCCATTGCTCTCAGCTGGGAGGGGAGCTTAGTACGACCCTGACTTCCCACTAAGATAACCCAATGGCAAAACAAGCAAACCCTAGCACCTTGTTATCAAAAGAAATATTAGACCTGCAGGTCTGTTCTCTGTGCAACCCTGAAAAAGTTGAAGAGGTGTAAACAGATTTCATGTCTGGAATTCCCTTTTTTCCAGAGAGTTGTTCTTTATTTACTGTCCTGATTCTAGAGGGTTTTTTTAAAATACTGGTAGCCAGATTTTGTTCATTTTCATGGTTTCCAACAGACAAGTAAGTATGAATGTTGCAATTAATCACCTTGATTGGCATTGCAAAGCCTTGCAGCTTCAAGGCCTAGCTGATTCCTGCTGATTCAGCCATAGCAGAACGTTTGATGAACCAAGCTGATACAGCATATTATTTGAGTACATAGAAATACTGGACCACTCTAACAACCACTATGTCACACGACATAGAGAAGCCATTGTAATCCACAGGCATGTGGACAATTTCAACAGAAAGGAGGAAACCATGAAAATGAACAAAATCTGGCTACCAGTATTTTAAAAACTCTCAACTATAAACCTCCCTTGCCTAGTTTCCAACAGACCTCACAACCTCTGAGGATGCCTGCCAGAGATGGGGGCAAAACTTCCGGTGAGAATGCTTCTGGAACATGGCAATACAACCCGGAAACCTCACAGCAAGCCAGTGATTCTGGCTATGAAAGCATTTGACCTTATTTATTTTCAGTTTAACCCAGGGGCCTCACAATGTGATCTGATCACTGAGGTCAAAAGTCATTTTCTGATTCATGCTAAAACTAAGCTGATGGTCTGCTTTAAAAAGCCTAGGCTACCTAATCTGACAGTGGTATAAACCCTCATCTGACTGTGTAATCTGAGGCAACACCTAATCCCAAAGAGAAGTCCAGTGAACAGCAGGGTATAAAATGCCAAGCATTTAAGGATAGGTATAGACCTATCCTCATAATCCAGCCAGTAGACACATGTAGACACAGTCATTTTGACCTCATTTCAAAAAATATATAACACTACATATGAAACGGATTTGTAGGGACAATTTTGGTTAAAGTATTTTTCCTCTTTCAAAACTCCTCTTGCAGATGGCTGATGATTACAAGTCTTCAGCCGGTAATACCATAAAATGGTTGCCTTGTAGAGCTAGTGCTGTATATGAGTTCTGCAACAAATTGTGACAGGCTGAGGAAAATGCCCTGCCTTGCTGAGAATGAATAAAGAACGAGTAACGGAATTCCTTAGGAATACAGTTAATTTAGAACTGAATTTGAATCAAACATTTGGAACCCAAGGTCTTCAGATTCTTCATGTGATTATGACCATATTATAGTTTGCTAATGGCAAAGAAGAAAATGGAATACCTCTGCCACTGCACTTGTGGGCTTTTTCCAGCCAGACAGGATTTGAGATTGGGTCCTTCAGCAATACTGCCTAGAGTTCATTACTGTTTTGCCTCTGAACTGCCTGGAATTACATTCCAGAACCAGGGTCCCTGCTGGTTCCATTTAAAACAATATCCTAATAGAACTGCTCATAAATGAGCTAATAAATTCATTATGGATCAATTCCAGGTGCTTTTAAGGCTGCTATCCATACAACTGCAAAGCAGTGCATTGAAAATAAAATTAAAGAATTGATTTTAAAAGGCTCATTTTAAGACACTTTAGAAGCTAAAGGCTGGCTCAGTACTTTGATGGGAGATCACCAGTAAAAACTAGTCGTTTTCAGATCAGGTTAGGAAAAAACCTGACCGACATCTCAAAGAGATGACCCCTCTAAGCTCACAATACTGGACTAATGGACAAATGCTTTGGCTCAGTACAAGGCAGCTTCCTGTGTTCAGAGATCAATCACTCTATCGATTGAATACATCCCAGAGATGTCAAGACACATGTTGCAGCCATCATAGAAAGACAGGATACAGGGACAACACCAAAACCAGGTGGAAAATAAACATGGGTGGGTCTACAGGGCCAGGGGCTTGTAGCTCAAAAAATTCAATTCTGGAGATCAAATATAAATGTATACAATTGGCCCTCCACACTTCTGGGTTTTACTTCTGCAGATTTAATTAATGCATTTTCTCTAGGAACTTCTTATGATTTCCAGCATAACCCTGTGCTCAAGTTCCACCAGACAGTTGTGCTGGAGAACCTACAGATTCCTAGATGATGCTTTTCCAGGCATGTGCAGCTCCTCCAGCATGATTCTACAGTCAGTATCTGCTGGAGGATCTAGAGATTCCTAAAAAGAGTTTCCTCAAGTTAAAAAAGTGATTTGATAGTATCAATTTTTCCACATTTGCAGGGGCCCCATGCCTCTAACTCCAGCAAATGTGGATGGCTGACTATCCTTGATTGCTCTAAGGTTACAAGGGGAGTGTCAGAGGGATTACCAAAGACCATCAGAAAACACAGTATTTTCTGTTGGTCATGGGGATTCTGTGTGGGAAGTTTGGCCCATTTCTATCGGTAGGGTTCAAGGGGCTTTATGATTGTAGGTGGACTATAAATCCTAGCAACTACAACTCAAATGTCAAGGTCTATTTCCCCCAAACTCTACCAGTGTTCACATTTGAACATATTGAGTATTTGTGCCAAGTTTGGTCCAGATCCATCATTGTCTGAGTCCACAGTGCTCTCTGGATGTAGGTTAACTACAACTCCAAAGCTCAAGGCCAATGCCCACCAAACCCTTCCAGTATTTTCTGTTTGTCATGGGAGTTCTATGTGCCAAATTTGGTTCAATTCCATCGCTGGTGGAGTTGAGAATGCTCTTTGATTGTAGGTAAATTATAAATCCCAGCAACTACAACTCCCAAATGACAAAATCAATCCCCTCCCCAACCCCACCAGTATTCAAATTTGGGTGTATCGGGTATTTCTGCCAAATTTGGTCCAGTGAATGAAAATACATCCTACATATGAGACACTTACATTACTTCATAACAGTAGCAAAATTGCAGTTATGAAGTAGCAACAGAAATAATTTTATGATTGGGGGTCACCACAACATGAGGAACTGTATTAAGGAGTCATGGCATTAAGAAAGTTGAGAAACACTGCTCTAAGACAGCAGCAGCCGCTTCACCATTTGAAGTGTCACCTCACTGGCTCCCCTGATAAATGAGTCCTTTTTTAAGAGAAAAAGGTATGTTGAGACTGACATAGGGAACTGTATTTTTTTCAGTCCTGTGCACCCTTGCAATTTGTAGCCACTCCATTGTATGCATAGGGATATGCTATGCGTGCACTTTATCTTTAAAGTATCCTCAAATAATAATAATAATAATAATAATAATAATAATAATAATAATAATAATAATAGAACTGCAAAGGCTCTGGCATAAACCAATACAGGTGGTCCCAGTGGTCATCGGCACACTGGGTGCCGTGCCAAAAGATCTCAGCCGGCATTTGGAAACAGTATCACGATCTGTCAACTGCAAAAGGCCACCTGACTTGGATCTGCGCGCATCATTCAAAGATACATCACACAGTCTTAGACGCTTGGGAAGTGTTCGACTTGTGATTTTGTGATACAAAATCCAGCATATAGATCTCTTTGCTGTGACATACCGTGCTTTTGTGTCAATAATAATAATAATAATAATAATAATAATAATAATAATAATAATAATAAACTTTATTTAATACCCCGCCACCATCTCCCCAATGGGGACTCGGGGCAGCTTACATGAGGCCAAGCCCAATAGCATATTACAATATGCTATTGGGCTTAAAACCAAAACACAATAACAACACAGTAAAATACATACAACATATGAGTACAAAAAACGATAAAGCAAAATCATACACAATAAAATAAATGAGCGGGCCGCATATGCAAGATAAAAAACTAAGATACTAAAAATACTAAAATCAGGATGAGACAGGGATGGAGCAGATTGTTTGTGAGGAAGACATTCATAAAAGAACGGGGTCATAAATATAGATCTTCATACAGGTGGGGAAATATACTCTGGGGAGAAATAATATCACACAGATTTTCTGAACCGAATCTGGTTTGAAAAATCGCATGTGTTCCACAAAGCCGACAATTGAGGGCTCTTTTCCAATTGCAGGCCTTTCCTGATGTCACATGGCTTGTTGCATAAGGCGACATGCAGGGGAATTCCAGGCTCTGGTTACTCCTGGTAAAAGTTAACAGTTCTGAGCCCTTTGCGCTGGAAATTCTTCCTGCCAGAAGTAAGTAGTGAGTCATCAGTCATAAGACAGCCTGGGAGTGCCAGCCAAGCATTCCTGCAACCTCAGGCATGGAGCACTTCCTTTCTCATGCCTCAAAAAGAGAGAGCTCATCACCACTCACTTTCATCACATACTAGTTTAGGGACCAGGGATGGCTCCAAGATCCAAGCTCTCTAGAATGGAGGCATCCACATTATGATGGGCAGTGAAAGTGACACAGGATGTGAGTGGCACAGGCAGGTCGCAAAACTTAAAATGAGTCAGATTATACAAGTCTACCTGTGCTTGTCAAAGTGACAACGGGACTGTTTCAGTTCCTTTTCCCTAGGATATCTTCTGGAAAGGCTCTGCCCTAGGCCAGCACCCTCGTGTAGTGGGATGCAACTCCCATCATCCCCAGCCAGAATGTCAGTCTTTCAAGCTGCGTTGGTTCTCTCAATGAGAACCACTATGAGTGACTATAAGATTGACTGTGGCTCCCAAGCTTCCTTTAGGCAGCAGAACTACGGAAGCTCTCTGTTTCTGATGGGCAACAGGCTGGCCACCAATCCACATGAACAGATGATTTGATTGAAATCATGTCCCTGAGGAGGACTGATTCAAGACATTTTGGTGCCTAAATCAAAGGCTAAGTTACTAATACCACTCCCTCCCATTCTATTTGTAGAATGTGACCTAATCCAGCAAGTAAATCTTACCTCAAAACTAGTAATGGAACCATGTCCCACACACTCCCAAGGAGGACAAGCAAGTGGGGTACAAATAGCTCTTTCCTCTGACAGAGAGGAACAGATAGTGAATAATAATAATAACAAATAATAAAACTTTATTTATACCCCCCCCCCCCACCATCTCCCCAAGGGACTCTGAGCGGCTTACATGAGCCCAAGCCCGACAATACATCAAAAACAACAAGTAATAATAAAATAACAAGCAATAAACAAAAAAAACCAATACAATTAATATAACTCATAAGTAGACAATAACACACACGAGTTTAAAAACCTACGGCTGGGCGAACTTGGTAAGAAAGGGCAAGGGTTTGACCTTGTTCTCCCAGAATGTGCTACCTGAGGTAGATGGGTCATTTGGGCCTTAATATTACGACCTACCCTGTTCATAAAAAAACCCATGTTTGGGGTACCTCAGCATAAAAAATAAAGCCCAGAATTTTTGCTGTGTACCTTAGAAACACTGCAAACTTTTATTATTATTTAAACTAAATCTTCATAGCCATGTTCCAGAAGCATTCTCTCCTGATGTTTCACCCACAACTATGACAGGCATCCTCAGAGGTTGTGTGGTTTGTTGTAAACTAGGCAAGTGTGAATGTTGCAATTTGTAAATAAAGAGCTACACTCAAAAAACAGGGGAATTCCAAACAACAATCAATCAGGGCCAGCAAACACTTCCCAACAAAGGATCCCCAGGCAGCAACCAGCCAGGTTTTGAAGCTGCAAGGGCATTAAATGCTAATCAAGAAAGCCATTCACACCATGTACATTGCCTCACGCAGATAAGAGTTCTTTCTCTCACCCTGGACATTCAACAGAGATATAAATTTCATTTGTTTAGTTTCCAACAGACCTCACAACCTCTGAGGATGACCGCCATAGATGTGGGCGAAATGTCAGGAGAGAATGCTATTGGAACATGGTCATATAGCCAGAAAAACTCACAGCAGCCTAGTGATTCCAGCCATGAAGGCCTTTAACACCACATTAAATCTTCATGCTGGCTCACAAATTCCACATTTAAATTATCTGTATGTTTACCTTTGGTTTGGATGTTTTGCCTTGTATTTTAACCTGTCCTGGTAAAAAAATAACCCCATTTTTAAAATCAGGATAGAAATGAATAAAACAAAATGAAATCTGATGCCAGCCATTCCAATAAAAATCTGCTTATGGATTGCCTCCAGATGTTTAGGGCCACATCTTACAGCAGTTATACAAAACCAAACAACTAACATTTTCACACATCCTATACATTTCCTTCTCTATCCTTTCACATATTAACTGCCTTCAATCTCATTCTTGAGAGAAAAAAAGATTATAAATGCAAGAAATGGATGACAGAAAAGGGTAACGTATCGGCTCAGTAATAGTTGCAAGACAACATTTTGTGTAGCACAGGAAATGGCAGGCAATACAGTTTATCCTCTATGTTTATCAAAATGCCCTGCCAAATTCAACAGGCTTTACTCCAGTGGTTCTCAACTTTCCTAATGCCGTGACCCCTTAGTACAGGTCCTCATGTTGTGGTGACCCCCAACCATAACGTTACTTTCATTGCTACTTCTTAACTGTCCTTTTGCTCCTGTTATGAATCGTAATGTAAATATCTGATATGCAAGATGTATTTTCATTCACTGGACCAAATTTAGCACCCGATACGCCCAAAATTTGAATACTGGTGGGGTTGGGGGTGATTGATTTTGTCATTTGGTAATGCTGGAGTCACTGGGATTTATAGTTCACCTTAAATCAAAGAGCCTTCTGAACACCACCAATGATGGAATTGAATCAAACATGGCACACAGAATTCCCATGACCAAGATAAAATACTGGGATGGTCTAGTGGACATTGACCTTGAGTTTTTGGAGTTGTAGTTCACCTACATCCAGAGATCACTGTGGACTCAAGCAATGATGGATTGGGATCAACTTGGCACAAATACTCAATATGTCCAAATGTGAACACTGATAGAGTTTGGAGAAAATAGACCTTGCCATTTGGGAGTTGTAGTTGTTGGGATTTATAGTTCACCCACAATGAAATAGCATGCTGAACCCCACCAACGATAGAATTGGACCAAACTTTCCACACAGAACCCCCATGACCAACAGAAAATACTATGTTTTCTGATGGTGTTTGGTGACCCCTCTGACACCCCCTCGCGACCCCCACAGGGGTCCCGGCTCCCAGGTTGAGAAACACTGCTTTACTCGAAAGTATGCATGATTTCGCAGCTCTTAACATCACAAGACCAACATTTCTTTCAGTAGCCCAAATGACATGTTTTTGGGTTCCTACCTGTTTTCAAGTGTGATGGTGTATTAGAATGCGATTCTTCATTCGAAGCTGCGAGGGGGAAAGGAGACATGATTATTACTGACAGCACTGTATTTTTTTTGTCTTCTTTATCATATCCATCCTGAAATACAGTTTAGAACAATTACTACGGATGACCCGAAGCATTCAGTGAATGCTTCAAAAGGGGACATTTTCCAAATTCACCTCAGAGGTAGAAAGATATGTCAAGTGTTAAGAAGTGACCATCAGTCCTCCGCATTCGCTGTGCTTAGGGGGAATGCGACCCCTGAAAATGAAAAACTCCAAATAAAAAATGGCTGTTATTTAATCCAAGAGAGCACCTCTCTAAGTTCTTCAGCGCAACTCTATGTTCAACTTCTGCTTGAAACTGCACACAAAAATGCCCTGGAGGACCCTAGAGACTTCTAAAGAAATGTTCTCTGTAGAAGAGTTATGATCAGAGGACGTTGACCACTGAGTCACAAGACCTAGGGCCCTTCCAGACCAGCCCTGTATCCCAGGTTTTCTGCTTTAAACTGGATTATATGAGTCCACCGTGCCAGATAATCTGAGATAAACAGAAAACCTGGGATATAGGGTCTGTCTGGAAGGGCCCCTAGAGATTCCAAGGGAGAACATTTTAATCCAATCCATGAATGGCCAAATCTACAAAAGTCAAAGCTATAAATGTGCAGTGATGACTTTATTTCTTTCTTGAAATACACCAGAGCAGTTAAGTCTTGGCTAAAGACTTGTTTGAACCCGAGATTCAACCAAAACTTTAAAGAACTTACATAAAAGCTGATACATAAGGACTGCTCAAAGGAACACTATTGAAAAACCTGTTGGTGATCTCACTTTCTTTAAAGAAATGTGAGGTCACCAGCCTTCTTTTCTGTTCCAAATTTCCAAATCAATAGCTCCCACCACCAGCTATGCTGGGTGATGACATAGAGGAGTATGGGCCCTTTCAAGTTCCCTAATAATGCTATTAATTCCACTTTCGCTGCCATGAAAACCTGGGATTTACTGCCTAGGGAGGGGCCCTTTAAGGAAAAAGTTATAGTGATTCTTCAAACTACAAATCCTATGTTTCTGTGGAGATAAAGAAGAATCACAGCACCAGCATTGTGTAATTTGAAAGGGCCCTTGGAACCCAAGAATCCCATTAGGAGAACATAAGCTGAGGTTGAAGGGAGGGGGGGGGGTGAGGGGAAACTGCTCTCCTTCCTAGCCTCACGCTTCTCCCTGGGAGATCCCTGGACACCCCACAGTCCCCCACATCAAATAGCAATGTTGCGACACCAGAACGAACCCCATAGGAATGCAGCAGGGGATGCATCATAAGTTTTCATCAGCCCCGAGTGATGCAACAAACCAGAAGAATTAGGGAGCCAAGAAATGTTATGTAGCCTGTTTCCCCAAGGAGGGAATTGAGCAGGTATGCCAAGTCCTCACCGACACTGACCATTTAATGCAGTTCCAAACCAGTATAGATGACCAGTTTGAGACCCAGGTGGTGATGACACAACCACCAAGCATCATGGCTTTCTTTTGTGCTCTTTGTTGGAAGTTTTTTGTATGGACACTAGCTCCAAACTGCATAGATGGGCCCCCAAATCATCCAAGATCCTCCCCAAGGACCTTTGCAATCCTTCCAGGAAAATGTGACAGGACTGCTCACATAGCTTAGCAAATGGAGCATCACAGGTTAAGCAAGACATTTATTTCTACCCGGCAAGACAGATATGTGAGGATTTGGTTTCTAGCATTACTTGCACCAAGAATCAGCAGAACATATTTTTTTGGGAAAAGATGTGTACCATCAGAGCCAGCTACTTTAGCACAATAGAAGGTGTAAATAAAGCAGTCAGACACCGTTGTATAATGGCAACAGAATCATGGGAGCTTCAGTTTTCCAAGGTCTTTCAACTTCTCTGTTAAAGAGTACTGGTGTCTCCTACGCCCAGGATTTCATAACCTTGAACTATGGCAGTTATAGTGGTGTTAAGATGCATTAATTCTACAGAACAGGTGCACCTAGATCTCTTAGCAGGGTCTTCTTCTCTGCAAAGCTGAGCAGGAAACACCGAGTCTTTACAAACCACAGAACCAAGCCGTGCCCTATCTATTCCCTCTTGAAGCAACTAAAGGACCCACAGTTTCATGTGGGTCCTCAGAATATATTCATCTACTGCCACTTGATACCTCTTTAATTGCCATGGCTCAGTGTTATGGAAAGATAAGAGCTGTAGTTTTATAAGGACTTTAACCTTCTCTGCCAAATAGCCTCAGTTCCTCGGCAAACTACAACTGCCTTGATTCCATAACAGTTAAAAGTAGTGTTGAGCTGTATTACTATCCAACTTATAATTGTACATTTTATCAGCATTGGTGTTTTAATCTTTGCTCTATGATTTTTAGCACTTTTTTACAATTGTTTCATCAATGTATCTTGTGCCCTGCATCAATCCGTGAAGAGAGCCGGGTAACAAACAACATTTAATCATATATAATAATTAAATATATTAATTTTATTATGTATAATATGTATATTATTTATTATACAATAAATATATTATTAATAATAATGTTATTTGTTATATATAACACATTATAACATTAAATAACATGTAGAGAGGTGGATAACATTTAGTATTATTAATTATAATAATATAATATATTTATCTTATATATAATGTACTTAGAATATATTATTAATAATGGTATTTGTAATTTATTATAATGTATAACACTGTATCTATATAAATAAAAATGTAATGTGGGATTTTGTTGTTCATTTGTTCAGTCGTTTCCGACTCTTTGTGACTTCATGGACCAGCCCATGCCAGAGCTCCCTGTCGGCCGTCACCACCCCCAGCTCCTTCAAGGTCAATCCAGTCACTTCAAGGATGCCATCCATCCATCTTGCCCTTGGTAGGCCCCTCTTCCTTTTTCCTTCCATTTCCCCTAGCATAATTGTCTGTGGGATTAACATAACTCAAAAGCCACTGGGCGAATTGACACCAAATTTGAATAGAATACACCTATCTGGCCAACAAGTGACCATCACTCATAAAAACATTGAAAAACACAGTGGAAGAGACCGAAAAAGCCAAAAAATAAAAAATACATTACAACGCATGCGCAAAACCACATATATACACACAGACTGGGCCACAGCAACACGTGGTAGGGGATGGCTAGTAATATATATATAATATAATATCAGGATTCAAATGGCTGGCAGGCCTGGAGGGTCTTTGGGTGCATTCACAGTGTATTTATTTCCTATATTTATCCCCCGCCCTTCTCCCCCCCGAAGGGGGACTCAGGGCGGCCTAACAAAAGCATCATAGGATGCTAGCATCATAAAAATCACAGTACAATCAAATTATTAAACATTAAAACAACAATTAAAACAATTAATTAAGACACATCCATTAAAATCAAAATCCAAAAACCAGTCTGGATCAATTCATTGCCATAAGTTGTGTGATCTTCTTCCACTTGCTGCTCACTGATCAAACGCTTGGTCCCATAACCAGGTCTTGATTTTCCTTCTAAAAGGCAAGAGGGAGGTGGCCAATCTGATTTCTCTAGGGAGAGTGTTCCATAGGCGGGGGGCCACTGCTGAGAAGGCCCTGTCTCTCGTCCCCATCAACCATGTTTGCGATAGTGGTGGGATCGAGAGCAGGGCCTCTCCTGAAGATCTTAAACTTCGTGGTGGTTCGTGGCAGGAGATATATTCAGACAGGTAGTCTGGGCCAGAACCGTTTAGGGCATTAAAGGTTAAAACCAGCACTTTGAATTGTGCTCGGAAGCTGATCCGTAGCCAGTGGTTATAAATTGAGATTTATTATTAATATATCCCAATATTATTAATAGTAATGGAGCCCCCGGTGGCGCAATGGGTTAAACCCCTGGGCCGGCAAGATTGGAGACTGACAGGTTGCAGGTTCGAATCCGGGGAGAGCGCGGATGAGCTTCCTCTGTCAGCTCCAGCTCCTCATGCAGGGACATGAGAGAAGCCTCCCACAAGGATGGTAAAACATAAAAACATCCAGGCACCCCCTGGGCAACGTCCTTGCAGAGGGCCAATTCTCTCACACCAGAAGCAACTTGCAGTTTCTGACACGACAAAAAAAATTAATAGAAATTTAAGTATTTATTATTATTTATATGTCATCATTTATATTTATAAGTTATGATTTATATTAATATAATTATATTATTTGGTTTATATATCAATAATGAGGATGATATATTAGTAGTTATGCTACACCCAAAAGCCTTCCGCACCTGCCCTCAGTTTGAATCCTGATGACCGCCTTATTTCTCTCTCAGGCCCCTTCCACACAGCTGAATAAAATCCCACATTATGCTCTGAGCTGGAATATATGGCAATGTGGACTCAGATAACCTAGTTCAAAAATGATATTGTGGGATTTTCTGCCTTGATATTCTGGGATATAGGGCTGTGTGGAAGGGCCCTCAGTTTTAGCAAGGGGAATCCTTTATTTCTCTCATGCCCCTTCCACACAGCTGAATAAAATCCCATATTATGCTCTGAACTGTGTGGACTCAGGCAGGAAGACACAATTCAATCTCTCCTGACAGATGGCCATCCAGCCCCTGCTTAAAGACCTTCAGAGAAGGAGACAGACAGATAAATAAATAGAATCCTAGAGTTGCAGTGTGGACTCAGATGACCCCGTTCAAAGCAGTTATTCTGCGATATTATGCTGTGTGGAAGGGCTCTTAGAGGAGAAGAAATAAAAGGCCTAAAAAAGCCCTTCCCACCCTTGAGCTGAAGGAGTTCATGAAGGCCAGGGCCCCCAGGACTTTTCCCTTCATCGCTCCGCACCTTCCTGCGAATCTCCTTCTCGCCTGTGATGCCGCCTCTCTTCTGCTGCTGGCTCTGGCTCATTCTCCCTTCGATGCTCATTCTCTCCTTCCGTGCGCTTCTGCCTGCGTCCAAATGCCAACTGCCTCCTCTCGCTCCGGGGGCCGGGTAGACGTTCGAGCGCGCGCCGCATGACGCAACTCTTGCGCCACGCCGGACCAATCACCGTCGCCGCTTCTTTTCATCCAATGGCCGTCGTCGCCGTCGCCTTTTGGCCCCGCCTCCTCCTGGACTCTTTTTGTTTTTTTTCCCCCAAGCGGGAGTGAGGTGGAAGCTGCCGCGTAGCTCCCGGAAGTGACTTCTCCTCAAGCTCCTCCCTTTTTCTCCCCGCCCTTTCAGGGTCACGAGTCTGGAAGGGGGTGAGTCATGCGAGGAGGGTGATGCAACGGCCTGGCAACCCGAGGCCCGGGCCCTGACCTTGGCCACCCGCCACACTCGCTTAAACAGACCTTCGTGGCTTCTCCTACCTCCCCCACCCCCCTGTTTCCGCGTTTTGGAGGCCCAGTTAGCGCGGCTGTAAGGGGACTAGGCCTAGCTACGTTAGGAGAGGCCTTCTTTCGGAGAGGCTTTATGACGTCACGCCCCGCCCCACCTTGTGCGTTAAAGGGCCAGGCCTCCCTGGGGAAAGTGTGGCTGCGTTGGGGAGGGGGAGCAGCGCTCCTGCCTCCTCAGATCCTGCATATCCAACAACCCATGGAGATGGCTTGTAGTGGTGTGCCTCCACCATGAAGTTAATGCAGTTTGACACCCTTTATTAGAGGTTTTTCAGGGGCAGACTGTATGTGGTTAATGCTGGAGCCACATCTATCTATCTATCTATCTATCTATCTATCTATCTATCTATCAATTCTCTGTGCATAATGAGTACCTTAAAAACAAAAGAACCAATGAACGAAATCACACCAAAGGAGTGACCATCACTCAAAAATTATGATTTTGTCATTTGGGAGTTGTAATTGCTGGGATTTACAGTTAACCTACAATCAAAGAGCATTCAGAACCCCACCAGCGATGGAATTGAACCAAACTTGGCACCCAGGACTCCCATGACCAACAAAAAATATTGGAAGGGTTTGGTGGGCATTGACCTTGAATTTGGGAGTTATAGTTCACCTACATCCAGAGAGCACTGTGGACTCAAACGATGATGGATCTGAACCAACATGGCACAAGCACTCAATATACCCAAATATGAACACAGATGGAGTTTGGGGGAAATAGTTGTAGTCACTGGGATTCACAGTTCACCTACAATCAAAGAGCATTCTGAACCCTACGAATGACAGAATCGAGGCAAACTTCCCACACAGAACCCCATGACCAACAGAAAATACTTAAGGCTATCCAATCCAACTCCCTTCATCAGGGCAAGAAAACATAATCAAAGTCCTCCTTACAAAGAGCCATCCAGCCATAGATATAGATAGATAGATATGATTCACACACAGAGAGATATAGTATCATAGATTTGAAAGGGACCCTTAAAGAAGGACAATGATGTTGCATGTTCCTGGGTGGGCAAACCAGACACTGTCCACATCAACACTGACAAAGAAACAGCAAGAAATACTGTACCCACAAGCATAAAAAAATTACAAATATTGTAAACCAGCACTTTCTCATTACTTTATTTTCCAGATCAACAGACTGGGCCACAGCAACGCGTGACAGGGGACAGCTAGTTGCTTTATAATCCAGTTTCTGGGCCCTTCTGCACAGCCCTATATCCCAGAATATTAAGGCAGAAAATAATAATAATAATAATCTTTATTTATACCCCGCTACCATCTCTCCAAGGGACTCGGTGCGGCTTACATGAGGCCAAGCCCACAGTACATCAATAACAACAGCAATAACAAAAACAATACAATCCAATTAATATAAATCACATAAACAATAAACAGTAACACACAAGCATTTAAAAACCAATGGCCGGGCCAAATGTAATAATTTAAAATTTAAAAAATAATGCTGGGCATGAACAAGGTAAGATATAACTGGGATAGGGTTTTCAAAAAGAGATGAGGGAACGCAATCAGTCCTAAATCAGTGGCAAAGTGCATTTTGAGGGCATATTGCTGAGAGTTTTCCTTATTCTGGGAAGGCACACTGGAACAACCACGTTTTCAGGCTCCTCCTAAAGACTGCCAGAGTTGGGGCATGTCTGATGTCCTTGGGAATGAGTTCCAGAGTCGGGGGGCCACCAGCGAGAAGGCCCTCCCCCTCACCAATCGTGCCTGCGAAGGAGGTGGGAGCGCGAGCAGGGCTCTCCAGATGATCAAAGAGATCGTGTGGGTTCGTACACAGAAATGCAGTCACGCAGGTAGGCGGGTCCCAAACCGTTCGGGGCTTTGTAGGTAAGAACCTGCACCTTGAATTAGGACCGGAAAATGAACGGCAGTCAGTGGAGCTCCTTAAACAGGAAGGTTGACTGCTCTGTAAGAAGCACCAGTTAGTAACCTGGCTGCCGTCCGTTGTACCAATTGAAATTTCTGGGCCGATTTCAAGGGCAGCCCCACGTAGAGTGCATTACAGTAATCCAACAAACCAAAAATCCCACAAACCAAAACAGTTGTATTGCATCAAAAACAAACAAACAAAACACAAAGTTTGCAGACTTGGTATTCTATTAAATGTCCTTTGACCATTGGAGTGCCTGCAAGAAGGTCCTCCATTGTGAATGTGGCAGGGCTCAGGTTGCATTGCAGCAGGTGGTCTGTGGTTTGCTCTTCTCCACACTCGCATGTCGTGGATTCCACTTTGTAGCCTCATTCCTTAAGGTTGGCTCTGCTTTTAACTGGGTTATCAGAGTCCACACTCAGATCATGTGGGATTTTCTGCCTTGATATTCTGGGATATAAGGCTGTGTGGGAGGGCCATAGGAATCCAGATTATCTGCTTTGAATATGATTATTTAATAAGAATAATAGAATTTTTGAGTTGGAAGAGATCTCGTGGGCTATCCAGGCCAATCCCCTGCCAAGAAGCAGGAATATTGCATTCAAAGCACCACTGACAGATGGCCATCCAGCCTCTGTTTGACTATTAATAATTAAATTGTTACAATTATTATTAATAATATTTTTTCCTAGCTCTCTTAATGGCTCAAGGCGGGTTACAAAACAATTAAAATACATAAGCACAGCAAAACACTATAGATACACACACACTAAAACTTACCTCCATAACAGTTACGAACCAAAACGTAATGAAATACATATTAAAACACAATACCAATTAAACAAAGGGCATGCATTAAAATTCATATTTATGTTTAAAGGCAGTCTGGGAAGGCCTGTCGGAAGAGACAGGTCTTCATTTGTACCTTAAATTCCAAAAGCAGATTTAGCTGTTGGAGCTCTACCGGCAGATCATTCCACAATCTTGGGGCGGCCAATGAAAAGGTCCCCTGAGTGACAGCCGCTAGTCAGGTTCTGGCTGGTTGGAGCAGACGCCCCCTAGAAGACCAAAGTGTGTGAGGCGGATTGTATGGGAGAAGGCAATCCTTTAGGTAACCTGGACCCAAACCATGTAGGGCTTTAAAGGTCAAAACCATACCTTTATACTTGGCCCGGAAACGAATTGGCAGCCAGTGGAGTGACTTTAGGATAGGTGTAATATGCACACTCCTAGATGATCCGTAACCTGGCTGCCGCATTTTGAACCAGTTGAAGTTTCCAAACTTGGTACAAGGGTAACCCAGTGTTAAGTACATTGCAGAAGTCCAACCTTGAGGTTACCAGTGCGTGCACTACCATCTTCAGTTCCTCCAAATCTAGGAAGTGGTGGTGCTGGCGGTTCAACCGAAGCTGATAGTGAGCACTCCTGACTATTGCATCTACCTGGGCTGACATTTGGAGAGAGAGATCCAGGAGTACTCTTGAGCTGTGAACACAGTAATTCAGGGGAGTGTAACCCCATCCAGAACTGGTTGACACCTCCCCACCCCCAGATCAGGATCCTTGATGGCAAGCACCTCTGTTTTGCTGGATTCAGTTTCAGTTTGTTTTTCCTCATCCAGCCCATTACCTCTCCAGGCATTCATTCAGGGGAGGCATGCTATTCTTAGCTAAAGCTGTTTTTAAAGACATGGAAAAATATTTTTGGGTGTCATCAGTATACCGATAACACCCTATCCTGTTCCTACAGATTATCTCTCCCAGAAGCTTCATGTAAATATTAAAGAGCATTGGGGATAGAATGGTACCTTGTGGAACACCACATAACAGTTCCATGCTGAGTCCACAGTGCCATATAATCCAGTTCAAAGCACATAATCTGGGTTCAGAAACTGGATTACATGGCAGTGTAGATGGGGGCTCACTCAAGGTCATTTGATAGGTTTCCAAAAAGCTATGCCATGCTTGGGACCCAAGCCCAATCACGAGATACATGTATGTCTCAAATGCACCTTAAACATGTAGCCTCAGTTTAATTTTCTACACAATACTTTTCATGAAGCAAAGTTTGTGGGTACTGAACCATCAAAAAGCAAAGGTGTCATTATTCATTGGCCTTTCCACACAGCCATATAACCCAGAATAATATCAAGGCAGATAATCCACTGTATTTGCTTTGAACTGGGTTATTTGAGTCCACACTACCATATAACCCAGTTCTGTGTGGATTTTATATAGCAGTGTGGAAGGGGTCTGAGCCACCCATCAACAATTCAGGATTTTGGACTGATTCTGATTTCTCTCTGAGGCACGTGTGAATGTTACAATTGGCCACCTTGATTAGCATTTAATGGCTTTGCAGCTTCAAAGCCTGGCTGGTTGCTCCCAGGTATCCTTTGTTGGGAGGTGTTAACTGGCCCTAATTTATTCTTTTCTGGAATTCCCCTTTAGAGTGTTGCTCTTTATTCTCAAACAGACAAGAGTTGTTTCTCCCATCCTGGACATTCCACAGATATATAAATCTCACTTCCTTGTTTCCAACAGACCTCCCAACCTCTGAGGATGCCTGTCACAGATGTGGGCGAAATTTCAGGAGAGAATCCTTCTGGAACATGGCCATACAGCCCAGAAAACTCACAGCAACCCAATGATTCTGGCCATGAAAGCCTTCTACAAGACATATGCAAGATTCTCCTGCAGCCTGAATGTATCCATGATGTGGGCCTCAAACTCGTGCGCCAGTTGCGACCTTACCTCATGAAGTCACCCAAATACCTGGGAGTAACTCTGGACCGTGCTCTTACCTACAAGAAGCACTGCCTGAACATCAAGCAAAAAGTGGGTGCTAGAAACAATATCATATGAAAGCTGACTGGCACAACCTGGGGATCACAACCAGACACAGTGAAGACATCTGCCCTTGCGCTGTGCTACTCTGCTGCTGAGTACGCATGCCCAGTGTGGAACACATCTCACCACACTAAAACAGTGGATGTAGCTCTTAATGAGACATGCCGTATTATCACGGGGTGTCTGCGCCCTACACCACTGCTTAGCCGGTATTGCACCATTTGACATCCGCCGGGAAGTAGCAGTCAATAGTGAAAGGACCAAGGCAGAGAGACATCTCCAGCTCATCCCCTGTTTGGGTATCAGCCAGCACGTCAACGACTTAAATCTAGAAATAGTTTTTTAAGATCTACAGAGACACTCGCTGGAACACCTCAGCAAGCGAGAGTCCAAAAGTGACAGGCTCAAACCCAGAACCTCAACCAATGGCTGATACCAAATGAGAGACTCCCCCCTGGGCAGACAGAAAACTGGGCGACTTGGAAGGCACTGAACAGACTGCGCTCTGGCGCCACGAGATGCAGAGCCAACCTCAAGAAATGGGGCTACAAAGTGGAATCCACGACATGCAAGTGTGGAGAGGAGCAAACTACTGACCACCTGCTGCAATGCAACCTGAGCCCTACCACATGCACAATGGAGGACCTTCTTGCAGCAACACCAGAAGCATTCCAAGTGGCCAGCTACTGGTCAAAAGATATTTAATCAACTACCAAACTCACACATTTTATATTTTGTCTGTTTGTTTGCTTTGTTTCTGTTAGAAATGTAATATAATTGACTGGTTGCCCTGACACGACAAATAAATAAACCTCATGAAGTCTGACTTGACCATGGTGGTCCACGCCTTAGTTACCTCTAGACTGGATTACTGTAATGCACTCTATGTGGGGCTACCCTTGAAGAAACTACAAGTTGTCCAACGGCCGGGAAACTACAACTTGTCCAACATTCAGCAGCGAGATTAATAACTGGGGCTAGCTATAGGGAGCGGTCGACTCCCATGTTTAAGGAGCTCCACTGGCTGCCATTTATTTTCTGGGCCCAATTCAAGGTACAGGTTATCACCTACAAAGCCCTAAACGGTTTGGGACCCACCTACCTTCGTGACCTTATCTCTCTCCATGTACCAACCCGGGCCCTTCGATCTTCTGGGGAGGTCCTCCTTTCACCCCTACCAATCTCGCAAGCTCGTCTTGTGGGCACAAGGGAGAGAGCCTTCTCCTCTGTGGCTCTCCGACTCTGGAACTCATTACCTGGAGAGATCAGAAAAGCCCCTTCACTAGAAACATTAAAAAAGAACCTTAAAACCTGGCTCTTCCACTGTGCCTTTGGCGAGTAGATGCACAACATGATACTATTGCTCCCCTCAACGCTTCTGCCACTGGAGTACATGCCCTCCAAATGGGAAGTTTAGTTCCACAACCCTGTGTGTGTTTATGAGCTCCCTGCAAATAACCTGCTCCTATTTTTATCTCATTAGAGTTTTTAATCATTTTATCCTGTACATATGGCCCGCCCACTGTTATCGTGATTGTGTTTATTGGAATGTTATTTTGTTGTTACTGTGTTTATACTTTTTTCTATGTAATTTTGATGATGTTGCTTGTTGTTTATGTTCTGGTTTTATTTTGCTGTAACATGTTGTCTGGGCTTGGCCCCATGTAAGCCGCTCCGAGTCCCCATTGGGGAGATGGTGGCAGGGTATAAATAAAGTTGATTATTATTATTATCATTATTATTATTATTATTGTGCTGTGGCTCAATGCTATGGAATCATGGGGGTTGTAGTTTGACTAAGGTCTTTAGCCTTCCTTGCCAGAGTGCTGGTGTCTCATCAAACTATAAATCTCATGATCCTATAGCATTGAGCCATCGCAGGTTACAATGGTATCAGATTGCATTCCTTCTATAGTGCTGATGCACAACTCCCAGAATGCCATAGCATTGAGCCGTAGCAGTTAAAATGCTGTCAAACTTATTGATTCTGCAATGAGGATGCATCCAGAACTATCTTAGCAGCACTATTTGAGTCCTCATCTACACTACTATATATAGGCAGCCCCCAAGTTACAAACAAGATAGGTTCCGTAGGTTTGTTCTTAAGTTGAATTTGAATGTAACTTGCAACAGATACTTTTAAAAGTGTAACTCCAATCAAATATATGTATATATTAGCTTTGAATAGCATAGGAATGGTGTCAGCTTTTCTGTGTGTCCCCCTTTTCAGAATATTTCATCTCATTTTCATTGGATTTTGAAAAATGTGGCTTGTTGTGGAAACAAGGATTGGTGACGAAGCTCCAGTAGAGACACTAACTCTTCCAGGAGTGAATTTCCCTTTCTAAGGGCAGCCTTTTCTTATTTCAAACCTTATATTAGGAAATACTCAATTTCTGAGACTGTTTTAGAATGATTTCAAGCGGGTCGCTTTACATGATGTTTGCCCCATTCCATCACTATTCCATTGGAAACTGTCTGCAAAGTGTCGCAAAAATGGACGATTTGCCGACAAAATTTGAATCATGTTTTTTGGAATACTACAGATTCTTCCATTGCTTAAGCACTGTTTTTTAGTGTTATAGGAAAATCTGTAGGCATCCCATCAGCAACGATACTTTTCAAAAGGTCACAAAGTGGCATAGGGGGTGTTTTGAATGGATTGGGAGGAGCCAGCCTTCCATAGTGTGATGAGTCAAAGCACAGTATTTTCAATCATAAGAATCATAATAATCAGGTGTGGTGAGGAGAGTATGCTTGCATCCTGTCTCAATACAGTACGCATCCATTCCCAAAAATATATGGGATGCACACCGATATAAACGGATTATATCTCAATGTGATAAGGTCCTAAGATTGCACAGAGATGTAGCCTTGAAGTCCCAAACTACTACTAAAGTTCTTTTCAATATTAACATTCTGTTACACAAAGAGATGCTTTGGAGGAAAGAATTTGCATAGACTTTAGTAAAAGCAGTTTTTAAAAATAGCAAGATAAAACAGCAATTAGCGATTTCAGTAATCCTAGAGAGAACTTAACTTCCGGTTCTGAAGGAGGTAGCCGCACTGTGAGGAGCTCCGTCCTTCCGTCCATAAACAGATGAGACTTTTTAATAGAAATAGTAATTCTGGAGATCTTTCCCCTTTGACGTCCAAAATCGAAATAGCAATCGCTTGCTTCCATCATGAAAAGTCTGTGGTCATGAGATGACAAGGCCCACGATGACAATTGCTGATGGGATGCATACAGATGTTCCTATCACACACAAAACAACGCTTCAGCAATGGAAGAATCCATAGTATTTTTTTAAAAAAACAAGATTAGACTTCCATCTGCAAATAATCACTTTTTGCAAGGCTTTGCTGAATAGTGAGTAGCGCTGAATAGTGATGTAATGGGGCAAATGTCATGTGATGGGATTCATTCGAAATCATTGTCAGTCTCAGAAACTGAGTATTTCCTAATGTGATAAGATAACAACTCTTCCAGGAGGGAATTTCCTTTTCTAAGAGTCCTTCCAGACAAACCATATATCCCAGGTTTTCTGTTTATCCCAGATTATCTGATAATGTGGACTCATATAATCCAGTTTAAAGCAGAAAACTTGGGACCAGATCCTGTTTGGAAGGACCCTAAGAGTAGATTTCTCCCAGGGCCCTTCCACACAGGCATATAACCCAGGATATCAAGGTAGAAAACCCTACAATATCTGCTTTGAACTGGGTTATCTGAGTCCACATTGCCACATATCAGAGTCCAAAGCAGATAATGTTGGATTTCATTCATTTGTGCAGAAGTGGCCTCATTTCTTGTCTTCTCACCCCTGTTCTTAACGGTGAGTCATTTGTAAGTCAAATGTTTGTAACCTGGGGACTGCCTGTAATCCCGGCTCCTTCCACACAGTTGAATAAAACCATAGAACCATATAGTTGGAAGAGATCTTGTAGGCCATCCAGTCCAACCCCCTGCCAAGAAGCAGAAAAATCGCATTCAAAGCACCCCCGACAGATGGCCACCCAGCCTCTGCTTAAAAGAAGGAGCGTCCGCCACTGCTGAATGGCTCTCACAGTCAGAAAGTTCTTCCTCGTGTTCAGGTGGAATCTCCTTTCCTGAAGTTTGAAGCCACTGTTCAACGTCCTAGTCTGCAGGGCAGCAGAAAACAAGCCTGCTCCCTCCATTTTCTGCTTTGAACTGGATTATAAGGCAGTGTGGACTCAGATAACCCAGTTCAAAGCAGATAATGTGGGATTTTCTGCCTCGATATTCTGGGATATAGGGCTGTGTGGAAGCGCCCCCAGTTTCTTGAATCTAGATTATCTGCTTTGAATTGGATTATATATGGCAGTGCAGATCCAACCAGAGGCCCTTCCACACAGCCCTATATCCCAGAATATCAAGGCAGAAAATCCCACATTATCTGAGTGTGGACTCAAATAATCCAGTTCAAAGCAGGTGTGGGATTTTCTGCCTCGATATTCTGGGATATAGGGCTGTGTGGAAGCACCCCCAGTTTCTTGAATCCAGATTATCTGCTTTGAATTTGATTATATATGGCAGTGCAGTTCCAACCAGAGGGCCCTTCCACACAGCCCTGTATCCCAGAATATCAAGGCAGAAAACCCCACATTATCTGAATGTGGACTCAAATAATCCAGTTCAAAGCAGATAATGTGGGATTTATTGTCGATCCAGTTCAAAGCAGATACTGTGGGATTTTCTGCCTTGATATTCTGGGATAGAGAGCTGTGTGGAAGGCCCCTTCCACACAGCTGAATAAAATCCCACATTTTCTACTTTGAACTGGAATATATGGCAGTGTGGACTCAGATAACCCAGTTCAAAACAGATATTGTGAGATTTTCTGCCTTGATATTCTGGGATACAGAGCTATGTGGAAGGGCCCTCAGACAACCCAGTTCAAAGCAGATATTATGGGTTATATTGCTGTGTAGAAGGGCCCTGGGACTTAGCTTTGGTGTCTAATAATAAAGACCTTACAAAACTACGACTCCCAGCATTCCATCTCACTGGGCCATGGCGATTGAAGTACTGTGTCCAACTGGATTCATTCAGCTGTGTAGACACGCTAGGAAAGAGCCCAGGCCTGTAACGTGTGGCACGGGAAAGGCGTGCTGTTTCTTGGCCTTTCTCAGTCGCAAAAAGGCTGCCTAGGGAGGCTCCGTTCCGTGTAGTCTGCGCCGGGACTTGGCCAGGCCCTTTGGATCCGGCTCCGCGTTTTGCTCTGCGCCCTGAGAGTGGAGGAGGACGGGAGCGGAATTCCCTGGGCTGCCCCCTCCCTCCTCCCTCCCTCCCTCCTCCCTTCCCCGCGGAGGGCCCCCAGTGCGCATGCCAGGGAGGAAGCGCCCCTGCTCTACCCCCTCCTCTTCCTGGCACTGAGTCCAGGGGGGGAGGGAGGGAGGGAGGAGGGAGACAGGACCTGGGGGGCCCTGCACCCCGATCCCCCCACCCACGGCACCCACAGCACCCGGATCGGAGAGGGGGCCGCCTCCTCCTCCTCCTCCTGCTGCCGGGGAGAGGGGCACTATGCACCCAGGTAAGTGCCAAAAAGAGGGAGGGAAGGGGGGGGGGGGGTCCCGGGCATGCTTGGGCTGGTGCATTGGGCACAAAGTGCAGAAAGTGTGCCCCCGCCTCCTGACACTTCAAACTTATTGGTGGAGTTAGGGACGGTTTGCATTTTGGATCCGGTTTGTTTAGGGAGGGGGGGGGGGGAGAGACGTCCTTAAAGTAATTCTCCTGAATTACCCTCAAGATTGGGTGATATCTGCTCTTCCAACCAATCTCCCCCAACTCTAAAAAATAGATCCATAAATCCGGATGTAAAAACTGCACTGTGTACTTTGATATGCCCAGGTCCCAGCCTTCCAGGTTCACTTGTTTTGGCTCCAAAGGTGGGAAAGTGTAGGGCCAAGGCTGCTAGGGCTAAAGGTGCGTCTACACTGGAGAATTGGTGCAGTCTGACACCACTTGAACTGACAAGGCTCCATGCTCTGGCCATCTGTCGAGAGGTGCTTTGATCGGCATGGCAGGATGAGGTTAGACCAGGCATGGGCAAACTTTGGCCCTTCGGGTGCTTTGGACTTCAACTCCCACAATTCCTAACAGCCTTTAGACTTCAACTCCCACAATTTCCAACAGCCTTTAGACTTCAACTCCCACAATTCCTAACAGCCTTTGGACTTCGACTCCCACAATTCCCAACAGCCTTTGAACCTCAACTCTCACAATTCCTAACAACCTTTGGACTTCAACTCCCACAATTCCTAACAGCCTCTGGACTTCAACTCCCACAATTCCTAACAGCCTTTGGATTTCTACTCCCACAATTCATAAGTCTTTAGACTTCAACTCCCACAATTCCTAACAGCCCTTGAACTTCAACTCCCACAATTCCTAGCAGCCTTTGGACTTCGACTCCCACAATTCCTAACAGCCTTTGAACTTCAACTCCCACAAATCCTAACAGCCTTTAGACTTTGACTCCAATTCCTAACAGCCTTTGGACTTCAACTCCCACAATTTCTAACAACCTTTGAACACCAACTCCCACAATTCCTAACAGCCTTTGAACCTCAACTCTCACAATTCCTAACAGCCTTTGGACTTCAACTCCCACAATTCCTAACAACCTTTGAACATCAACTCCCACAATTCCTAACAGCCATTGAACCTCAACTCTCACAATTCCTAACAGCCTTTGGACTTCAACTCCCATAAATCCTAACAGCCAGTAGGAGCGATTGCCTATGTTGATGATTATTATGACACTATGTTGACATCTCCACTCAGTACTATGGAATCATGGGAGCTGTAGTTTGGTGAAGTGCTGACTCTCTTTGGCAGAGTAGATTCAAGGCCTTGAGTAGCAACAGAATCCTAGAGTTGGAAGAGAACCCCAAGGGTTGATTATATAGTCTAACCCAAGCATGGGCAAACTTCGGCCCTCTGGGTGTTTATGGAGTTTGACTCCTACAATTCCTAACAGCCTTTAGACTTCAACTCCCACAATTCCTAACAGCCTTTGGACTTCGACTCCCACAATTCCTAGCAACTTTTGGACTTCAACAGCCTGTTGACTGTTAGGAATTGTGGGAGTTGAGGTCTTCTCAGCCCCCTCCAAATCAGCAGGTGGGGAATTCTTTGGGGAGGAGGGCTAACCCATCATATCCATATTATTTCCCCCCACGTCTTCATATAGGATTAAAAATCAAGTCTTTGTATTCTCATTCCTTTGTTGATCACTTTCAGACATGTGTGGAATGAGGGAGGAGTAAGGAGAAGGATCCCTATCCAAGACACATTGCACCTCCTTTAACTGACTTTTGTAGAATTATTATTATTATGTGCTGTCGACGACTTTCATGGCCAGAATCACTAGGTTGCTGTGAGTTTTCCAGGCTGTATGGCCATGTTCCAGAAGCATTCCCTCTTGACGTTTTGCCCACATCTATGGGAGGCATCCTCAGAGGTTGCAGGGTCTGTTGGAAACTAGGCAAGTGAGGTTTATATATAAGTGGGAAGTCCAGAGTGAGAGAAAGAACTCTTGTCTGTTTGAGGCAAGTGTAAATGTTGCAATTGGCCGCCTCACCAAATTTTTAAATTTATTTTTCATCGTGTCAGAAGCAACTTGAGAAACTGCAAGTCGCTTCCAGTGTGAGGGGAATTGGCTGTCTGCAAGGACGTTGCCCAGGGGACGCCCGGATGTTTTACCATCCTGTGAGAGGCTTCTCTCATGTCCTCGTAAGCTGACAGACGGGAGCTCACCCTGTCTCGTGGATTCAAACCACCAACCTTCAGGTCAGCAGTTCAGCCGGCACAAAGGTTTAACCCATTGCACCACTGCAGCTCCACCACATTGAATGAAACATATGGATAGGTAGCAGTTCAGAGTGAAGGACTTGGGTAGATCCAGGTCGCAATAATTAATAACACGATATATAGCACAATGTACACAGATGTAGACCTGCTTAGCGTTGCCCTGTGAAGTTTCTTACAATTTCAGATCGGAGGCTTCTTGTGTGTAATTCTGCTAGAAAGGAACCAGGTTAGATTATCCTCTGCTGTTGCTGATGCATCTGCAAAACTCTGGGCAATTCCTGCTATAGCCAAATAATGTATTATTTGATGAAAATGGGAAAAGAATTTCTGTGATCTTGCAGAACATAATCAACAAAATTGGCAGTGTTTTTTAAGATAATTAGACTGCATCTGTAAAATCAGACAGGCCTAGCGGTTCTCCTCCATGCGTAGTAAAGGAAAAGGTTTTCTCCTGGCACGAAGTCTAGTTGTGTCCCACTCTGGGGGGTCGTGCTCATCATTTCTGAGCCGAAAAGCTGGTGTTGTCCATAGACACCTCCAAGGTCATGTGGCCAGCATGACTGCATAGAGTGCCATTACCTTCCCACAACAGGATATCACCCCGCTGACTGGATTCGAACCACCAAACTTTTGGTCAACAAGTTCAGCAGTTCAGCGGTTTAACCCACTGTGCCACCAGGGCACCAGGATCGCAATAATTTACATAGTCTTTTTTTGGAAAATCTACAGTACAGGAGCCCTTGGTGGTGCAGTGGGTTAAACGGCTGAGATGCTGAACTTGTCGACTAAAAGGTTGTTGGTTCGAATCCAGTCAGTGGGGTGAGCTCCCACTGTTAGCCCCAATTTCTGCCAATCTAGCAGTTCGAAAACATGCAAATGTGAGTAGATCAATAGGTACCACTCCGGCAGGAAGGTAATGGCACTTCATGCAGTCATGCCAACCACATGACCTTGGAGGCATCTACGGACAACGCCAGCTCTTTGGCTTAGAAATGGAGATGAGCACCACCCCTCAGAGTCAGACACAACTGGACTTAATGGGAAAACCTTTACCTTACCTTATACACAGGACTAGTTGTTGCAACAGAAAATAGTGTGTTGGACAGTCAGGATTATCCCCACATTAGTAGCAGTGAGGCAGCTTTTGCATTCAGTTATATTTCTGTATATACTCGAGTATAAGCCTAGTTTTTCAGCCCTTTTTTTAGACTGAAAACATCCCCCTCGGCTTATACTTGAGTCAAGGTTATTTATTATTTTACCGTTATTATTATTATTAATATTATTATTATTACATTTATCATTTTACTCTATTATTATTATTATTGCATTTATTATTTGCCTTTATTGTTGTTGTTACATTTATTTTACTCTATTATTATTATTATTATTATTATTATTATTATTATTACATTTATTATTTTAGTCTCTTTATTATTATTGGAAGGTTACGTAAGCGCATTTACAATGAAGAAGGTTAGAATAATGGTTTGATCAGAGTTGTGCAGTCTTATCTTAAATTGATAGTTTTATGTAAATATTCAAAGACATTTAACCTACTGTTGCCTCAATTAATGTAATTTTATTAGTTTCTACTTTTATTTTGAAATTGATCCGTAGCTGCCTCATTTTCCACCCTTGGCTTATACTCAAGTCAATAAGTTTTCCCAGATTTTTGTGATAAAATTAGGTGCCTCATCTTATATTCGGGTCAGCTTATACTCTAGTATATACGGTATATATGGCCCTTGAATTTTTCCAATACATTTTGCGTCTGAGTGAGTTGCACGTTGTGTTATTGTTAGATGTTGTCATTTAGGTGATATTCGTCACGCTTGCACCAACATAAAGCTACCCTTGGGTCCAGGCATTAGGTTTTGCATCCTGGAGTATCTCAGCACATAACCCGGTCTCAAGAGGGTGCTACATCATTCTACTAATTAAAGGAGGAGAGGGATTTCTTGTTCTTGTTTTCCCCTTCTTACTGTTATTGAGCTTCAAAAGAAAATTGCAGGTTTCTCTGGAGAAGGTGGGAAAACCCAAGTGTCCTTTGGAAGGAAGGATGAATGTGCCACATCTCCTGCTGTTTCATTGCTGCTTTCTGGTTCTCACTAAGCTCCATGAAAATCAGGAACTTTGACATAGCATAAACAGGACCACATTCACCTAACTGCAGCCAAGAAACTTGTTTTTATAGTGCTGTAGCCCCACCTACAAGTGACGGCACCAATCCGGGAGTGGAAAAGGTGGGACCGATTGGGAGTGTTTCAGTGCCTGTCTTAACTCCTTCCTGGTGCTGTATTATTTCCCTGGATTTCTGAGAGCAACTCTAAAGAGCTGTGATGAAGTTCTGGATAGCTTCTTTTAACCAACTACATTCCTGTAAACTAATCATGCAATGTGCAGAATTAGTGAGTGATAAGGTTTATCTCCATGTTGTGAAAAAAATTGCCGGGAGAACATGATTAAAGGCATTAGAGCATGCCAAGCTGGTTTTTGTTTGGCTTCTTCTGCCCAGCTGGCAACCATTGTGGTGGCTCTCATTTGCTCTAAAGTTTTTATGATTGCAGCGTGGCGGCGTATGACCAGTTGTTCAGCGTCTGATCCAGGCTGGTTTGATGGGTGTAGGTTTCCCAGCCAATATACCAGGCTTCTAAATAACCATGCCCCTAATTGCCTTGGGTGAGTAAGAATTGCCTTTAGGAAACTAGCGAGAAAAACTTTCCAAAAGTAGACCAAGATATTAGAATATTCATAAGGGCTGGGAAAAGGAGTCCCCGGTGGTGCAGTGGGTTAAACCACTGAGCTGCTAAAGTTGTTGACCAAAAGGTCGCAGGTTCAAATCCGGGGAGCGGCGTAAGCTTCTGCTGTCAGCCCCAGCTTCTGCCAACCTAGCAGTTCGAAAACATGCAAATGTGAGTAGATCAATAGGTACTGCTCTGGCGGGAAGGTAACGGCGCTCCATGCAGTCATGCTGGCCACATGACCTTGGAGTTGTCTACGGACAACGCTGGCTCTTCGGCTGAGAAATGGAGATGAGCACCACCCCCCAGAGTCGGACACGACTGGACTTAATGTCAGGGGAAAACCTTTACCTACCTACCTTACCTAAGGGCTGGGAAACATATGTCATAGAATCCTAGTCGGAAGAGACTCCAAGGGCATCCAGTTGAACCCCATTCTTCTATGCAGGATCACACAATCCAAGCATCTCCAGCAGATGGCCATCTCTGCTTCAAAATCTCCAGGGAAGGAGTCCCTGTCCACTCTCAGGCAGCTTAATCCTCTGTCGAACAACTCTTACTGCCAGGAAGTTATTCCATATGTTGTTGGATATTAGTTTTCACCATTGTAGGAAATAGTAGGAGTTATAGCGCAGCAATAGGGTCCCCTGGTGGCACAGCAGGTTAAACTGCTGAACTTGCTGACCGAAAGGTTGGTGGTCTGAATCCTGGCAGCGGGGTGAGCTCCCGCTGTTAGCCCCAGTGGTTCGAAAACATGCCAATGTGAGTAGATCAATAGGTACCGCTTCTACGGGAAGGTAACTGCGCTCCATGCAGTCTTGCTGGTCACATGACCTTGGAGGGGTCTATGGACAACACCAGCTATTTGGCTTAGAAATTGAGATGAGTACCACCCCTCAGAGTCGGACTGGACTAGACTTAATGTCAAGGGAAACCTTTACCTATAGCTTAACAACATCTGAAGGGCCACTCATTTTTCCTATGCTAGTTAGCAGATTTGGATGGACAGAACTGCTGGTAGTCCAACAGCTTTTAAGTGGTTCTAACTCTTCTGAAGTTCAAACTGCTCCTCCCGCCCTTTTTTATCATTCGTTCTCACTGAGTTTTTTACTCCTGAGCCTATGCTAACATGTCTCCCCAGAAACTATTCTATGTTATATGTGTCTGTGTGCGTGTGTATAGCCAGCTCAGAAGCATGAGATAATTCAAGGACAACACATATAATCAAAAAAGTAGGTTCTGTGTGAGAAGGGAGAAATCTGTGTGTACTTTTTACCTTTGTGTTTGCCTAGGGTTGCCACTTTTTAAAAGGAACATTGCCTTCTCTTTGCTCTTTCATATGTGCCTGAGAGAGCATGGCGAACCAAAAGGTGCAGTGCCTTGTAATAGAGATAGAGTCACAGTAGAAACCTTACCTGTTGAATTTTTTGGCCACTCATTGCAGGAAATCCTGTAGAGAAAGGAAGGCTCATCCAAATCAATAGTTGTTGACCTAATCTACATGTGCAGCAGAAGTGGGTAGTAACAGCTCAGATGTGACAAGATGAAACTCATATTACAGGCTATAAATCGCATGTGTTGCCCTACAACACATATTGCCCTAGATTAGCACTTCCCTGCAGGTAGAGAACTAGTCCATGATGGTGCAGGCTGGGCTGAAATATTTCTCTCTAATTTTCTATTTTTTTTATATGCAAGGAGAGGTTTTCATAGGTAAGCAATGCAACAATTATATATTGACCTATTGTGATGATGCCTGTTTTCTAACTGAAGGATTCTGTCACTTAATTCTACTGAATACTGTATTTACTCAAATCTAATGCTTGCATTTTTTTGGCTAAACCACCTTGCCAAAATTAGGGTGTGCATTAGATCTACGTACAGTAATTCAGTATTCTTAGTGCCAAGGCAAAACAAAAGAGGAAGCTGTTTCAGGAGCCTCCTGAGCTCGTATTTGAGGGATGTCACCTGTTACTGAATTGGCATAAATCAATGCTATGTAATCCTGGGATCTGTAGTTTGGTGAGACATCCAAGTACTTTGGTTTCAGGGTTTTGAAAATTGAGGTGTGCTTAGATTCGATGGCGCATTAGACTCAAGTAAATTCAGGTATGTAGACCAGGAAGTTGGAAGTAAAGTAGGCTGGAATGTGCCTTTAGATGACCATCCTGCTTGCCATTGTTTCTCCTAGGTTTCTCCTAATCCTCCACATCTCCCATCACACTCTTCCAGGCAACATCCCACCCTCAGATACCAGGTGGCAAAGGAACATGCATTTTGTTCCAACCTTGTGGATCAGGAGGGTCTAGAGTAGTGTTTTTCAACCTTCCTAATGCCGTGATTCCTTAATACAATTCCTCATGTTATGGTGACCCCCAATCATAAAATTATTTTTGTTGCTACTTCAAAACTGTAATTTTGCTATTGTTATGAATTATAATGTAAATATTTGATATGCAGGATATATTTTCATTCACTGGACCAAATTCGGCACAAATACCCGATACGCCCACATCTGAATACTGGTGGGGTTGGGCGGGATTGATTTTGTCATTTGGGAGTTGTAGTTGCTGGGATTTATAGTTAACCTACAATCAAAGAGCATTCTGAACTCCACCAACGATGGAACTGAACAAATCTTGGCAAAGAGAACTCCCATGACCAACAGAAAATACCGGAAGGTTTTGGTGGGCATTGACCTTGAGCTTTGGAGTTGTTCACCTACATCCAGAGAGCACTGTGGACTCAAACAATGATGAATTTGGACCAAACTTGGTATGAATACTCAATATGCACAAATGTGAACACTGGTGGCGTTTGCAGAAAACAGTTCTTGGCATTTGGGAATTGTAGTTGCTGGGATTTCGAGTTCACCTACAATCAAAGAACATTCTTGTCCTCACCAATGATAGAATAGGGCCAAACGTCCCACACAGAACCCCCATGACCAACTGAAAATACTGCATTTTCTGATGGTCTTTGTCGACTCCTCTGGTACCCCCTCATGACCCCCTTCCAGGGGTCCCAACCCACAGGTTGAGAAATGCTGGCCTAGAATATACATTAGTCATTGAGAATCGAATGCCAAGGGCTGACCATTTCTCTACCACTTTCCCTCCAGGGTGTTTCACGAAGGGAACATGTGTGATGCTTGTATATATATGTGTCATGCCTTTTCTTGCCTTCGTCCTACAACACAACATAACAAAATGCTTCCGGAACATGGCCATACAGCCCGGTAAACTCACAGCAACCCAGTGATTCCATGCTTCCGGAACATGGCCATACAGCCCCGTAAACTCACAGCAACCCAGTGATTCCATGCTTCCAGAACATGGCCATACAGCCCGGAAAACTCATAGCAACCCAGTGATTCCATGCTTCCAGAACATGGCCATACAGCCCAGAAAACTCATAGCAACCCAGGGATTCCATCCATGAAAGCTTTCAACAACACATTGAACATAATAAAGTGTTCAAGCAAATAAGTGTTTGTTTTTTCTGACTTGCAGATGATACTTGAAGTCTATCATCATACTTCGAGAATTGTTTGGCACAGATAGTTCCTTTGGGGGGGGGGGGGGGCATCCATGCGAAATCCTCCCAGTGTGTTGTAGCATTTTGAATGTTGGACTCAGTGGGCATCAAAACTATAGAATGAATGCATGCTTTAAGTGCCATGGTTCAGTGTACGGACTCACAGGATCTGTTGTTTACAAGTTCTTTAACCTTCTTTGCCAAAGAGGGCTGTTTTTCACCAAATTACAAATCCCAGGAACCCATAGTATTGAGCCATGTCACTTAAAGGGGTGCATCAATTATATAATGAGGTACCCAAGAATACAATTTCAACCACTTTTTGGCAATAGAAATCCACAGGGTGGCAAGTCATATTATCTTAGGCTCAGAGGAAGCCAATGGCAAGCCCCTTCTGAATAAACGTGCCACAATATGTTTGCCTGGGGGTTACCAGAAGTCAGAGCCGACTTCAAAAGACAGAACAACAACAGCGCAGGAAATCTTCTTATCTCTCTTCCTCTCCCCCTTGACCCATGGCATAATACCTTCCTTCCTCCTTCCCTCCCTCCAGGTGTGGGCTAGTGTGGCACTGCACGGAGCGGTTGTGACCTGGCTGGCTTGGACCGTGGAACCGAGGCTGCTGGATTATGAGTGCCCCGAGGGAGCGTGCCCACCCTTAAAGCCGCCTGCCGCGAGGTTTGCAGCCATGAGCAGGTAGGAGCCATCCGCAGAGCCGAGCTGGGATTAAAGGATCAGCCAGCTGTTTGCCGTTTCACGGCTCCCTCCTGAGAGAGTTTAGTAGGTCAGAGCTGCCCAGTGCATATGGGGGGAAGGGGGGCAGGCAATATGGAGAATGGGGCCTTGGAGGATGCAGAAGCCATCTTCCTGATGCGCTCCAGGCTCCATACCATTGCAGTCTTGGTCCTGTTAAACTCTCACTTCTTACTATGCCTCTATGTTTGTTTGTTTCTTTGGTGGGCAGACCCCAACAAAGAATCCTGACCTTTTGGCATTCTGTTCCATTGCAGTTTAAGTATTCCAGCTGGCAAGCCTCTTTCTTTCCCCATCCTAAAGTGTGATTCCCCACGTCCTTGGTGGCGTAGTAGGTTAAACCCCTGTGCTGTCAGGACTGAAGACTGACAGTTCACAGGTTCAAATCCAGGGAGAGCGTGGATGAGCTCCCTCTATCAGCTCCAGCTCCTCATGCGGGGACATGAGAGAAGCCTCCCACAAGGATGGTAAAACATCAAAACGTTTGGGCATCCCCTGGGCAACATCCTTGCAGACGGCCAATTCTCTCACACGAGAAGCGACTTGCAGTTTCTCAAGTCACTCCTGTCACGACGAAAAAAAATCCCCATGTCAACCCAAGTCACATAGCAGAGGCCTTCTGGGACTGTCGCACTTCAGACTGCTACTTCTCTTAAGACCTTCTTGTTGAAAGCAAAAACAAAGCTCAAATGGCATGTTTCAATACAAATAAATATCCACAACAGGTACCACCAGCACCCCCACCGGCATTCTAACGTGGTCCAGTCCCAGAAAGATTGTGTTGTGATTTTGCTGGTTGTGGAGCTTGGCTCTAAGCCACTCTCTTCCTAGCTTAGCTAATAATAACCCTGACCACACACACTGAGCCTCTCACTCTCCTGGATTTGATCTCACCTTTCCAGGCTAGCAAAAGCATAGAGAGGAGCTGTTTGTTTTCCCCAAATGGCTACGAGGCACTGGGGCAAGGCCACCATATTTTGAGAGAAGCTAAAAGGGAAATTGTGTTGTTTGTCCAGTTTGTGTTGGGTGCCGAAGCCACGCAGCTACTGCCAGGCCTTGACAACTAGACCAGGCCATGCCTCACTTAGGTTTGACCTGAGACGCTGTTGCCATGGTTACCAGCCCTTCCTTTCCCCTGCTCATATCAGCCACACTTGCCCAGATGCTGTCCAGCTGTTGGTGTGTCACCCACCTCAGTGACCACGGATTCTTTCAGGTGCCCAAGCGCTGAGGGAGCACAATGAATGGCGGCGATGATTGCTCTGGTGTGGATCGAGGTGGGCGCCCGGCGGTCACTCCTGTGCCTGTGGGCTGGCAGCGCAGGGTGGAAGAGGGCAGAGTGCGCTACATCAGGTGAGCCATGCTCCCCCCTCCCCAGCTGCCTTCCCCCCCCCTCCCCCGGTGTTCGTACCCCTAACTCTCTCTCCATTCTTTCTCTCAGTCCGAGTGGTACAAGCCTGGCTTCGCTGGAGCAGACTCGTGCGTACCTGCTGGCGGACGGCACTTGCAAGTGCGGCCTGGAGTGTCCCCTCAACGTGCATAAGGTAACAAGGCTTTGGAGGGAGTGCCATTCACATCCGGCATTGAGGTTTGGTTCTGGGCTCACGACTGTCTCACTTGGCTCGAGTTCAGTATATACTGGTGTATAAATTGACCTCATGTATGGTCTTGGAACCAGAATTACGGATTTTGATACGACCTGTGGGTAATTCGAGGGTTTTTCTATGGAGAGCTGTCCCTGACTGCCATTTTCTCACCCAGGCATTCAAACTAGTCAGATATGACACTGTGATGGCGAGAGCAAAGGGCTCCATCTATCTTTTAGATTCTCCCAGGATAGACTAAGCTTCTGCCTTTCACTACTCTAAAAGTAAAGGCAAAGCTTTCCTCTTGACATTCCCCTTGACATTTAGTCATGTCTGACTCTGGGGGCTGGTGCTCATCTCCATTTATAAGCCAAAGAGCCGGTATTATCCATAGACACCTCCAAAGTCATGTGGTCAGTATGACTGCATGGAGTGCCGTTACTTTCCCACCAAGGCGGTATCTATTGATTTACTCACATTTGAATGTTTTCGAACTGCTATGTCGACAGAAGCTGGGGCTAACAGCGGGAGAGTACCCCGCTCCTTGGATTTGAACTGCCAGCCTTTTGGTCAGCAAGTTGAGCAGATCAGCGGTTTAACCTGCTGCACCACCAGGGGGGCCTGTCTACTCAGCTTTATTTTTGATAAGGGCTGATCCATGAATAAATTGCGTCAGCCCAGTTTTTTTAGTTCATTTTTTTACTATAATTTCTAGACTTATGCATAACGTATAGCAGGCATGGGCAAACTTTGGCCCTCCGGGTGTTTTGGACTTCAACTCCCAGAAATCCGAGCCAGCTTACCAGCTGTTAGGAATGGTGGGAGTTGAAGTTCAAAACACTTGGAGGGCTGAAGTTTGCCCATGCCTGGTGTATAGGATAGTAAGAATCTGTACAACTATTTAAATAAAGAAACAGCAACTTAGCACCAGGTCAGATCATTGGTCCATCTTGCCTGACAGCTGCTATCTCTGTTTTCAGGAACACATATTTCTTGTCAATAATAATAATAACAACAACAACTACTACTACTACTTTATTCTTATGTCCTGCCTCCATCTCCTCAAAGGGACTTGGGGGTGGCTTACATGAGGATCAAGCCCAATATAAACAAGGCTGCAAAGCAACACAATTAAAAACATATAACAATCAACTATATTAAAACAATAAAACTAACAAAATATAAAACATCGTAAAATGTAATTCAAGCAATAAACAACTAATAGCCGAAAAAGTGGGCATGTGCAGATTTGAGACTAAGGGGGCAGGACAAGGGCTAGTGCAAATGCAAACTATAGGGTCGGGGGCTGAGAATAAAGTGCTGGAGATCCTACCAAAAGATGAGGACTAGACAGACTTAATCAGTAGCTGAATCATTATTCGAAGGCACATTGGAACATCCAAGTCTTCAGGTCTTTCCGAAAGGTGGGCAGGGTGGGGTCTAATCATGTCTGGATTTAAATCAATAACTCTTGCATCCAAAATGGACACGCTACTGCTGAGCCACATCCTTACCCCCCTTGTTCCAAAGAATGTAATCACTAGTTGTGAAGACCCCTAGATTTGCAGTGAGCCCACTCTCCCATCCTGCCTCTCAAAATGACAAGAGAGATTCACCGAGCCTGCATCCCATGTCTCAGGGATGTGATTCATTCTACTGCTGGGGGGGGGGGGGGGGTGCCATAAACATCTGTATATATTAAACCTTGTCAATCCTATGTAGAAGTTATCAGATTTGTTGAAAAGATAAAAGAGGCTGTTTTTTTTGTATGATAATGGTGTTGGCCTGACTGGAGTCGGATCCAGACCAGAACTAAGAAAAGTTACTTCTTTCAATAGTAGCTTCCCAAATCCCTTTGCAAGCATGACCAACTAAGGGTCTTTTATTGCTTGTGCAAAATCAGGTTATGATGAGATGATTTTCATTGTAACCAGGATAACTTCCAGCTCAGGTTCCAGTGCTCAAGCAAAGTGGCAGCTCTTCTCATGGTTCTTTTCTTTTCTAATGAAATAATTCTGGCCTTTGAACCTTACAGACCCTAGTTCTGTGACACCATAATGGGAAAAGGCTGGATATCAGGACCCACAGCTTAACCAGCAGTCTACCCATGTTCTGGAGCTTTTTGACATGGAGTATTTTTAGGGACTAGATCAGCATTTGGTTGGGATGCTTTACATCAGGGCTCTTCAACTTGTGTTTTGGACTTCAGCTCCCAGAATTCCTAGCCATTGAACAAGCTGGTTACGGCTTCTTGGAATTGTCTATTGCTTATATTATTTTTATATTTGTTGATTGTTGTAAGCCATCCCTAAGTCCTTTTGGAGAGAGGGGGCAGGGTATAAATAAAGATTATTATTATTATTATTATTGACACAAAAGCACAGTACGTCACAGCAAAAGAGATCTATATGCTGGATTTCATGTCACAAAATCACAAGTCGAACACTTCCCAAACTTCTAGGACTGTGTGATGTATTTTTGAATGATGCGCGCAGATCCAAGTAAGGTGGCCTTTTGCAGTTGACAGATTTTGATTTTGTTGATGTTTTATTATTATCATTAATAATAATATTGTCAATAATAATAATAATATTGTCAATAATAATAATAATAATCTTTATTTATACCTTTTATTTATAAAGGCAAAACTATGTGTGAATGCTAAAAATGCCTAGATTTTGCATTGGCCATTGCATTCTATTTCCTGGAAATGCAAGGTCTCTTCATACCTTTCAAGTGTTTAGACCTCATTGTTGTAAATGGTTAGGTATTAGGTCACACCATGTGATGACTATGAAAAGATAGAAGGATGACTAACAACATTGTGAGTAGGGCTTTGGTGTTTGGTCTGACTCCTTGCTACTCATCATCATTGCAAGTAAAACCAAAATGGAATGAGCAGAAAATTGATTTTTTTTAAATTTCCCCAAATTTAAGAAAAATGAATGTGGTCTAGTTGCTTAAGTGCAGGCTGCAAAATTCACCTTGGACAGAAGCCATGCAACAAAGAGTTTTCTGACTTGCAGAGAATTGCTGTGCTTCAAATGACTTGAAAGGGACATGGCGGTTCTATGATCCTAGAGCTAGAAAAAGACCTGTAAAGTTCTGCCAAATGCTGCCCTTTAATCTAAAGAACAGCACGTTGGATCTATGACCAGGGGCTCGTTCACCGCAGCAGCCACTAGCAGCTATTTTGGAAAAGAACATGTGTATGTGGCTTGGATGGGTTAGTGTGCAGTTCAGCAGCAGAAGCTCCTTTCTGTGCCAGCAACACATTTTTAGTTCTGCTCAGAGCAGTGGCTTTCAACCTTTAGGGAACCTTATACCATACGTACCGCCTGCCAAGAACCCTCTGTATGTTGCAAAGGATTCTGGGAAAAGTGGAGAGGTTTCACAATCAGGGATTGACCCTTGCTCCATGTGACCCAGAAATGTCTCCTGCAACAGGGAAAAGGTTGCTGCAGATGCTTTGCACTTGAGATCCCACAATCCCTTTGCTTCATCCATGCCAAAGTTCACAACACAGTGAGGGCCAAAGGCTTTCTCTGCATCTTGTCATAGAACATACCCAGCACTTTTTCATACCAGGGAAGCTTAGTAGCAGCAGAACTCATGGTATCATAAAAAGTCTTGCTGGATCAGACCAAAAGCCTCTCTGGTCAAGGCTTCTGTAGCCACACAATGCACCAAGGGAAAGCTCACAACCAAGACATAAGAGCAGTTTCGCAGTTTCCCTATTCCTGTTCACCAGCAATTGGTATTCAGAAGAATAATCCCTCTGATAATAAGAAATACTATATAACTATTAGTTACTGTTCTTCAGCTTGATTCTTTTTTAAATCCACCCACATTGGTGGCCGTCTTTAAGTATTGTGACAATACATATCATTACTTATCCTATAAGGAGAACTATGGAAAAGTCTCCAAAGTTCAAGAGTTGACTTGAGGGCACATAACAACCAGTAGCACATTCCATAGTTTTAAGTATAAATCTTTTCTGCATCGTAGCATATATACCCACTGTTTCCCAGTTATGCATTTTCTTTGTTATGTATACCTCTTCTCTTCTCCTCATCTAACTTGTCCCTCTCTCTGATTTTGTTTGTTTGTTTCTTTCCTTCTTCCCTTGGTTTTTCTCATACACTTTGCCCTCTCTTCTTTCTTTCCATTTTTGTCTTCTTTTCTCATCTTATCTTTTTCTTTCTTTCCTTTCTTGAGTTGCGTGAGAACTGAGAAGGGTGGTATACAAATATAGTAAATAAATTTCTTCCTCCTTTCTTTCATCTATCTATCTATCTATCTATCTATCTATCTATCTATCTATCTATCTATCTATCTATCTATCTCCCTTCCCTTCCCTTCCCTTCCCTTCCCTTCCCTTCCCTTCCGCTCCCCTCCCCTCCCCTCCCCTCCCCTCCCCTCCCCTCCCCTCCCCTCCCCATACCTTCCCTTCCCCATACCTTTCTGCCTCCCTGCCTCCATTCTTTTTCTTTATTACATTTACTTAAATCCCACTTCCATGTCTTAATCAAGACCCAAATCAGCGCACAACATTAAGAGCAATGAAATTAAAAACCTATAATATATAAATATTAAAAAATAACAAATCACATAAAATAAGTAAAAAAAATGTTAAAATAATGAAAATACTATATAGCTTAAAATAACACCCCCGGCTTGTTATTTAAAAACTTTCTGTCTTCAAAGGCTGTACTTGGTGAGTATGTAGCTGGGGATGATGATAGGACTTGTACTTTGGTTTACTTATTGTGGGAGGCCAGCTTTCTATGACAACTGGCAAACATTAACAAAATCATCAGTGGCATTTTTTTTTTGTTCATTAGGATTTATTCTGCACCTTTCTCCCGGACTAGAATTCAACTGGCAGTTCTAAATGTGTGCCATATCTTTCTCACATCAAAATGTGACCTCAATTATTTTAAAAATAATCATTTGTATTCAGAGAAGAGATTTAAAAAATCACACAAGCAAGCATTTTATGTATATGAAACTACAAAAAACTACCTACTTTTTACTGCAGCTAACCAACTAATAAAACTACAAAACCCTCGCTCTCCACCCGATGGTTTTGGTCCCTTAATAGTCTATTCCCTTTAAACAATAATGTGATTGTACTTCTACTTTTGGCCACATTCTACAAATTCTTGAATCCTACAGTTGATAAATGCCCCTATCATTGTTGTGAAGGAGCTGCTGCAGTGGGTTAAACTTTTGTGCCAGCAGGACTGCTGACCGAACGATCAGCAGTTTGAATCCAGGGAGCAGGGTGAGCTCCCGTCTGTCAGCTCCAGCTTCTCATGCAGGGACATGAGAGAAGTCTCCCACAGGATGGTAAAACATCCGGACATCCTCTGGGCAACGTCCTTGCAGATAGCCAATTCTCTCACACCAGAAGCAACTTGCAGTTTCTCAAGTCGCTCCTGACATGAAACAAAAACATTGTTCTGAAAACATGACAAACAGGTCCCAATCTCAATCATTTTTAGAAAAAAAATGTTTAAACAATTTAAGGGTCCATTGGTTTGTTGAGAAAGTAGGGGAGACAAAATGTGTTTCTTGCTCTGATTATTTATTTATGTCTTATTTTTAGTACTCACCAGAATGCAATTGAGACAACAGTAGTTCAGGAGGAGAGGTTCTGCCTTGTATTTATGTCCAGCTTTATCTTGTGTTTTCACTTAGGTCAGTGGTTCTCAACCTGTGGGTCCCCAGATGTTTTGGCCTTCAACTCCCAGAAATCCTAACAGCTGGTAAACTGGCTGGGATTTCTGGGAGTTGTATGCCAAAAGACCTGAGGACCCACAGGCTGAGAACCCCTGACTTAGGTGGACATGGCTCCTATTGAAATCGCTGAGACTTCCTCTTGAAAACCAAGTGTAGGTTTGTTCTCCCTTTGCAGAACATGCTTTTGAAGTTTGATGGGTGTGATGAGGAAACAACTATTCATCTATGGCACTTAACCGCAAATTATTCTGAATTCAGGCAAATAACTGGCGGACTCTCACTGCAGTCTCTTTCATCGCCCTTGTTCCTCTGGTCTGGGAAAGGGAAGCCCTTAGGTTTTTTCCCCCCATCTTTCCTGTTTATGCTTAGGTTTTCAACTTCGACCCAGCAGCGATGGTGATGGGAAGCGAAGGCACTAAGGGGGACGAAGACATGACCAAGCTGTGCAACCACCGTCGGAAAATTGTGGCAATGGCCACACTCTATCGCAGCATGGAGAGCCATGGGCCGCTGAGCTTGCCCCATCTGGGCCCAGGTATCTATATTTTCCCATCTGGGGCCATTTCCCTTTTGACACAAGGTGGGAAACTACCACAATCTTATAAAATACTGCCTTATTATTCACAGGTTTTTGTGTGGAGTGCATGCTTCCTGATTGTTCCTTTTGGGCTCTTGCTGCCAGTAGGAAGACCCTGAGAAAAATATTAGTGCCATAACCCAGCACAGTTCATTGGTTCCCTAACCAGCAAGAGTTGACTTCTGATTCCTAGCTTGTTTGGGACAATCTAAGCCTTGGGTTGGACATAGCAATAACCTTTTTGTTGCTGCTTAGCTTCTGGTTACAGATAAGGTTCTCTACCAAAGGAGCCATGCTTGACAATTAGCACAGAACTAGGAATTTCAAGAATTTCTGCTTATTGTTTTCAGCAAATGCAGAGTGGGGAAAATATGTCTCAGAATGCTAAAAAAGACAGGACAGCTTCTTAGTTAAGTATACAGTCTTCCAGGCCATTTTATGGCATTCTTCTTTCAGAAGTTACTGCTGAGTTGTCCTGGAAGACCTAGCTAATTCCTAAAAATATATACCTCTGTAGGTGTTTCAGCCTGTAGGGTGCCTTTAGAGCTATTTCAGGGTTGATATAAGAAGACAGGGGTCCTCAAACTTTTTAAATAGAGGGCCAGGTCACAGCCCCTCAAACTGTTGGAGGGGCGGACTATAATTTGAAAAAAACATGAATGAATTCCTATGCACACTGCACATATCTTGTTTGTAGTGCAAAAAAAAAAACCTTAAAAAAACAATACAATAATTAAAATGAAGAATTTTAACAAATATACACTTACTTGTATTTCAATGGGAAGTGTGGGCTCGCTTTTGGCTGATGAAATAGGATTGTTGTTGTTGTTGTTGTTGTTGTTGTTGTTGTTGTGTGCTTTCAAATCGTTTCAGACTTAGGTTGACCCTGAGTGAGGACCAGGTAAATGACCTTGGAAGGCCGTATTTGGCCCTCAGGCCTTAGTTTGAGGACCCCTGTAATCAGAGAAAAATACATAAACACATGTCACCCAGTGTCATAAGGGCAGTAATGTATTGATATATTACTTATAGCAAATCAAAACTGTAGACATTTCAGAACCTTGGGAAGTCAGACTTGGCCACGGTGGTCCATACTCTTGTTACATCCCAAATAGACTACTACAACGCACTCCATGTGGGGTTGCCTTTGAAGACTGTTTGGAAACTTTAAGTAGTTCAATGGGCGGCAGCCAAGCTGCTCGCTGGAGCGGCGTACAGAGAGAGGACATTCCTTCTGTTGTGTCATCTCCACTAAGCTGCCAATCTGCTATTGAGCACAATTCAAAGTGCTGGCTTTGGCCTATAAAGCCCTAAACAGTTCCGGCCCAGTTTACCTGTCCAACCGTAACCCCCTCTATGAGCCGGCAAGGAGATTAAGATCTTCTGGGGAGGCCCTGCGCTTGGTCCTGTCTCCTTCACAGGCGTGGTTGATGGGGGCAAGGGACAGGATTTTCTCAGTGGTGGCCCCTCGGCTATGGACTCCCTCCCGAATGAAATTAGATCATCCCCCTCCCTCCTGACCTTCAGAAAAAGGCTAAAGACATGGATGTATAACCAAAAATTAAGGGTTTTTTTATCCCCCCCCCCCAATTTTTGATGGTTCATTCTTATAAAACAATTATACATAACCATAATTACCATGCATTTTGTACTTTTTCATTCCCTTCTCCCTCCCCACTCCCACCCCTCCCCCTTCCCTGTTGACAATGTAATCCTTTTTTCCTGTTACATGAGCCTTTTTTTGATTCTATCAAATTTTTTAAAGTGAGTAATCTATCAGTACAGTAAGAAAAGATGAAAAATTGCAACGACAAATTAGAACAGCCATGAACTACGATATTGGCTCGTGATTTTAACGAATTCATTTTAAGGTTTTATTATGTTTTAATTATTGCTTTAATGATTATGTTTTTATTATGTGTGTTTCTGGCATCTAATTGTTGCCTATATATGTAATCTGCCTTGAGTCCCCTATGGGGTTGAGAAGAGCAGGGTATAAATACAGGAAATAAAGAAAGAAACCAGGAATTATACTGTGATTTATTTGCAGAATGAAAGCCATTTCATGGTATTGAGTTTAAATGCTTTTGGGTTATTTGAATTGATCCTTACTTTTTCAAAGGGTTGATTTTAACAACCTAGAGACCTTGTGCTACCAGATTGGTATATAAATATTTTAATAAAATAATAAATAAATAAATAACATAAATTGAAATTGATTATACACAATGACTATTGGCCATTTAGTTCTTACAAAAGAGTACTACAAAAACTGGATTTTGGACCATAATATTCTCACCCCTAGAGTATGGCTCCTTTGATCTTAAAAAGGTTAGTGTGTGTGTGTGTGTGTATACACACACATACATACACAAAACAAAACAAAATTTAGCCATTGGGATCTCCTGAAAACTCTAGGGGTCCTAGGAATTGTAGTCCAAAAAGATAATTTTTCCACATTACAGAGGGTCATAGATTATCCAGGCCTATTTTCAAGCTGTCTCTTGTGGCATTCCACTTTATGAGTGAACTAACTCCATTTCTCTTTTCAGGGACTGGGCTCAACCAACCATCTCATCCAACCATGCCAGGACCAAGCAGTCGTTCACAGCATGCCCTTCCCAGCAAGGCATCTACCACTTTGGCGAAGGGTCCAGAACTCTACTCACAGTGTCCCTCTGATCGCTATGGCAATGCTTGGTCCAGCCAGAGTTCCTCTTTTCCACACCATCACAATGCCCTCTTTGGCGATGTCTTCCCAGGCCGCCTACCTGCTGCCACTACCAACGGCAACACACGCCCAGCTTTCCCTGGTGAACTGAATGCTGCTGGGGGTTCCTATTTGCCCGGCAAAGCCCTTCCAGATGCTCCACCCCGACCCTACCCTTCTGGTGGTCTTCTCTTCCCTCCGCCCGATGAAGTGGTACCTAGTCAAGAGAGTAGTGGTCCTTGGAGCAGCCGCTTGGTTGCACCTCTTGGCTCGCAGGCTAACGCAGTGGCGTCACCTGCCCCCACTAGCCTCTCCTCGGTCTCCTCGCCTGCAGGCAGCACCGAGCCTTCGCCACAGCGCTCTCGGCACTCCTCAGCTTCCTCAGAGCAGGGCCTCTCTGGACACCGCCTGGCCCCCAAACACTTGGATGCAACGCCCTTGGCCAATGCCTTAACCAACCAAAGCAGCAATAACCTGCCCTCAGTGCCCTTAGAAGTTGCCTCAGATGGCAAAGGACCGCCCGGCCTGCTGCTGCTTCACCCCCAGGGCCCAGGCTCTTTTCCAGCCAGCAGTTTGTTGAGCGCAGCTGCCAAGGCCCAGCTGGCTAGCAGGGGCCGCCCCGACGAGCTAGCTGCCAGCACTTTACCCAGCCGCTTGCTGCTCTCTGTTGTGGGCGGGCGGGCACCTCGGCGCCAGCGCCGCTCCCCTACCGTCCTGCGCCTGCTCAAGGATTCCCACCCTGGAAAGGCTGGGATCACCCATCCTGAAGAGACGCTGACCCGACATCCCTGGCCTCGGGATCAGCCGCCAGTAGGAGAGGCCAAGAACGGACCTCCAACCTCGGCAGCTCCAGCACAGCCGCTCTCTTCCCTGCTCACTCTGCTTGGACCTCCTGTGAGTTCCCCAACACCAGGTCTCCCCTTTCTGGCCCAACCTTCTTCTGGCGACAGCTCCAACTCTTTGCCCTCCTTCCAGGACTTCAACAGCCAGCTCCTCAGTCTCTTTGGGCAGTTGGCCTCAGCGTCTTCCGAACAGATCTCAGGGAGCCCCCCACAGCCAAAACCTCCTAACTCTCCACTCGGATCCCAGGGCTCCGCAGGTATGTTCTCTTGTATGTGTAGATTATGTCTGAAACTCGTAATTGCAATACTGAATGCATAAGCTAGGGTTCTGCATACTTAACTGATTCATATTCATGACTCCTCCATATTGCGTGATTTTAATTAATGTTTTAATATTTGGTTTTAAACTTATTTTGGCCCCCTGGGGGCGCAGTGGGTTACACGGCTGATCTGCTGAACTTGCTGACCGAAAGGTTGGCAGTTTGAATCCAGGGAGCTGTTAGTCCCATCTTCTGCCAACCTAGAAGTTTGAAAACATGCAACTGCGAGTAGATCAATAGTTACCACACTGACAGGAAGGTAACAGTACTCCATGCAGTCATGTTGGTCACATGACCTTGGAGGCGTCTTAAGGACAACGCTGGCTCTTCAGCTTAGAAATGAAGATGAGCACCATAATAAAAAGCATAAGATAACAAATGTAATAAAAATAATATTAACAGAGTAAAATAAATAATCTTGACTTGAATATAAGCCTAGGGGGGCTTTTTCAGCCTTTAAAAGGGGCTGAAAAAGCCCCCCTTTAGTAACCTACCATTTCTCCAATGGTTTCAAGGTGATGTAAGTGGCTATCCTTCTCCTCCATACTTTGCCTTTACAATGAGTACAACAGTCTGTGAGTCATGAGCCCCACTGGTATTTAGTGGAGACTACAACCAGAATTGCCTACTTCCCAGTCCAGCACTGTAACTTTGACTTTGTAATGTCACTCCAAGAAGCTTCCCTCTGTTAAATGGCCTAGAAAGGACTAAAGCCAGCAGGCTTGACAGGGTCTTGTCTCCATGTTTACAGGCAGTTCCTAAGCAACATGATGTTATCCATTGTGACATACTGCTAGAAAAACCTTACCTGCACACTAGGCTCTTGGCTGGTAGGGTCTTTGATCTTGTTCACTGGGGGCTTGTCCTCCAGCCCAAGAGGAGGCCCTGATTGGCCAAATGCCATGTCAAAACTGGTTTGCAGCAGTGCATAACAACAATGGTCATGGCCTCTTCAAGACCAAACTGGAAATTGATCCATTTTACAGTGTGATTATTTTTTTTTCAACTGGAGTTCTTGGCCCCTTGGCATACATTAACTTTACCAAGAAAGAATGTGTTTCCTGTGTTGAATCCTGTACTGTGTGCCTAGTATGAAGTGTCCTTTCCTGATCAGATGAGGGTTGGTATACTAAATCTAGCATGTTTTGCAAGATTTCAAGCGAAGAGCGACCAGTAAACAGACTGTGGGAAGTTGGGCCCTTCATTTCTCTTTCCTCAGCTGCATTGCTATCAGTATGAACGAAGAGCCATAGCCATGAGACTTTGATTCATTTTCTTCTGTAGCATCCCTACTTTAGAGCAAGACTTCTTTAATTTTTCCACTTTCGATCCCTTTTGGCCCCAGAAATTTTTACATGACTCCAGATATATAGTTATATACTATAAATATAAAAATAAAACATTTATTGATAACAAATTGGCATCTGTAAAGCTTGTTAACCAGGATGATTCTTATGAAGCACAGCTGAAGCATCGTCTACAGAGTGCACTATAAACACTGCACAACAGACTTCTGTAAATGTTTAAAACAGTCACTGGGTGATGTTAAAAAAACATTTGCTCTTGCCAAATTTTTGGGACCCCAATATTGAGCTAAGGGGACCCCATTTGGGGTCAGGACCCACTATTTAATAAGCAGTGCTTTGGGGTAGGTGTTTTGAACTTCAGCTCCCACAATTCCTACCTAGGATTTCTGAGAGTTGAAGTCCAAAACAACAGGAGGGCCAAAGGTTGGGAACCTTCTTTAGAGGGCTAGGATGAAGTCAACTCTTGACACAACTAGAGCAGATCATTGGACTGCTGTTTAGAATGCTTACATTTCTTAACAGCTGGTAAGCTGGTTGGGATTTCCAACCGGCTGTTAGGAATTGTGGAAGTCCAAAACATTTGGAGGGCCCATGGCTGGTCTAAAATCACATTTAGTTCCCCTTTGTTTCATCTCTGTCATGGAGACCAACCATGAATAAAACCTTGAACTGTCTGCAGCTGAGGCATGATGTGTGATGACAAGTTCTCAGTATTCATCTCTTTGGAGGAGGAGGAACAGAGTGTTAGTTTTAGTAAAAGAGCATAAATCAGTGTCTAGGGTTGTCAGTTGATAAGTGGTGGTCAGCATTGACACTTCCTTGCTCCTTTTAAAAGAAGTTGAGATACAGACACTATACTATGGATTGTTTTCAAACTGCCTCGCCTTCTAAAGCAATGGTGGGCAGTTTGGATGTGGTTGGACTCCTATTACCACCATCTCCAAGCAGGATAGCCAGTGGGTAGCGATGTTGGAAGTGGGAATCGTAGAATCATAGAATTGGAAGTGACCTCGTGGGCCATCCAGTCCAATCCCTTGCCAAGAAGCAGGACAATCGTACACAAAGCACCCCCAATAGATGGCCGTTCAGCCTCTGGTTAAAAGCTTCCAAAGAAGGAGCCTCTACCACACTCTGGGGCAGAAAGTTCCACCACTGAACAGCTCACACAGTTAGGAAATTCTTTCTAATGTTTAGGTGGAATCTCACATTTTCTGGTAGCCATAAGTTTGCGTTTTCCTCACAGCAATCTTGTGAGGTCGGGCTAGGCTGAGAAATAGTTAATAGCCCAAGGCAGTCCAAAACTTCATGGCTGAACAGAAAAAATGAGTCCCAGACCAAAGACCAACGTGTTTATCCATTACATCAAGGCTTGCCAGAGGATAGGCAGTGAGACAAAGACGCTGGCAAAGTCGTTGATTTTCCGTGGTTTTTGTAACAGTAATAACTAAAGGGCTTTCTCTTCCCAGTCAGGTTGTGAGAAGGAGAAGATAAGGAGTGGATTTGTGTATGGGAGGACTTGGGAACTTGGGTCTCATCCTGGCTGTCAATTCCTAGGCAGAGCAGCAAAACAACAGAGAGGAAACAATCAGGGACATCTAATCACCTCAACAAAAGATTGCCCCAGGCACTAACAAAAGCCACACCAAACAACTGCCAGGCCATCAAATGCTAATCAAGGTGGTCAGTTGAAACATTCACACTTAGATCCAACAGACAAGAGTTCTTTGCCCCACCCTGGTCATTCCACAGATATATAAACCATTTTCCTAGTTCCAACAGACCTCACTACCTCCGAGGATGCTTGCCATAGATGCAGGCGAAACATCAGGAGAGAATGCCTCTAGAATATGGCATATAGCCCCAAAAAACCTACAACTCGGTGATTCCAGCCATGAAAGCCTTCGACAATAAAATTAATCAATCAAACAGATTAAAACCATTTAAAATACCGAATCATGATCTTTGCTGCCACTGATGCCTAAACAGGTGCAGAAAGACAAGAGAGGCTTTGATCTTGCTCACCAATCTGGCTGTAAAGAAAGGTCCCTTTGAACAGGGCTGCTGTGACTACAAGTGGCACGAGTAGAGCTACAGCCACCTATATCAAAAAGTGGTCCTGACTCCATTCAAAGAGACCTTTCTCCATCCTGTGCTGTGGTACAGCCAGAGGAAGTGAGCAATGTTACCACATCTTTTGACACAAGCCTCATGTAACTGTTTAGGGACCTGTGGCAGGTAAAATTTCATCATGTTTACATACACTCTCTGACCAATTCATTTGGGATGGGGAAAGCATGTTCTGGAAAAAGCGGCTTGGAAGCTGTTGTGTTGTTTCCCTTCTTCCTCATTGCCTTGTCTATGCCTTTGTTCTCTTCCAGGGGCTGCTTCCGCTTCGCCCGTGACTCCCAAAGCCCCCTCAGCACCCAGTCCTGTCGCTGTCACCACCAGCGCAATGGAGAGTGGGGGACTGGGCTGCCCATTGCCTTCAGGCACCGACCCTTTCCCCTTCCTGTCACAGGAACAGGCGCTGTCGTTTGGGAACACTCTACCTCCTGGGCTGCTCCCGCTGGGCTCCTTCCCTTTCTCATTGACTTTGGGCCCGGAGACGCCACTTCCCCCACTTGGCCTTCAAGGGGAGCCCGACGGACAGCCCTTGCTGCCTCTGGTTCTGCCCAGTCTGGATTTGCTACAACAACCCACTGGGCTCCTAGCATCGCTGCTGGCCCTGCCAGAGGCAACGTGTGAGGGAGAAAGGGGCATGCTGACCACTGAGCCCTTGCTGGAGCCCTTTGCCGGCCTCCCCGAATCTCTGCAGCCCCTGCTTTTCCCAGCACTTTCCTCCTCTCCGGCTGTCCTAGCTTTAAACTCAGCACTGTTGGCAACCAGCCTGGGCCCTGCAGACCCTGGGCCAGGCCACACACAGGTAAGGGCATGAGTTTAGTCTGGGATCCTGTTCCTTTTAGGAATCTGGGGGAAGACAGAAGTTGTGCAGCTGGAGTTTCTCTTCTCATTGGTTCACTGTAGATTAGAGGAGGAGGAGAGCTGCATCTAGAATACTAATTCATCCTTAAAATATTAATCAGTCAGTTGCACTCTTATTCTGCCTTTCCTCTAAGGAGCTTGATGCGGTTTATATAGCCCTCCCCATTTTTATCATTGTAACTAGTATATGTACTTGGCATTCAGATGCTGTTGGGACCGTTGCCCACTTACTTTCTCCCTTCTCCAGTTCCGAGAAGGCCTACTTCACAATGTCTCCATGGCAACACTCTGGTGATGATGGGCAGGCTCACTTCATGGTTCTTTCCTTCCTTCGACTTTTATATATATTGCGTACAACTCCCAAGGCTGGAGTTAAAATTGCTGGAAGAAGCATTAACAACCTTAGATATGCAGATGATACTACTTTGCTGGCTGAAAGCAAGGAGGAGCTGAGGAGCCTTCTAACCCAGGTGAAAGAAGAAAGTGCAAAAGCTGGGTTGCAGTTAAACATCAATAAAACCAAGATTATGGCAACCATGTTGATTGATAACTGACAAATAGAGGGAGAAAACTTACAGCAACCTAGTGATTCAAGCCTTGGACAACAGAAAGGGGGGAAATGTGGAGGCAGTATTTCTAGGCACAAAGATTACTGCAGATGCAGAGTGCAGCCAGGAAATCAGAAGACATTTACTTCTTGGGAGGAGAGCAATGGCCAATCTCGATAAAATAGTGAAGATTCGAGATATTACACTGGCAGTGAAAGTCCGCATGGTTAAAGCAATGGTATTCCCTGTAGTGATGTGAGAGCTTATGGATGTGAGAGCTGGACCATAAAGAAGGCGAGTGCCTTGGACCACAAGAAGATCCAACCAGTCTATACTCCAGGAAATAAAGCCCTGCTGCTCACTGGAGAGAAAGATGAAGTACGTTGGCAACATAATGAAAAGACAGGAAAGCTTGGAAAAGATGATGCTGGGGAAAATGGAAGGAAAAAGGAAGAGGGGCTGACCAAGGGCAAGGTGGATTGATATCCTTGAAGTGACTGGCTTGACCTTGAAGGAGCTGGGTGGTGATGGCTGATAAGGAGCTCTGGCGTGGGCTGGTCCATGATGTCATGAAGAGTCGGAAGAGACTGAACGAAGAAAGAACAAGATATACCTAGCAATTTCTTTCTCTTTCTTTTTCTTCCCTGCCCTCATAGGCCCATCACTGAGTGAGTTGCCCTTTTGGGGATAAGATGTCTATAACAATGACATGCTTTTACCTTTGATTGATAGGTCAAGTAACTCATATTGCTGAAAGATGTGAGGATAGGACCTTTGAACCATATCACTGATGTTATGTGCTCTTTGAACATCACTCACTGGTCTTGTTTAGGTGTCTTAGCTTAATCTTCACCCTTCTTCTCTCCTTTGCCTAAAGATTGGCCTGGTTAGCACTCCTGTGGCACCTACCTCCACTAGCACGACATCCACAACTACTGAGGGGACTCCTAGTGCCTCTGGGCGACTGAACCCCCTGATGCCCCAGCTTGTCAACCCACTGCTGAGTACTACACTTCTGGGTGAGTTGAATGTCCCCTGCTGTATGACAGAATTATGTGAATGCATTGCCCTGAAGTGCATGGGGATGTTGCCGAAAAAGGTATCCCATACCTTCGTGTTCAGAACCTAGATCAGGGGTCCTCAAACTATGGCCCAGGGGCCAAATACGGCCCTCCATGGTCATTTACCTGGCCCTCGCTCAAGGTCAACATAAGTCTGAAATGACTTAAAAGCACACAACAACAACAACAATCCTGAGTCATCAGCCAAAAGCAGGTCCACACTTCCCATTGAAATACTAATAAGTTTAAAATTGTTCATTTTAATTATTGTATTGTTTTTGTGTTTTTTGCACTACAAATAAAATGTGCAGCGGGCATATGAATTCATTCATGTTATTTTCAAATTATAATCTGGCCCTCCAACAGTTTGAGGGACTGTGACCTGGTCCTTTGTTTAAAAACTTTGAGGACCCCTGACCTAGATGAAGAACAGCAGTTGGAAGTAAATTCACAGCTGTAGCTTTGTCCTTTCAACCACTGATCATCCGAAGGGGTGCGCCTGGCCATATTCTGTTGGCTTTTCAGAGGTCTGGAAGGAAATAGCAGCTTTACATTGAGGAAACATGCTGTTCTCTTTCCTCCCAGTGAAGAAAGAGTACCCAGAAGACGCTTGACAAGGCCCCATAGTTTGGGGGGGGGGGGGAGTAGAGCCTCCTGGCCCTCAAGCCTCTTGGCCACCTTCACCCCCACTCTGTGAGGACATAAGTATCCTGATGCCAACTTATTAAACATTCCAGTGCAACCCAGTTCAGCACAATGGCCTTCCTTTTTTGCAAAGAACAGTCTAGTTCTATGTTAGGTGTTTACAGTTCAAACAACAAAAGAGCCATAACGTCCCTGCCTTTTCCTCTGTCCAGGAGACCTGTCTGCGTTGAACCCAGCCTCTGGCCCTTCTCTGATTGGAAGCTCTCTGCTTCAGGCCCAGCAGTCGCTTCTGCCGCCCAACCTACAAGGGCCGCTTGGACTCCAGCTTTTCCAAGGGCAGTTGCCCCTGCTGGCCGGCTCCAACCCTATGGCCTGCCTCCTCCAGAGCTTGCAGGTAAGCAGGAGTTGGAAATACTGTCAGGCTTGCAGGAATGGCCAGTACTTAAGCAAACACATGGAACAGTTGTATACTGTTTTCAGCACAAACTGGGATCAAAGAAGTTCACGTTCAAAGCATGACCTTTTAAATTATTGTCAGCCACCTTGGATCTCACTTGGAACGAAAGGTGGAATGTGTATTTAATCAAGCAATCATTAAGATGTTGCTGGCCTAGTTGGCTGTGACAACCGTAGTAGAACTGGAACCCTTTAAGAAGCTTTAGAAGGTGGTCCTGTTGGTTGACTTTCCTGTTTGCACAAGCTTTTGATGAAGACACTTAGTTGTAATGACAAGAAGGCTAACTTTTATTGAGTCATGCTAATGTTTACCATCTGTCTTGTGGCATTGCCTGCAATAATTGTATTAGAAAAATGTTTAAAAGCATATTTATTTATTTATTCTTGTAAATTTGTTTTTATAAGTTATTGTTTTACATATGCATATTGTTTTGTATTTTTTTATATAACGTTGTAAGCTGCTTTGAGTCCCGTATAGAGAGAAAAGTGGGATATATATATATTATTATTATCATTATTATCATGATTTGACACATAACAAGATTAGTACACTGCAAACAAGATCACTATGCTAGTTTTTGTAATTGATCGCACGTGGGACACTTCCCAACTGTGTAGGACTTTGTGATGTATTGGCGAATAATGTGTGCAGATCCAAGTAGGGTAGCCTTTTGCAGCTGACAGATGATAATTTTGTCAGTGCCGATTGCTTTTAAGTTCAGGCCAAGGTCTTTAGGCACTGTACCCAGTGTACCAATCACCACTGGGACCACCTTTATTGGCTAGTGCCAGAGTCTTTGCAGTTATATCTTTAAATCCACATATTGTGTAAGATTTTCCATCATTATTGTTATTGTTATTGTTATTATTGGGTGTTGTAGTCCAGAAACCAAATGGACATGCTTTCTCATTCCTACCTTTCACTAAGCCTCAATATATTTGGAATTTCCATTGGCTCACTACTGGATTTTCAACAGTTCACACAGTTTTTCCTATTAAAGTGAATGATGTCTAAGATTTTTTTTGCACCTCTGTTTCACAGCTGAGCCCTGGCTTTGGTACTCCAGAGAAGCCAGTGCTGCCCAGTGAAGCTCCAGCCCCAGCCTTGTCCAACCTGGAGCCCATGCTGGAGACCGAGCCCAACCACAGTGCTGTGTTGCCTCCTTGCACTGACACTGTCCCCGCAAGTGCCTTAGAGCCCCCCAGCACGCCAGAGCCCCCTAAGCAAGGACAGCAGGAGGCCAGCGGCTCCCGCTCCCCCTTCAAGCGCCCCCGGCATGGCACCGAAGAGGTCAATGGGGACCCTGGCAGCAGCCTCCCCCGGGGGCCGGGCCGGGGCAGGAAATCTGGACGACGTGGGGGCGGCCGGGGCAGAGGCAGGCGGCACTATAATGGACAGCTCCCCGATCTGGGCACCGGGCACCCATCCCACCCAGCTTGGCGGTTGAATGGAGAGATGGTAGCAAGCAGCGCAGAAAGCCAAGCAAGTCCTTTTGCCGTTCAGGAGATAAAGGTAGGCCAGCAGCCTGAAAAAGAACAGAGTGCTTTGATGAGACAAGGAAATCATGTATTTTTTGTTGAGAAGCTACCGTATATACTCACGCGTAAGCCATCCCAAATATAAGCCGAGGCACAAAAAACTGGGAAAATGTATAAGCTGAGGGTGGGAAATACAGCAGCTACTGGTAAATTTCAAAATAAAAATAGATACCAATAAAATTACATTAATTGAGGCATCAGTAGGTTAAATGTTTTTGAATATTTACATAAAACTGTAATTTAAGATAAGCCTGTCCAACTCTGATTAAACCATTATTCTAACCTTCTTCAATGTAAATGTGCTTATGTATCCTTCCAATAATAAAAGTAAAATAATAATTGTAATAAAAATATTAATAATAGAGCAAAATAATGGAAATGTAATAATAACAGTAATGATAGAAAAAAATAATGTATGTAATTATAACAATAAAATAATGGAAATAGAATAATAAGAGTAAAATAACAAATGTAATAACAATAATATAGTAAAATAATGTAAATGTAATAATAATAATATAAAATAATAAAGGTGAGAAGAATAATAATTACACAGTTAAATAATAAACAAACTTGACTCAAGTATAAGCTGAGGGAGGCTTTTTTAGCCTTAAAAAAGGGCTGGAAAACGCGGCTTATACTTGAGTATATAGGGTACTTTAGTAACCTACTATTTCTCCAATGGTTTCAAGGAGACATAAGTGGCTATCCTTATCCTCCATACTTTACCTTTGCAACAAGTACATCAGGCTGAGTCATGAGATCTAGGTTGCTTAATGGGAACTGGGATTTAGTGGGGACTACAACCAGAATTGCCTACTTCCCGGTCCAGCACTGTAACCTTGAGTATGCATTGTCACTCCAAGAAGCCTCCCTCTATTGAATGTCCTAGAAGAACTAAAGCCAGCAGGCTTGACAAGGTCTTGTCTCCATGTTTACAGGCAGTTCCTAAGCAACATGATGTTCTCCATTGTGACATACTGCTAGAAAAACCTTACCTGCACACTAGGCTCTTGGCTGGTAGGGTCTTTGATCTTGTTCACTGGGGGCTTGTCCTCCAGCCAAAGAGGCGGCCCTAATTGGCCAATTGATCATATATGTTCCATTTTTTGGGGGGATATAGAGCGGGTTATAAATAAACTATTATTATTATTATTATTATTATTATTATTATTATTATTATTATTATTATTGAATGGAAACATTTTGGGATTTAAAAGGTTGACCCATTGAGGAGGAGGGAGAAAACTGGCTTTCTGCTGTTCTAGAGACCAGGGCATAAGGGAGTAATGGTTTAAAATTGCCGAGAAAGACATTTGACTGAAAAGATTAGGAAGAACTTCCTGGAGAGTGGCATAGGCTGCCTTGGAATGTGGCGGAGTCTCCTTCTCTGGAGGCTTTTCCGCAGAGGCTATCTATCGGAAGTACTGACAGATATGCCAAGCTCCTGAAAACCAAGCTAGAATCATGGGTCAACCAAAACAACATAATTGGCCCAGAACAAGCAGGATTCTCTAAGGGGAAATCAACATTAGACCAGACTCACATCTTGGCCCACCTAGCCAACAAATACTCAAAAAATTGCCCTAATAAGCTAAACGTGGCCTTTTTGGACCTGAAGGGGGCATTTGACTCTGTGAATAGAGAAAAGTTGTGGGAAAAACTAGCAGCCCTCAACATAGACCCAAGACTCCTCTTCTTGATTAAGAAATTGCACAACCAAAACCTCTGCCAGGTGAAAGACCACAGGGGATGCCTGTCAAACCCGTTCCTGGTTCAAAAGGGAGTCAAACAAGGGTGCGTACTAGCCCCACTCCTCTTCAACATCTTTTTGCACGATCTCCCTACAGCCCTGGCTCAAGTTGACGGGCATAGCCCCAAGATTGGCCCAAAGCATGTCCCCCTTTTGCTATTTGCGGATGATGCAGCCCTATTATCCCTCTCTCATGTGGGCTTAAAAAGACTCCTGCATAAATTTGTTGATTTTTGCGAGACGAACGAACTGCAGGTGAACTTCGATAAAACCAAAATCTTGGCGTTTGGGAAAAGCAACAAAAGACAAGTCTGGAAGATAAAGGGCCACTATATTGAGCAAGTAAAACATTTCAAATACCTAGGTCTCTGGTTTAGCAACAACTTGTCATGGTCCACCCACTTAAAATATACACTGGCCCGGGCCAAATCGAGTGGCAGTGCGACCAGGAGGTTCTTCCACTCCAGGGGTAACCAATATATCCCCCTAGCTCTGCAAGTCTTCAAAGCAAAGGCGATGTCACAACTTCTCTATGGAGCACCCATCTGGTTAACCCCCAATAACAGCGCCATCAGATCTTTTCATTCGAAATTCCTCCACAAACTATATGGTGCCCCCAACTGTGTCCCGTATGCAGTTCTTTGTCTTGAATCTGGGCAATATTCTATTGAGGCTACTATCTGGCTAATCGTCATCAAATTTTGGCTATCTATACACTATCAAAGTCCCAGCGACTCTCTGACTCAACTCACCTTGAGCGAACTCCACCACTCCAAATGGTGCTCAACTGTCCTAGCAAAGATCGGGGAATTGGGCTACGACAGTGATTTCCTGACTTTACTATCTTTTTCCGAGATTTTTACCCTCATCAAAAGGAGGCTGCTAGAAAGGGACCACAACCAATTGTTGAGCTTAGCAAACAAATCCTGCTCACCTATTAACTTGGCAATTCCATACACACAGGGAAATCCAGCCTTTTACATCACAGAGCTCACCAACCCCTCTTACAGAAGAGCCTACATGCTGGCTAGATTTAACATCATGCCATCGCCGCTCCATAGAGGAAGACTCAATGGCCTCCCGAGCGACAAGAGGGTCTGCCTCTGCAGCACAGGACAGCTAGACTCCATACCGCATATTCTCCTGCACTGTCCACTCTACCAGGAGCTAAGATCCAGCCTGCTAACACAAGCTATAGATTCACTGAAGAACCGCAGCGATTCTGACAAAGTGATTTTGCTTTTAAATTGCCAGGACTTTAGCTGCTGCCTTTCAGTGGCAAGATTCCTGAATGAAGTCTGCAAACTGAATGTGTAGCAAACGAGAAGCCCTTTTTTATTACGTGTACTATGTTTTATACTCTCTGCCATGTTATGCCAATAAAGGCTTATTGTATTGTTGTATTGTTGTGATTGTGCTGATGTGAGTACTGTGCATTGTTGGGCGAGAAAGTTTAAAGATGTTGCGGTGGGGGTCTCTTCCAGATCTAGGATTCTATATCAGGAGTAGGCAATACAGGGTCTAATGGATACACTTCCACCATCTCATCCTGACCAAGGCCAACCCTTTTGGGACCCAAACATTTTCTGTCTTTCCTTCACTTTCTGCCTCCAAAAGAGAAGAGGAAGGAGAGGAAAGGGCAGCGAGGGGACTTGGGGAGAACCCCTCCCTTCTGGCACACCCATCTGGCTCCAGCCCACCATGTGGCCTTTAAGTTAGAAAGTTTGCCCATGCCTGAGCAAGGAGACCCCTTTTGGGGTCAGGACCTACCATTTAAGAAGCAGTGCTCTAAAATCTCTAGGACGGTGTTTTGGACTTCAACTCCAAAATTCCTAACAGCTGGTAAGCTGCCTGGGATTTCTGGGAGTTGAAGTCCAAAACAACAGGAAGACCAAAGATTGGGAACCTTCTCTAGATGGCCAGGATGAAATCAACTCTTGATGCAACTAGGGCAGATCATTGGGCTGCTGTTTGGAATGCTTGCCATTCATAAAATAAAAATTCCATAATACAACCTGAACAATATCATGCCTCCAAAATACCTTGAACACTTCTAATTTCATAAGCCAAGCAGGGTCCAACCTGCTTCTTACACCTGTGGAGATCTCCATGGATTAATTCCAGGACTCTCCCAAGTAGGACGAAGAAATCATTCCACCTGAAACTCTGGGGAATCAGTGCTGCCAGTCAGCTGAAAATTCTGGAGTAGATGGACCAATGGACTGAGCGGGTATAAGGCAATGTTCTACTTCCCTATTGCATATACAAAAATTCACATAGCAGGGACAAAATGTTTAGTATTGCCTTGCTATTTATACCTAAGCCTAAAAACACAGAGGAACTTTTTTTGCTGAGTTACTCATCATTCAACCATCTTTTCTGCAGGGCCCTCCTGGGAGGCGACCAGCCCGCCGTGGCCGGAGGAGGAAAAGCAGGTGAGTACGCCTGGCAGAATTAAACAAAGGCAGAGTATACCTCAGAGGTTGCTTGGTACTGAAAGGTTTGACCTCATCAATAAGATATGGTAGCTTCTGTCCTCTTTCCATTCATTCATCATTGTCATTTGCAGTGGTGCGCGGCCTAGCTCCCGAGCTGAAACTACACGGATGCGAGGGGCCAGTGCTGATCCAGGACCTAGCCCAGTGGTAAGTGTGCCCTGCTCAGTACCACTTACTTCCAGATGTTGGAGGCACATGCATACACACTACCCCCATGTTCATGCTGCCATGTGGTGTACTGTCTACACAGGAGTTTTCTGTGTAGACAGTACACCACATGGCAGCATGAACATGTTGGTTTTTTTAAAAATTACAATTCCCCAAGCTAAGTAGGGTTCAGAGTGTGATGCAGGCTCCTTCCTTGGGGGCTTTTAAATAGAGGCTGGATGACCATTTGTCAGGAGTGCTTTGAATGTGATTTTCCTGCTTCTTGGCAGGGGGTTGGACTGGATGGCCCACAAGATCTCTTCCAACTCTGTGATTCTGTGATTCATAAGCCATAACAACATAAGTTAAGGATAAGTTGCTTATTCACATCTGTGATCTAAAGAGAATTCTGACAAAATAGAAGCTGATGAAAGAACCAAATTCTGATCCTGGTTAGACTCATAACAAATGTCAGCTGCTTTATCTGCACATGCTGTTAATGCAGCAAGACAGCTGCAAATCATCTGGACCCCTTCTGCTTCTTTCCCTGGATTGTTGTCTCCATTTTACAAAAAACAAAAACAAAAAAACCCCTAATAATGAATACCGGAGCAAAATACAGAGAGGACATCCCTCCTGTTACGCCAGGTCCACTGGCTGCCCACCTGCTACTGAGCACAATTCCAGGTGCTGGCTTTAGCCTACAAAGCCCTAAACAGTTCTGACCCGGCTTATTTGTCCGAAAGTATCTCCCTCTATCCAGGAGACAGTTCATAGAGGGTGATGAACCATCTGGGGATGTCCTGCTCTTGGTCCCACCTCCTTTGCAGGTACAACTGGTGGGGACGAGGGACAGGGCGTTCTCAGTGGTGGCCCCTTGGCTGTGGAACTCCCCAACAAAATCAGGTCAGCCCCCTCCTTCCTGACCTTCAAGAAGCAAGTAAACACATGGCTCTGGACCCAAGCTTTTGGCCAATAGTGCTGTGCAAAAAGTAAATTAGCCTTATGTGCAATAATGACCGGAACAGCCTTTGACTATGTCCCCAGATTACGTGATTTTAAAACTGTGTTTTATTGTTTTTAATTTGTTTAATGTACATGTTTATTTTCTATTGACTGTTGACGACATCAAATTGCGGCTAATTGTAAAGCCACTCTGAGTCCCCTTCGGGATGAGAAAAGCGGAATATAAATATAGTAAATATAGTAAATAAATAATAAATAAGTAAGGCCTCACCTAGCCCAGATGTAGGTGAGATGCTGACTGATGAGGCAGACAGTGCTAAACATATTGTGTGCAGCTCAGGAAATTACTTTTGTGGATTACGATTCATGGAATCTCCCAGATATGGTCATTGGTAGCTGCTCAAGCCATTCATCACCCACTAACTCAGTATTGTCTATTTTGGCTGGCAGGGTCTTTGGCGGAGAAAGGTCTTCTCTGTTTCTGCTTCAGCTACCGAAATCAAACCTAATCAATAGTGATGGGTTATGGGAAGTGAACTCCAAAACATCTGGAAGACCATATTTTCACACCCCTGACTTAAGAGGCAGCACTTGTTTGATGTGCTCTTTTATGTATAAGGTTTTTGAAAAGATCCATACTAGTTAGGAAACAGTTGGATTTAGTGTAAAAACCAAATACAGCGTTAGAGAAACTGTGGTCTCATACTAGTTAATCAGTTCCACCTATCTACATTGACTAGTATAGATGCTGGAAGAAGTCCTTAAAGCAGAGGCTCTCAACCTGTGGGTCCCCAGGTGTTTTGGCCTACAACTCCCAGAAATCCCAGCTACTTTATCAGCTGTTGTGGTTTCTGGGAGTTGAAGGCCAAAACATCTGGGGATCCACAGGTTGAGAGCCACTGCCCTAAAGCAAGCACGCGGTGGGCATCTAACCATTGTGGGCTTCTGCTCTCATTCTCTCTGGTCATTGGCTAAGATGAATGGGTCTGATGGGAATGGAAGACTAGGGATAATTACCTGTCTGAATGTATCTCCCCCTATGTACCATCGCAGAGATTAAGATCTTTCAGGGAGGCCCTGCTTTCTGTCCCGCCATTGTCACAGGCACGATTGGTGGGGACGAGAGACATGGCCTTCTCGGCGATAACTCCCTGGCTATGGAACTCCCTTCCTGGTGAGATCAGGTCAGCCCCCTCCCTCCTGTCCTTTAGAAGGATGGTAAAAACTTTGCTGTGGGACCTAGCTTTCGGGACAGGGCAATAAAGCGGCAATAGGAAAGATGACCAGGCCCATTAGATTTGACACGGATGACTAGGACGGTTTTAAATGTTGTATTTTAATAAATGTTTTTTAATGTTTATGTATGTGTATGTGAATTTGTGTCCCGGCATTGAATGTTTGCCGTGTATATGCTGTGCTCCGCCCTGAGTCCCCTTCGGGGTGAGAAGGGCGGAATATAAATGTTTTAAATAAATAAATAATCAATAGTTGCAGGTTCCCTAGCCATGCCTTAATTTGAAGAAGGAATGGAGCACAACCCGCCTTCCTAGCTAAGCTTTTAATATTTAATTTTCCTTCTCTCCATCCCTACCCCTCTTGGCACATTTTAGGTTGACTACACTGTTGCTCGGCGGCCACGTCCTGGTCGACCTGTGAAAAACAGGAGAAGGAAACTGCCCACATAGCACCACCTGAGCTGAGGGGGCCTCTACCACTGTCTGCTTCTAAGCCCACACTGCTTAGGACACCAGGCATCTGTCTCTCTCTGCCCCCGACCACCTTTGATCGCGGATGCCCAGTCCCTGGGCATGTGATGTCACAAGGGCAGGAGGAAAATACCAGCAAGAGGATTGGCTGTTGCTGCTGCCGGGCTCTTGGCGCCTTGGCTGTGAATGTGTCTGTAGCTTCACCAGTTGCCTGGGCCCTGAATCTCTCCCAGGAGGGACCTCTGAAAGCACAAGGTGCAGCTCTGGTCTCAGCATTTTGGGGGCCGGGAGGGACGAGGCTGAGGGGACAAAAGGGGGGGGGGCTCCAGCTGGACCGGCCCATAAGCACTTCTCAGAGCCCTTGTTTTGAATGCTCTGAAAGGGAGTTCCTTGTAGCAGTGCAGTTAGGACCTTTGTCAACCCCTGCATTCCTGTCTTCCCTGCCCCTGGTGACTTTGGCCTCCCCACCCCGGGTGGCTCTCAAAACCTTGGCAGGAGTAACAAGGGCTGTGTGCTCCAGGAAGGGGGCATCCCTGCCCTTTCACTTCCCACCTTACCTCAGACCTGCGTGCGCTGTGGCACCCGGGTGAGAACCGGCTCAGGGTTTTAATACAAGAATCAATCTCTCTTTCTCTCTCTTTTTTGCCTCGCCAAAAACACAAGACACAATCTCCTGGTACCAGTACTAAGAAAGCAATAAGGAAAACAAGCCACATTTGTTCGGGGAGGATTCGCTCCCAGCAACTCCCTCTCTCCCAACTAATATGCCACCAAAACAGCCTAGCCTGGGTGATAATTGAGCCAGCTCTCCTCCCTGGCTCTGGTTTGGGCTGTGAAAACCTCAAGCAGAGCCTCCCCAGTTACAAACACATGCAAAAACTAGCCTTGGATATATTTTTCTTGTTCTTCTCTCATATAAAAATATCCTCCAAAGGAACACTCAGGTGATAGCGCAGGGGGAGAAGGTTAACGGAGACGAGGAGATTGCGCTCAAAATACAATTGACCCAGTTTTGCCCGAGCAAGTTTCTTTCATCTGCTTCCCTCCCTCATAATTCAACACACACGCGCGCACACACTACAATCCTCATCTCTGAACGACCAAAATACTCCACATCCAACTCTTCCCCCTCATTTCTACCCCAGTCTGGTTGCAACTCTTGATGCATTATGCAAAAGCACTGTGTAGATACTGTACAGGTTGCGCTGTGTTTCCTCCCCTTCCTCCTCCCCCGTCCCCCCCCCCCGGTCCCCCCCACCCCACCCCGTGCACTTCAACCAACCAACCAACTTCGGCCTTTGTTTTGTATAAAGAATAAAAAAAGGAATTGGGAAAAATACTATTTTCCTTCTTTGAGCTTAAATTTTGTTTTGTAAAAAATAAATTTACACAATTGTGAATTGTAGCTTTTCTATGGGAGCGACTTTTAATTTAACAGATGAAAATATTTTGATGGTTAGATTGAAGTTACTGTTTCTTTGTTTATTTTTGGGGGTGTGTGTTTTGTATCAAGTATTAAATAATGTATTTAAAAGACGCTGGGTGCGACTCTTCTCTCAGCACTTCAGGTGATCTACATGGACGGCATTCACGCTCAATCTTTTTTCAGAGAGGTCAAAGCTAGGGTTGGGGGAGGGGGGGTTGGAAAGCCCATTAGCAAACGTGATCTTACTATGCCTGCTGAAATACAGTACCAAATGCAACAAGCTCAACAGCTCAGCGGTTTAACCCATTGTGCCACCGGGGGCTCCCATTATATATAATATATATTGTATTATATTATGTAGGGCTTTAAAGCCCTAAACAGTTCTGGCCCAACTTACCTATCCGAACGCATCTCCCCTTATGAACTATCTAGGACCTTAAGATCGTGGAGGGGGGGGGGGGGGCTGTTGTCGTTACTGCCTTCATCACAGGTATTTTTGACGGAGATGAGTGTGACAGGGCCTTCTCGATGGTGGCCCCTTGGCTATGGAACGCCCTCCCTATAGATATTAGACCCTTTTAACATTCCGGAAAAAAGACATAGCTTTTTGAGCAAGTGTTTGTAAATGCAGAGTAATTGACATAGGACAACGGAAGGACTAGACAACAAAACCAGACAACATTTTCAGCAAGGAGACACTATGGATTTATATTTTATTGATTCTGTTTAGTTTTTATTATATGTAATGTTTTACTTGTATTTATGATATTATATGCATTGAATTTTACCCTGTAAACCACCTTGAGTCGCCTGCGAGCTGAGAAAGGCGGTATACAAATACAGTAAATAAATAAATAAGGTCATCCTATAGATAGAGCCCCCTGTGGCGCAGTGGGTTAAACTCTTGTGCCGGCAGGACTGCTGACCAACCAACCGGTCAGGAGTTTGAATCCAGGGAGAGTGGGTTGAGCTCCCTCTGTCAGCTCCAGCTCCCCATTCAGGGACATGAAAGAAGCCTCCCACAAGGAGGGTGAAACATCAAATATCCAGGCATTTCCTGGGCAACGTCCTTGCAGACGGCCAATTCTCTTACACCAGAAGCAACTTGCAGTTTCTCAAGTCACTCCTGATAAACACAAAAATCCCATACATTATGATGACAGTCATTGAAATTGAGTCTGAAAAGAGCTCTGTGAGTCCAAAAGGTTGGGAACCAAGTTATGAGGATTTCAGGAGTCTGAGAATGGTGGAATGGCTTGCTACCATTGCTGTCTTCCCACAAACATTAAGATCCTGTCACCTGAAGTGGCAACCCCACTACATGATGGTTCCTCAATGAAGAAATCACCAGGGAGTGAACCTGGGCTCAAAACTCAGAAACTATTATTTTTTAATCTCCACAAAGCATGGTCAATGGCTAATTTAAGAGGGTGAGCCAAGAAAGAGCTCAAAGCAGCTTATAGTGCCCTGAAGAGGAAGCAGGGGTAACTGCAATAAACAATAATTCTTGTTGCGATAGTAGGGAAAAATTAATTAAAAGATCTCAATTATCACAAAAGTACATCTAATCACATTGTGGGGAAACAGCAAACAAAATCTTTGTCCCACACAAGTCTTGCAAAAATACCAAATTCAATTATAACACAGTGTTATGTAAAAGAGCAATGGGGGCCGTGATATGATGCCACATTGGTCCACATGGGTTGCACCAAAGAAAAGGAACTCCCAGAAACCTATAGAATTAAATGCAAGGTTATAGTCAAAGCAAGCGAAGCCTCTCTGATGATTGATGCAGAGTAAAAACCAAGTTATGAGGACTTCAGGAATCTAATATGAGAAGGGTAAGACCCTCACAGTTGCATTAGCACAGGCAATTCCCACGACTCTGCCGATATTAAGCATCTAAAAGCAACTAATGAATATTTCAGCCTAGGGCACTATATTGTCCAACAGAAAATAAGTTTTGATTTGATAACGATCTATGTATAGATCAAACTTTATGATATGGAGTGTCCTGGGTTTCATCAGAAATAGCAAGGGTTGCTTTTTGATTATAATTGTTGTGAGTACCTGTTAATCTTTTTACGGAACCATAGCAATGATACCATGATAAGCACTTGAAATAAACTAGCTGAGCTAGATATCCTTCAAACTTTGCTTTCCACTGGGAGCAGAGGGTTTCATTTGCCTGTGCTGATGAGCAGCTGTTGAGTAAAAAGGCAAGGGCATAAATAGAGATGTGGCGTGCATTCCACCTACAGCACTAAAAGTGAAATGAAAAGGAAAAATGATGAAACAAAAATACTTTGACCAAGCCGCTAGTCAATTGGCTTATGAAACAGTATGCATTCAGAAATTCAATTGAGAAGAAATAACATGCCTAGGAGCAATAGTGGGTAAACTAACTAGTGATTCGATAAATGGTGTGCATATGATTATGGTAATACAATCCGTTGAATTAATAACAAAGAGTGGCACAAAGAGACATGGCTCAAAAGACTGCATTCTCCTCCATTTCTGAGGATGAGGAAAGCTGAGAACGTGAGATCACATGACACAAACAACTCACAGATGATTTGTCAACCCACTTTCCAAAAACCCACACTACCCAATTACTCTGTGTGATGATAGATGTGGTTCTAAAGAGGAATACCATCTCTATACGGTACCTGCCATGCTTAGTTGACTCTTCACTCAGTAGAGTCAAAAACTTTCTCCAGCTCTCCTTCAAATCACAGTGAATAGAACCTCAGTCTCTACCGGAGCTTCAAATATACTTTTGGAGGACTAAAGCTCCCAGTCCTCAGGCTTTAGACAGTATGGCCAGCGGCCGGGGATGCCTGGGACTGTAAACCAAAAAGTCACTTTCCAAGTTCTATGGAGCCCCCAGTGGCTTAAAGTGCTGAGCTACTGAGCTTGTTGACCGAAAGGTTGCAAGTTCAAATCTCGGAAGCGGCATGAGCTTCCGTTGTCAGCCCCAGCTTCTGCCAACCTAGCAGTTCGAAAACATGCAAATGTGAGTAGATCAATAGGTACCGCTCCGGCGGGAAGGTAACAGTGCTCCATGCAGTCATGCCGGCCACATGACCGTGGAGGTGACTATGGACAACACCGGCTCTTTGGCTTAGAAATGGAGCACCACACCCCAGAGTTGGACACGACTGGACTTCATGTCAGGGGATATTCCAAGTCCTGGCTTTACCTCTGAGCTAAAACGCCATATCTGCTTCTGCATAGCAATTCAAAGAGGTCACCAGAATTTACACAGGTGAAGGATTTACACAGGTGAAGGGTTAATCTATTTTTTGAAACTGAGTTTCTAAACTATATACATGAATAGAAATGTCCGTCGGAGGCCCAAACTGAGTATGCCTTGGATCCTACTGGTCACCTAAATAGTCTTTCTTTTTTTTTTAAGTCAAGATGTTTTAAAACTGAATATATTATTAAAAATGTGGGAATATGATGTGATTTCCTTGCCACTAATGATTTTAGTATAAACTCCACACAATGTGGCAACTGAAGTTTTTCATTGCCACACAGTGTAATCAGACATTCTTGATAAAATGAGCAGAACAGGTGCACATTGTTTTCAAACTTGTGTTGAGATTTTTGTGTTAGGACTCTTGAGTGTGGAATGAGGTTAGTGGGTTTTTGTAGCCTTATGGATCACTTCTTCTAAATGTTAGAAGTTTCCCTGAAGACTCTCAAACTGATGAACAGTGAGACAGTATTACAAAAATAAACACAGCAACTATGAAGCTTCAGCCTCATCAAGGCTGGCTTTAGTACAGCAGGTTAATCACCAGCTGCAGCTGCAGTAAATCTTGCCAACTGAAAGGTTAACAGTTCGAAGCCGCGTCAGGGTGAGCTCCTGATCTTCAGCCCAGCTCCCCGCTCACCTAGCAGATCAAAAATAGCAATGTGAGTAGATGAATAGGAGCTACATTAAGCGGAGAAGTATTTTAGGCACAGCGTTTCAGAGGAAAGTTTAGGAACAAAGAAAGCTCTTTGACAAGATGGAACGACAGCACCCTCCTGTGGCCAGAACCGAGCACGGCCTCCAAAGATGCCAAATGCTGAGAAAAAAAGCCTAAATATACCTCTATCTGTTTGTCTGTCATTTCATTGTATAATCGGCATTTAATATTTGCTGTATATATGTTCTGTGATCCGCCCTGAGTCCCCTTTAAGGTGAGAAGGATGGGACATAAGTACGTAAATAAATAAATAAAATAATTTGTAGTACATTGGTGTCTATACAGTTCATTCTTCACTCTTTATATACTGTATTTCATCACATAATAGTCATCATGCATAATAGTCACAACTCCATTTTTTGGGGCCAAAATAAATATGTTTGTGTTCCTCACATAATAGCCACAGAGCCATTTGGGTATGATCCCCCCCCCCCCATTTCCTTTCTTTTTTCTCCGAAGACAAGGCAGTTTTAAAAAAAATCTGAAACAGAGACCTCTGGAACTCGGATATCCCCTCCTTTCTCCTTTTTCTGAAGCAAGGCAGTTAAAACAAAACCAAACAGAAACAGAGCTGCTAGTTTGAGGCTGGATCATCCTTATGTCTCAGAGGTTTTTTTAAAAAAACCAGAAAATGAGAATCTAAGGCAGACTTTTTTCATAGTGTAACAGACATACCCTCTTTTTTCAATAAAAAGGGATGAAAATCTGGTGGTCTGCAGTCATCCAATTCTTCAAAGCCTTTACACCTGATGCCTCCTTTTTTCTCCTGCTCCCACTGTTTACTCCAGTAGTTACACAAGTATTCTGGCCAACTGAATCTGTGGTGGATCTGTTCAAAGGCCTATTCCATCAAACATATTGTTTCCCACCGAATGCCAATCATTTGACCATGGGAAGCCCACAGGCAAAATATGAGGGTAGCACCACTCTTTCAAGCAACTGGTATGAGTATAAAGAGGTACATAGAGTCAACTCTACACATTCACTGGGTTTTAGGGGCACAGCATCCCAGTGAAAGCAAAAAACTGCAAATTAAATAAATGCTATTTATTTAATCTAAGAAAAACACCTCTCTACAAATTTCTGGGTCCTCCAGCATGACTTTAAAACCCACTCGAAACTGAGCAAACAATCACACTGGAGGATCTAGAGATTTTTAGAGATAACATTTTAATCAAATCCTGAATTATCAATTCTGCAAAAATCAAACCTGCAAATCTGGAGGGCAAATTGCACTCATTGGTATACCAGAGGTGGCTATTAGCCACTGACTTCTCCTAGAAAGCAGACGAGAACCAAAGAAGGGAACTTAAGAAGCTACAGGAAAGTGAGGCCAGCACCAAATTGGCTCCTGATCAGAAGACCCAATACAGAACAGTAAGCATTAAGAGTTTAATGACAGTAAATAATTATAATTATACAACAATATGATCCACCTCCATGCCAGACTGAGGGGGTACATAAGATACCTTTCCCAGCATAAGGCTCCTTGTTTGGGGTCAAACAGTGAGTGTTCCTTGCGCAGGTAGGTATGCAAAGGATGGTTCCCTCCCCCTCCAGACTGGAATGCAGTGCTGCCCTCTGCAGTTGGCATTGCCATAAGGAGAGCAAAACATTGGGTGAGAGGAAGGGGAAGGGAAAGGCAGGGGGAAGAGAAGTCTGTCAGCAAACTAAGCACTCAATACCCTGGCCTGCATGAAGGCTGATCCCCTGCTACAAGTGCACAAGAAAAGGGACAGAGGTAGGGAAGGGACGGAGCAGTTAGTGCGTTTGGACAGCAGGCAACATATGTGCCTTGCCTCAGTAGACTGATTTAGGGGCTTCACTTGGCAAGCTTCTTCATCCGTGCATCAATGCTGGCAAAATTGTCCTCAACAGCAGCAAGGTTCTCCTTCATGGTCTTCTGAACCTAAGGAGAAAATGTGGAAAGCCATCAACCAGATAGGCAACACAGTAACTCACCTGTGCAACTTGTGGGACATTATCACACGAGTCAGCTAGCACCATGCTCATAATAATTTGAGTTCACAAATGCTTCAAAAAAGTTATGAAACCAGCTGTGACATGTGGTCAGAAAAATTCTGAAAAGGCTCTACTAGTTAAATAGTTGTATTCTCAGACCTGGATAAATGGAGCATATTTTCCTAATACCTCATTTCCCTCAATATGTCTCTGGGCCCATGATGCCCCCACCACCACCACCACCACCACCACCCACACACACAAAAGGGAGGGAACTAGCAGAGCTGCCACTCTTCTTCAGGAAGGAGTATTTCCTGATTCATAATTTGGGAAAGGCTCTGCCATTAGGCTCACCAACTACAAGGATATCCCTAAGGGCATCAGGTTGGCCACCTCCCTGTCCTTTAGAAGACAACTGAAGACCTGGCTCTGGTACCAGGCGTTCAACTAGAGGCCAGCAGCAATAGGAAAAGAAAATTTGGATTTTGAAACATGGATTCTCCCGGCTCGGCTTGGTTTTACTGGCATGTTAATCTATTAATTTATTGTTAAATTTTACTGATGATGTTGTACAATGTTTTAAAATGATTTTATTGTGAATTGTAATTTTTATGGTATTTATGCTGTTAGCATCCTCTGATGCTCATGTGAGGCCATGCTGAGTCCCCCTTGTGGGGAGAAGGGCAGGATATAAATATATGAAATAAATAAATAAACAAACATGCAACAGCTATGCCTGCCGTTTCTAGTCATGGCAGGATGCTATATCCTTATGTGATTCTGCTTCCCAAGAGCAGCCGTTGACAAGTATGACCACAAGCTGCATGTGGCTCCTCTGAGCCTTTTTTGTAGGTTCTCCATAGATATTTCTTTTTTATTCCTCCCATTTCCTATTGTTAAAAAAGGCCTCTTGTGGACCAAAAATTATCTAGAAGGGCTCAAAAGTATGGCTAAATGCCCCTCCTGTTGCATAAAGGGTACCTGGAGACATTTTTGAGATTATATTTGCGAGATGCAGTGTGGAGATGTGGCCCTTCGTGGTCTCAGTGCACCCACTAACCTTCCACAATTGCCCTTCCCTGTCCTAGAGACTGTGTGGCTGTGTCAGTTGCAGAGTAGTTTGGAAAAGTTATTTAAGGGGGGGGGGTATGACTCCCAGAATTCCCCACTCTTCACAAAGACATATTGCTTGGGGATTCTAGGCCTAAAAGGTAATTTCTCCAACTCTCTACATCAGTGGTTCTCAATCTGGGGTCCCCAGATGTTTTAGCCTTCAACTCCTAGAAATCCTAACAGCTAGTAAACTGGCTGGGATTTCTGGGAGTTGTAGGCCAAAACACCTGGGGACCCACAGGTTGAGAACCACTGATTTACAGCAAACCCACACAACCTGTGGCTCTCCAGGTATTTTGGACTTTAGCCCCCCAAATTCCTGACCACTGGCCATGGCTTCTGGGAGTTGGAGTCCCAAACACCTGGAGAACCCAATGGTTGTATAGGCCTGCTCTACAGGGAAAGTGCTCTCTGACTCCCACCTGTGTCAGCAAAGTAATGTTGTCCTTCAGGGAATTAGCAATCATTTGTTGGGTAGTGTCCAAGTGAGTCAGAAGCTGTCCAAACTGCATGGCTACAAAAGACAACATCAACAAAAGCCAGATTAGGAGGTAGAGGAAAGATGCATTCAGCAATCAAATTGTTCATAGGGTAAAAATTGGAAGCCCAACGCTTTTGTGCCTCCAATTTTAAATCTGCCCCATCCAGATGAGCTTGGCCCAGGGCCTCACCTTGTTCATGCAACTGCCGCACAGTGACTAGGCGCTGCACCACTTCAGGCAGGGTGCTGGCCAAGGGACTCCAGTGTTGCACAGTTTCATAAAGCTGATGTACCTAGAGGGGAAGAAAGGAGGAAGGTCACATGGGAAACTGAAACAGGACCTTTGGTGCCCCCGCTGCACATGTTCAGAGGTAGAGGCATCTCTTGCATACACAACAAACAGCAACAAAAATGTAATCAGGATTGTCCTCACATTATATAGATCTCTTTGCTTTTATGAGGACAGCTGAAGCCAGTTAATATTGATCTTGTGTACAAACATTCCATGTCCATTCCTTGAGAGCTACAATGCCAAGAGTGACCTGCCTTGAATGGGTCAGCACAGGGAGAATGGTCATATTGCCTGAAGCTGCCTAAAAATGCAATGAAATTCAGTTCCATTCATACATGCAGTTGACAGCTACCCGGTGTTGAGCGAATCAGTGATAACCATTCAATGTGAAACAGTCAGGAAAGCAGAACAGGCACTCACAAACACAATCTTATTTTCCTTCCTTAATGTTTCTCAGGCTGCAGTTGCCGATTCATATTGGGATTTTGAAGTCTTTGAAAATGAAACTAATCCTACTGGCTTCCTCAAAACAACTTAGTTGCTCTAACTTTTTTGGGCTGCAGGGCTATGTTCCACAAGCATTCTCTCCTGACGTTTTGCCTGCATCTATGGCAGGCGTCCTCAGACGTTGTGAGGTCCTCACAAGCTCTGAGTACACCTGCCATAGATGCAGGCAAAACGTCAGGAAAGAATGCTTCTGGAAAATGCCCATACAGCCTGGAAAACTCACAGCAACCCAATAATTCCAGCCATGAAAGCCTTCGACAATATATATTCACAACTGAGATGCACCTATTTTCTTTTTCAGTGCAGGCAGGAATCTTATGAATTCTATACAGCAATGTTCTTTGCCATCAGGAACAGGAATCACACTGATTCAATGCAGTTCCAAGATGTTGTAGTCAGAACCAGGGCTTGGGTAGAAACTGCTGGAAGTACCTTCACTGAGTCCACACACACATATGCAGATAGGAATGTACAAAGTGGTATTGTGGATTTCTTATGCACTGAGGTACAGACAGAAACACAGACATACAAAGAAAAGGGATCTGACCTTGCTTTGAGTGTCTGCATCCTCCACAGTGGCCTTGTGTTTGGCAATCTCATTCACCTTTCCCAAGACACTCTAGAGATGAAAAATCTGCTGTTAAAAGAGCTTGGGCCCAGCCAGAATCCCCCAAATCCATGCATAGCATGACTCCCCTGGTTGATTAAACTACTTAAGAGTTAGGACCTACCTGTAGCCTTGCCTCCACCTGGTCCAGGGATGCCACATCTAAGGAGCTGACTTTGGCCTGCATGATCTCTACAGTTTCCTACGGATAGGGTGTGACAAGGGATGAGTGAATTAGAACAAATGCATATTGGCAAAAAATAGTTTTCTAGTTCAAAGCAATATAAGGAATTGAGCATCTATGCTCATTCTGACATCTCCAGCCTTTTATTCCATGGATATGTACATTCCTGCAGCTTACAAAGCTCAACTGCCTGGCGTAAAGTACAACCCCAAAATCCATGAGGGATATGTTCTTGAACTTACTATAGAAAACCATGGATAAGAGTGAACCCAATTGAAATGAACAACATCTGACGGGAGCTTCCATAGAATTGCCTGGGGGACCCAGACAATTCCTAGAAAGGATACATTTATTTCAGATTCAATGAGGTTAAACCATGGTTACAGATCCCATTGGTACAGAGTTCATGTTATTATCCTATTTGTCCACAGGCTATATGTAACATTTGCTCTAGCTAGATATAATTTACCTTTCTGTTTCAAAGCCTTCACTGTTTAACTTCTGGATATTTCTTTCTCTACCAGCTACAATATAAATAATCTTGGGAATTTGGCAAAGAAAATGAATCCTTACTCTATCACTTTTGATATCATTTCAGTGTCATTGTTAATAAATGGAAATAATTTAAGTTCCACAAACTGGCAAGATTATAAGACTTAAGAGATTGATTTAATATGTCTTTGCTGAAATGTGGTAATTAGCCACAAGAGCAATTAGAGCAGTGGTTCCCAACCTGTGGTCCATGGACCAACAGTGGTCCACAAGAACTAAAATATGGTCCGTGACCTCATCGTTACTACACCATTGCAACGAGAGCGACTGGTCTCACAAAATCTCCTTACAGTGCAGAGGCTTATTAAATACAGTTTTCTGTGGGCGAGCAGATGGCAACTACTGAATGGCATATGTTCTGTATCAGAAACTAGAGCTGATGTTGTCTATCCAATGCAGTTTTCTTAATCAGCACCCCAAATAGCCAAACTAAATCTAAAAAAAAGGTTGGGAACCACTGAATTAGAGGAGTATACTCTTTCTTTATTCAAAATTCTGCAAATAACCTATTTTAGTTTTTTGTCTGAAATTCAAAAACAGGCCACAAGGATGTTACTTGTACTGCCATGCGAGCAATTCATACTACTAAGTGAAATGGAAGATTAAAACATGGCTTCTAGGCCATGTACATTTTTAATCTCAGTTATTTTTTTAATATTGAGGAATAAGATTGATCTGTGGAAAAGATTTGGAAACAATCATCCCAGATTCTGAATGACTAAGAAAATGTGTGCTTAAAAGTGGTATTGAAACATTTGTCCTCAAGTATTGGAGACCACAGTATTCAATACCCCCGTGAAATAGAAAGGACTTTCTGAAGGCTCTTATATCTAGAGATTTCTAGAGAAAATATTTTTATCTAATCAGTGAACAATGAAATCCACAAAAGTTAAACTTGCAAACGTGGGTGCCAACTGTATTTGATTACTCCGAATAGCAGAGATGAAGAAAAGGATGGAAAGGAAGACCATCTTTTCAAATCAGTACATTCCCTCCTTCCTTGTTCCATTCTTTGGTTTACCCACATATACTCCGTACACCACTGATCCATCCCAAACCAGGCTTGCAATATCCATAGATGAAACTAATATACAATCCTTAGGCCCAGTACTTAAAAGCAAGACGCTTAGATTTCTTCCAATCCAATGAGGCTCAGGCTACTCCAAAGATCCCATTAATTCCTTACCATAAGACTACCTCCTTGTAGTCCAACAGACAGAGGATTCTAAACAGAGAAAAAAGAGCAAAATTAATGACAAACACTGCAGTGCTAGACAGCCTTTGGCAAGAAGGTGAAATGTCCATGATGCGAAATAAGGCCACTCAATAGTGCACTGTGGTGCTCATGAAGCATCAACACTCTAGGATGGGGTTTCTAATGGGGAGAAAAAAGGAAAGTTGGACAGCAACGACAGCAGAGGAAGGGTACGAAGCGTTAGTTAGGGCCTTCTAGTTTCCATTTCTCAACTTTTCTATCTCCTTTGTTTCAAAACAATGTACACCCCTTTTCTATTTTTTGTTTTAGATAAGATAAAAAAATGATTGTATTTTTTCTTTTTTTTAACATGCTAGAAACATTTTTTGTATTAGCTAACAACAAAAGAAGGCAAAAATGTAAGATGTTAAAAATGTCCCTGTTCTATATCCACTCTTGTACTCTTCCCTATGCCTAATGAAAAATGTAAAGGTTTCCCCTTGACATTAAGTCCAGTCATGTCCGACTCTGGGGGTTGGTGCTCATCTCCATTTCTAAGCCAAAGAGCCGGCATTGTCTGTAGACACCTCCAAGGTCAGGTGGCCAACATGACTGCGTGGAGCACCATAACCTTCCCGCTGGAGCGGTACCTACTGAGCTACCCATATTTGCATGTTTTTGAAATGCTAGTTTGGCAGGAGCTGGGGCTATCAATGAGAGCTCACCCCGTCCCACAAAGCTCAGCTGTTAAACCTGCTGCACTACCACAGCCCCCTAAAATATAATCCCTAATATATTTGCAATAAAAATATGGGTAAAAAAGAGAAATCAAGTCTCTATTCCATTTATCTATTGCTTAGCAGGCTTAGGGAAGGTGGGAATTGCAAGAGACAGAAAGTGGAAGACAGGACTATTTTGCCAAACAGCCCATGCTACAAGGGCATTCCTTTTTTCCATACATTTGACTGCAAAGAAGAAATAATCTTCATGCCGTAAGAATGGCTAATACATAGGACGATGGGCTTACTGTAATCTCAGCCTGTTATTAAGCCTACTCCTGCTGTTCCCTAACCTTTTCTGGTCCTCATATTCACTATGCACTTGGTGTTTCCACTCTCCCATTTGTCTCACCTGGACATCCTGCTCACAGCGGACTGTAGCTTCCAGCTCAGCCAACCGTTTCTCCATTTCTGCAACCTAGACAGACAAGAGCAAGCTGATGAGGATGTTTCAGTCTCCTTACTTCCCAAAAATAACTTTGAATTTCAGAAGAAAAGTCTAACGAAGTACTGTCAAAATGTCACCTTGGCCCGCAATGGCCCTACTTGAAGAGAGCTACATTAAGTAGCAGCAGATGGGGATCAGGGGAGTTAGAGTTGCTCTTAAAGGAATGCATTGGCACTTGGGATTTTCCACTTTCACAGCGGTCCTACACCCCTAACGTCCATGAATTTGGGGGGAAGGGGAGAACTGTAATATAAAACTGTTCTATAGATTGGGAAGTTCACACAAAAATAGATTCTTCCTTTTCCAGCCATAAATCTGCAGATGGAGGAATGCTTGGCTCTCGATTACCCTGCCCACAGAGCTTATTGTGGGAACAGAAAGGTACCTTTCCACAAAATGACTCGTTCCAAACTATTCCCCTCTCACACATTTATCTCTCCAAGACATTTCCTCAGAACCTCTAAAGAGCAAGCGGTGAACATTCTTACCTTGGCAGCCTGAGAAAATTTGTCCTGCTCAGGCCGGGAGTGCAGCTCGTAGGTTACTGTGTTTACGGTGCTAGCAGGGGCTTTTGCAGGGCTCTTCCCACCTGGAGGAGTGGCTTTAGTACTCCTGGCTGCTTCCAGTTGAATGAGCAAACGCCTGGCAAGTTGAAGAAGCCATAAATTTTTACATTTATTTATTTATTATTGCATTTATATCCCGCCCTTCCCACCTCGAAGGGGACTCAGGACGGTTCAAAACAAGGCACAATTCAATGCCACAAATACTTAACGTACATAATACATAAATACATAAATATTTGACCTATTTATTATACAAAGTAAGTGAATGTAGTTCTCCATAGATTACACTGGTTTTAATTGCTGCTACCTGCTGTTCTTGAATTTCACTCACAGATTAGAATAGGGAGGCTGTGAGAATGGGTACACTCACTGGCTTACAACATACATGGTCCATCTTATTAAAAATCAATTTCTCCTTTTCCATAAGAAAAATTGTGTGATCTAATTAGTTATGTTCTTGTATGCTTATGGCCAATGAGTTTGGTGAAAGGTTTCTCACTTTGAGAAATGTACTAAGAGAATTCTAGTCAGCCTTTTACTTACACTAAACATATACATAATAGTGTACAGTAGAACCTCGACTTAAGAGCATCCCGATTTAAGAGCATTTTGAGTTAAGAGCAAACACCAGGGGGAGAGCTAGTGCAAGTGTACAGGGCTTTAGGCCTCCATGCCTCATGCTCTTGTCCGCTTTGAGGAACTTTGGGTTAGTTGATTTTGTGTGGTTTTTATTCCTGGTATGTTTGGTTTCATGAAGAGAGAGAGAGAGAGAGAAAGATTGAGAGAGAGAGAGAGAGAGAGAGAGAGGGCAAGGGAAGGAGGGAGGCTGGAATGAGTACAGTATGAAGAAAATGATTCTTCAACATCTTCACTATGTGCTTTGTGCTTCTTTCTTTTTTAATTGTTCCACATGAATGTGCATTTATACATTATGTGTTATTTATAATGTACATTTTATTTAAACACACATAAAATGGGGGGTGTAGGGGGGCTGGAATGATATAATAGTATTTCAGTGGGCATATTCACTTTGAAATATCAAACTCTTAACTCAAAGCATCACAATATATGTATGTATATATTTTAGTGGTTTGTATCCCTCAACTGTAATTGCATTTTCATTTTTTTATTCTGTAAGCCATAGTGCATGCTGAATCTTTCTAGATCTTTTAAAAATAAATAAACTGAATGAAAAACTAGAAAGGAGAAAATACTAGGCAAAGTTGGAATTGAAAGGAGAACATCAAGCTATGCTAATGGGATAGAATTGAGGGGGGATTCATCTTTACTTTTCAACCCCATGTAAGTGCAAAATCTGGGATAAGGAAGCCCCTTAACACAGATTTTTGGGCTATTTTGATGCCTGGAAGGAAGATCGGTAAAAAAAAAACACCACTGTGCCAGTGGGTTAAACCCTTGTGCACACTGAACTGCTGACCTGAAGGTCAGAAATTCGAATCTGCAAGATGCGTGAGCTCCCATCTGTCAGCTCCAGTTTCCCATGCGAGGACATGAGAGAAGCCTCCCAAAGGATGATAATACATCCAGGTGTCTCTGCACCCTGGACAACGTCTCTGCAGATGGTCAATTCTCTCACACCAGACGTGACTTGCAGTTCCTCAAATTTATTTATTATTTTATTTACTACATTGATATCCCATCCTTCTCACCCAGCAGGGGGACTCAGAGCGGCTCACAAAAGGTAGCAATTGGATGCCATACATATACATAAATACAATAAAAATAAATATATGCATTAAAACTCAAAAAACAACAACAGCTCCTCACACAATAAAAAAGACCATGATGTCAGATTTCATCCAATATTTTAAGTTGCTTTTTCTAGGCATTATCACAACAAAACATTTATGTATCAGTACAGCTTTTCACACATGCTAGTATGACAACATGAGCAAGTTCTCATGCTTTCATTTTTTTAATTAAAATCTCAATCATATAAATACTATAGATGTGTCACATATAAAATGTTTGAAATCAGTAAGTCAAATGAACAACTGGGAAGAGTAAAAAAAAATCCCTTCATTAGCTTTTTCAGTGCCTACAAGACACAACTCAGCACACTGGGTCAGATTTTCAAAGATTTAGGGCAGCAAAATAAAATGTTCCCACTATATATTTTTTTTCCTTTGAAAGCCCACATCACTGCCTGCAGAATATAACGGCAGCTACTGTTCTACTGTTGACTGCAATAATGACCCAGTCCCTCAAGGAAATGAACTGGATATGATGACATCATGTTCCTTCTAGTCCTATGATCTAATCTGAATCTAGGCATGGTCTCCTTCTCTGGTGTCTTTCAAAAATCATCTGTCAGGAGTGCATGGGAAAACAAAGTCAGATTGCATGACCCTTGTGGTTTCTTCTAACTTGATATTTCTGTGATTCTAGGGACTCCTGTTAAGCACAAACAAGACTCCAAATTTCAGGAAAAGGTTGCAAATGGGCCTCTTTTGGCTTCACAATATTTTTTTCAGTCACAAGAGACCTTTCCAAACCCTTGTTTGCAGTAACAGCCATGTCTGCTCTCCATTACTGTCTGAACCCATGTGAGGCTGGAAAAGTGCTTCTTCAATGATAGCTCATAGAATCTCCCAGGAAGGACGACTCCTTCACATGTTTTTCAGGGTTAAGCCTTGACTATGGGACTATGCTTAGTACCAACTGAATCATGACTTACTTGGCCAAAGCACCATCAGGATCTGTTAAGTTAATGGCGGCATCTGGCCCAAGCAGTTTCTCCAGGTGGGTGGAAACCAGTTGTTGCTTCAGACCAGCCACCTGTTTTGCAAGGGCAACTGGTGTCAGTTTTTCCTCAGCTGTAGATTCCTTCACGGTGTTCTGTGGAAGGAACATCGAAAGTGGTCTTACAATAAATCAGGTCACTGGTTTATCTAGCACAGTAATGTCTCCCATCCAAATAAGAACTACATCTAAATCTGCTTAACCCCTGAAACCAAATTAAATTGCAAGAGATCAAGGTATAGGCCTAGAGACACTAAAATTAGCAGTTGTTATGGACCCAAACTTCTCTACTACTGGGCTATTCTTAATTATGCTAGCATTGATGCTACAGCACAAGACCTGACACATTAAGACAAAGACTCATTTACCTGATGAATTAAATTTTGTATTAGATGCTGTCTAGCAATGAAACAAGGACTAGATTTGGCCTCAAGAGGTGGATAGTGCCACATATTAAAGGCAAAGGGGCAAAAGTAAATACGTGATCAGAGAACTCCTTCAATTGTCCTCAAAAACATAAGCAGAGAAATCCTTACCTTAATCTTCTCTACTTCAGTAGTCAGCTCTTGAACTTCATGCAGCAAACGTTGGTATTTCTGCTGGGGAGTTTCTTTAACACCCAGTCCTTCTCCTAACTTAAGGGAATAAATAGATTCTTCAATCAAAAATCAACATTTGAATACAGAAAGATCCTACAGTAATAAGTAACAGGTATCATTGTACTGATAATACTTTTAATAATATACTACTCAATACAACATATACCCTGCAACATATACCACCTATTGAGCCTTAGGAACATGTTGATTATTACTTAGCAGAAGATTTGTAGTGTACATAGTTCTGTCTCAAACACCTTGGGCTCCTCTGTTCAATCCAAGTATATTAGATACTTACGATTTCATAGTCTCCAGATTCGTAGCCAGTTCTTTTGGATTTACCAATGCGATCAGAGAAGTCTAGAAGATAAAAGAGGGAAATTAAATGTTACTGTTTATAAACTACCTCCTATTTCATGTAGTTTTCATTAAAAATTAAACACAATTGGCTCTTACAGGGAAGAGCTCTTTGCTCATGAAATCACTCTTGTAAAATAGAGCTTTCTATCAACTTCTCATGTATTTCACCACACATCTGTAAAGTCTGGTTGCGCAATTACCCTTGTAAGAAAAACTTTTGCTACTGGTATCTTAAACCTATAAAGAACATATTCAAATAAAAACAGAAAGACCATACTACTTTCTTGCAATATTCCCATAGATGATGGTCACTCTGATATGCTGAATTTCAATAAACCTCTGACGTGTAACCACTTAAACCACATAGGTTATATACTCACACATATCTGGCAGCAACAATACAAACGTGTCCATAGGCAAATGCATATATTCATAAAAATAGGAGCTTGTATTAAAGCATTTTGTTCATGAAGAGAAATAAGATCATTATATTATGTAACAAAATGTGAAAAAAAAATCTGTAGCTGGTTTGAAAGTGTTATTTGCTGTTTCATTGTTTGATACTTAATTTGAAAATAGTTGTTATACTCCATAAATTTCATTTTTGTGGCTGCCATTTTTTAACATATGTATTTTTAACCTTTTGTGTAGATCGCAAAAACAAAGTTTTTGCAGTTTAATAAACTTTTCCTATGTTTTTATGATAGAATCAATTAGGAAATGGCATTTATAACCTAATAACAAAAATTGTGTTAAATGATGTTATGGCAGATACATCTCCTTCATGCGATATGTGTATAAAGTGGTGAGAGTCCCAGATTAATTTTACTTTAAACAGTGACAATGGAATAGTGGCTTTCAAGACAAATAGAAGAAGCAGACTAGCTCAGGGAGTCCAGGTCAGACTGTATGACAAAGGGACACAGTGAGAGATTAAATGAAGACGAGAGGAAGGTACTTCCATCATCCCTTAACATTTTTCGATTAATGCAATTTCGTATTATTCTGTTTAATGGCAGGAGTTGTCGTATGCTTTAACTGTGATCCCTGAATTTGTTCAGGACATCATTTTCCTTCTGTTCTTTGTGTACTCACTAGTTCAGAGCAGACTCTAGAAGTCAGTGGCTCCCAACCTTTTTTTGACAGGGACCACTTAACCAGAGACCACTCTCCAACATTAGTACCAAAAAGGTTACAAATAATTTTTTGTCAACTTTAGATTTGATTTGGTTATTTGGGGGTGCTGATTCAGAAAACTGCAAAGAACAGACCACATCTAGTTTCTGATACAGAACATATGTCATCCAGTAGTCGCCATCTACTCGCCCACAGAAAATCATATTTACTAAGCCTCAGCACTATAAGAGGGTTTTGTGAGACCAGTCTCTCTCATTGCAATGGTGTAGCAATAGTGAGGCCGCAGACCATATTTTAGTTTTTGTGGACCACAGGTTGGGAACCACTGCTCTAGATCTTTTGGTTCATCCCTGCCCTCAGATGTATTCCAAGTGAGGAACCTATGGAAACAGATATACTTACCTAGTCCCCTGGTGCCAACTCTCTTGTCCTTAAATTTATCATAAGCTGCATTTGGATTGACTATGATATGTTCCACACTGGTGCTAGTTAGCTCCTCCTGTGCAGAGAGACATACAGATATCAGATAGCCCAATTCACACTTCTACCCAAGTTCTCTCAGCAGTTTCCAAGCTATTATCACAAAAGTCCATCAAAACACAAGAGGTTTTGTCTGAAACCTTGAGAGGTCTGAGTATTCCTGTCATAACCACCACGGCACTCTTACTGTTTTTCAGCCTACGTAAATGATCAATGGTGCTGATAAACAAAGAGAGCAAATCATTTGGATGAACCTTTTGGAAGCCTCCCTCCTCACCTTCAGAAAAGGAGTGAAAACGTGGCTCTGGGATCAAGCCTTCAGAGAAGAGCCATAGTGCAAAGAGATTAACTGGAAGTATATGCAGTGACTACCGGAATGACTTGGATTATGATTGTGGATTGCATGCTTTTATAGTGATAGTTGCTACAGGAGCAGTTGCTCCTGACACAACAAAAAATAAAATAAAAATAGTGATAGTAATGGTTTATAATGTTTTAATGTATATAATTTTGATTTCAATTTTAATTTGAATGTATTTTAACTGTATATTGTTGTGAAGGCATTGAATTATTGTCTGTAAGCCACATTGAGTCCACCCTGGAGAAAGGTGAGATATCTAGTAAACAAACAAACAAACAATTGGAGCCATAAAGAGGGGAGACTTCCTCTTCCCTGGACAATTTGAAATAGTTAGAAGGGGCAAGAAATTGGTTTTTCCCCCTACTGCAGCACTTGACTTTGCTCACTTGTTTGAGCCAACAGAAGCAAGCTTCTTTTGGTGCCACTTTTGATGAGCTGCTCATGGATTTCTGCTCTACCTCAATGTTACTGTAGGGATCTCTATGGCACAGAGCTTGGTGCATGAAGGATTTAGCATTCCAGACCTATACTCTTGGGTCTAAATGTAGCCAGCTCACAACTTCATTCCTGTAGGTAAACATCACCTCCAATGAAGCCAGAGCATGACCAGGCACACCTAAGTCCAAAATAATCCAGCTTCATTGAATCAAAGCATATATGGAATGATGGAAATGAATGCTTACATGCTTACATGAAACACAAGGTTTTGGGGTGGTTTTTTAGTATTAAGAAAAATCAATTACAATGAATATAACAATTTAAATTAACATAAAAGAATGGGAAGGGTTAGCAACATGAATTATACAGTATTAGTAGGATTAGCCAGCCATCTTGTTTTGAGGGAGGGATTAATATTTCACCTCCCACTTCTTCCAAGATAATGGGGGAACGTAATGTAATTGAGGGAGCAAACTTCAGGAATTGGCAGCTCAACCAACATAGCCAGTTGTGAAGAGTGCTCTGAGCTCAAGTCATAAGAACACAAGAATCTGCCTGTTATGAATTCAGACTATTGATCCAGAAGTGGCATATATGATTGGCAATTGCTCTGCATATTCTTAGTCAAGATGCTTTTCTTGTCGTGCTGAAAGAAAGATCTCTACTTGGCAGTCTCCCATTCAAGTATTAACTAGATCCAATCTTACATAGCTTCTGAAAGTAGATTCAGGATGATATGGTAACTAACAAAATCTTGAGGGTCATATGATTCCTAACCCTGCTGAAGGGGAGTGTGTGTGTGTGGAGGGCGGAGGTCTAATCTACTTAACATGTCAAAACTAGACATGGCTTCCAAGGGGAAGCAATTATTTTTTGTGTGTGCAGAGATGGCAGTGGGTGGGATTGTGACAGAACAATTACAGAACAATCAATCCTAGAATTTACAATATAACCATAGGAGAAATGGTAAAATGTGGGGTTTATGAAATAATAAAAGCATGCATTTTTAAGATTATTTGGTGACCTGTCTTAGTTGATGAGAACATGGATTGAAAAACAGAGCCTTAGGAATCAAATTCTCATCAATAACATTTCCCAGCTCTACTTGATCTGATTCTGATTACAGTGTACACTGCAACTGTATCTCAATTTAAAGAGCAACAATGGTCCCTTAAAGATAAACTAAGTGACCACAAGACATTAATATTGAATGTCCCACAGGACACTTGCTTTTTGCTGAAACAAACTAATAGGTATCCCCGCAAAAGTTAAGATTATCCCTATTAACTGCTGCAATTTTTCTCAAGTATGTTCAGGAAAGAAGACCTAATATGCAGTAGAAACACAAGGTGGGGCTAGGCTTCCATTATGGCTTTGAATTAGTAACAGCAATCAATACAGATATTTTTTTTCTCTGCAGTGTGTGCATTTTAGGCCAAAGCTTATGAGAGAATCTGAGAGGTTTTCTCGGCAAAGGCACTTAAGACTGGCAGAACAGGAGAGCTCGGACAGAAGGTTATGAACTTTCTGAGTTCTTGCCACAAGGCTGTCAAAACTAGAAAGCTAGGAGTATAATCCAGGAGGGGTTAGTGAGCAACTAAAAACAAACAAAAAAAAAAACCTTGTCCCCGCTTGGACTCGGTGGCCACAAGGAAACATAGCCTTTATAGTCCAAGCTATCAACTATCCAATGACCTACTTCAAGATGGGACTCCAAAAGGAGGCAACTGCAATTCAGTGCCCTGCACTGAAATGGCACAGCGCCAGAAATCAATGCAGTGCCTCTCAAGTGTTGTGGCTGGGGATGTTTATTAACCCACGGAAACCAAGCTGTTGATGTTCAGAGGCCGCTCTGTGCCATATCCAACACCAACCCTACCCAACAGCTTCCCACATTGAGAGAAACAGCAATTTCCATAGAACAGTGGTTCTCAACTTGTGAGTCCCCAGGTGTTTTGGCCTACAACTCCCAGGAATCCCAGACAGTTTACCCCAGTGGTTCTCAACCTGGGGTCCCCGGATGTTTTTGGCCTACAACTCCCAGAAATCCCAGCCAGTTTACCAGCTGTTAGGATTTCTGGGAGTTGAAGGCCAAAACACCTGGGGACCCACAGGTTGAGAACCACTGGTTTACCAGCTGTTAGGATTTCTGGGAGTTGAAGGCCAAAACATCTGGGGACCCACAGGTTGAGAACCACTGCCATAGAAAAACACTCTCCACCAGCAGATCTGCTTGCCATTTGAACTATTAGTAGTCAAAACACATCTTCTTGCCCCGGTTCTCTCCTCCAACTGTCTTAATTGGGAAAGGAGAGGTTTTTCTTTACATGCGCTGGGGCAGCATTTTTTAAGCGAGAAAGCTCAGGCCAATTATTACTTTTTTAATGAACACAATTTGCCCTCTCCTCTCCTGAAGTGCTAGAGAGAAGAGGGTATGCTGCCAACACTTTGGAAACAGCATGACGGCTGTAATGGACTCTGATGGGAAATCTATGGCTTCATCAAGGCCTGACTCTCCTTGAAGAGCCATTACAAGAACCTTATATTCATTCCTGTTCCTATTCTCCTTTTGATGCGAGCATTAATGTCAGTGGGATACACTGTTCTCAAAACAACAGAGACAAAAAAAAATAGCTCCATCAGATTAAAATGGCTATGAAATCACAGCATGGGAGGCAATCACTACAAGAAGCATCACAAACAAGAGACAAACTCCACAAGGCAGGCAGCATTTCTAAAGGTATTTGAAGGTCAAAACTAGGGCATCTGGATAGTTCTTCCGATTTCATAACGTTGAAAAATTTCATTCAAAGCAAGAGCAGGCTAAGACCACTTTATCCAGCCACTTTGGGCTTCCACAGTACTCTGTGTAATGATTGAGAGAGGAAATCTGGATTTGGTTTTGTTGGGTTGTTTTATCACAAGAGGTTGAGAGTCTTAATTTTCTTTAAATCTTAACAGAAAACTGTTTTAAAATGGCAATTCAGTAGAAAAATCAATAAATATTATTAAATATTTAATGGGAAAATGTATTTTATAATGTTGCCGGAGGTGAAAGTAAAGCCAAAAAATTCCTCATCTATCATACCCATAATAATTAATGGCTGTTACCTAGTGCAAGGCCAGAATCTCTTACCTTCCAGATGTATTAGACCACCACTCTCATCATTCACACCCAGAATGAGAATTGGTCAACACAACTGAAAGGTGCCAGGTTAATGGAGGCTACCTTTATGTGCCTTTCTAAACCTGAGCTGCCAAAATATGTTTATTAACTCACTTCATATGTATTGTTTCAGGAAAATGAACATATGCTAAACAATGGAAATTACATCAAGAACCTCCAAAAAGGGATTGATACAACTTTAGGGCAAATGACTGTTCGTTGAAAATGGTCACCAGTGCAGTAGTGAGCTAAATTCAAAATTACACTACTGGATATCCAGTTTCACAATGGGATTGTTCCTTCCACTCCCCTCCTTCCCTTGAAACCCCTGAGGAGGTCTCCCCAATTTGCTGTAGAGAATCCTCAGTTCTCTGGACCAGATTTGGGGAGTGGACAAGGAATAGCGGAAAGCAGTACCCATCCACTGGCAGAAGCACCACATCCAATACAGAACAGTGACCTGTACAGATGGAGTGGGGATTAGTCCATTGTTATTATGACGGCAGATATATAAAGGATGAAGGATTTTTTAAGAATCTGTTATTAAACCGATGGTATGCACTAGGTATACTTTGATCTTTCCTTTATGTAAAAACACAGTAACAATGTATTTCTTGCCTTGGGTTTTTAGTTAATGTTATTTTGCCATTTTCCTTCTCGTTCTCTGTCTATAGAAAAAGACTGAACAATGTCAATGATTTTAATATTGCACTACTGTCAGTGAGGCAGTAACACACTTGCATCTGTTACTCCTGTTTAGAAGCAATGCAATATCAATTATAAAATTCAAGGCTTGGCTTACAACAACAACAACGACAACAACAACTATTATTATTATTATTATTATTATTATTATTATTATTTTATTACCCACCTCTCCCTGTGCCAGGACCGACTTGAGAAACTACAAGACACTTCTGGTGTGAGAGAATTGGCCATCTGAAAGGACGTTGCCAAGAGGATGCTTGAGTGTTTTACCATCCTGTGGATGGCTTCCCTCATGTCCTCGCATGAGAAGCTGAAGCTGAAAGACAGGAGCTTGCCCTGCTCCATG